ATTTATAGAGATGGCGTACACTTAAGTCCAGCCCTTCTTCTTGGAAAGAACATGACTTGTAACAACTTGACAACTTTTTCCCTGTTTTACATGTTGTTAGTGATCGATTTTAATAGATAGAAATGTTCGTTGTAATTTTTACATTGTTCATGTTGTATTGTTTTGGCCAGGCACTTCCGTAAAGTTTGTGCAATTTTACGAAAAAGATAGTTTTGACAACGTTTGCCTAGTCCAACGAGATCAAACTTCCTCGCAGGGTTGTTGATTTGTAGTAAGTACTCCTTTACTGTGTTCCTAAGAATGATAAGAAGCAATCTGTTTCGTAATTTCAAAGAGGACGAAGCGAATGATGGCGTACTTCGAGTAATTTTATTTTCAAAACCGCTTGGTTAAGCACTTAGTAAACATATTCTGATTGGTCAGCTCATGTAGGGAGATAAATACTGACCAATAAAAGTGCATGTTATTTTAGACCCTTTAGTTGACTAATCTCCCAAGAGACTGGGCTGAGCAGTAACATTACGCCACAGTTTTCTGATTTCCGTATTGACCATTTGCTTTCTTTCAAGGAATTTAATAGATTTCTTGTTAAGATGTGTCTCATATGGAAATTTGTACCTGTTCATTTTCAAGGAAAAGATAAAGAGATTTATTCACAGTTACCAGATGTATTTCGGAACATAACCTCGCGACAAAAAATCTTAATGATAAGGACACGCGCGTGTTCATCGCGCAGCCAATAGACGCTCCCCGACACACCCCCAGTTCAGCCCACAAAACTGACCAATAGCAAGCAAGAGTTCTACGAAGCCAAAGTAACTGCGTCAAAAACTGATCATCTACAATGGCTACTTCGCAAGAGTTTTAAATAAACATGCAAACATAGCTCAACCTCCTGAGATTTTAAAAGCCTTTACTGCACACAGGAACTAACTCTTCAAATTTTCCTCCAAAGTTCAAGAAACAAATACTAAATGATAAATATGTTTCCACGAACGAAGGGGTACGTCTAAACATCTATCATATTTGTCGAGCGAACTGTGATAGACAAACAAAGAACTTAGACTTCATCACTCTTTTAAACTCGATTTGTTCGGCTTAATATCCTAGTTCTTTGGTACAAAATCCGATGCAGAACGTTTTCGACTACAATGAAATTAAACAAAGCAGAATTATGCGAAAAAATCTAACTGAATACAAATCGCCGCGAGTGAAAAGAATGCGAAAAAAATAAGAAAAAACTGCGTGCAAAAACACCAAAATGTAATTAGGAAGGTAAAAACGTCACATAAAAGAAGCTTTGATCGCTGTTCTTAAATTTATTTAAATTGATGTTTTTTTCTTCGGTTACCGATGAATTCTACTGATTTTCCAGATTAATCCAAAAAGATGCCGACAAAACCTATTACCTGAAAAACTGGTTTAACCTCTAAAGAAAATTTAAAAACAGACTTTTATTATTCAGGAAAATAAGAGAGGCCCTGGGAACAAAGTTCAATCTCTTGTAATATTATTTTTTCTTCGGCTTTCCCAGTTTCAAAATCAGAGCAAAGACAACTTGCAATTCTTTTATATTGAATGAACGATATATTTGTCAAATAATTTCGTAGATCAGGAAAATATCACTCAATAATCTTCAAAGTTAGCCAAAATTTGTCGAAGTTGCACTTCATATAACAGTTCTTGCAAGCTTGGATGATTGTAACGTATAAAAGTTAATGGAAATCAACAAAATGAAATGGATATGATGGACGAGATATTCCGTGCTGTCATGAAAAAACTTCCCGCCGAGTATTATAAATTTTAAAAAAGACAGCCTCCGCTAAGACTCTTTAATATAAAATTAATTTCCCAACTACATGTTATTTAATTTATATTGTCTTTCTGTGATGGATTAAAGTACAAAAAGGGCAACAAAAAAAAAAACAGAAACGTCCATTTTCCAATTTTTCTTTTTTTTTTTGGGAGGGGGGGATTCCTTATATTTTGGATAAACAAATTGGCCGGTAGGTTGAGAGGTGGAGCAATAAATCTATTAAAACACTTCCGCTGATCACCTCGAATTTGACAATTTGAGTGATGCATTTCCATGACCTTATATGGACATTGTACCAGGTCCACTGTCGAAACATCTACCCGTCATCATTCTATCTTTATGTCGCTCTCAGGACCTCTCTTCTTTCCGCCTACAATTTTTTTTAACGAATAAGTTCTTTCTGACATACGTGAGTAAGGTGTTCAAAATTTATTGGACTGGAAGGATACTGATCTTTTATAAGTATGCGCTAAAAAAGTGGATAGCGTTGAAGGCGCGTTCTGACTGGCTACTGAACTCCGAACTGATCCTTCGTTATTCTTAAAGAGTAACCGACGGCTGGAAGGTCACTTTTTCGGAATACCGTCTAAATGCATCGGGTAACACGTTGAAACAGATACAAGGTGCTTCTTATGCCTCTTTGTGCTTTTTTTCGCCGGGAAAACGGTCCTAATTACATCTGCTGTTAACGCTTCGATTTTGATCATGTGACCTTGTACGTCACACGTGTACATTAAGCAAAGTAAATATGGTGGATAGTAATTTGAGTAAAAGCAATTCTACTTCGAGGTCTGATTATTCAGATTTTGAGGCCTCGATGGAAGGTGAACATAATGAAAGGGTTTATGAACCTGTTGGTGAAATCAGGCCCTCGCGGTTTGAACCGCCTGGACGAACCTAAAATAGAGCACGAAAGTCAGATGAGGATCATGGGCCCGTGCGCCGCGGCCGCCTCAATCAAGAAAGCGAGAATGGTGAGTAAATTTACGCTTGTAAATAAATTTTCTGAAAATCAGTCGCTTGCTAAATATATGAGCGATCAAGTAAAGAAAACCAAATGTGCAGACTCTTGAATACCATGGGAGCGAAGTGCTTCTATGCTACACGCACGCACCTTCCGAAGCTAAGGTTTTACTGACTGAAAATGTAAACATACACGCTTGTGGAGGTGAATTGGATGGATTATACACATTTCCACGTAACTGAATCGGTTTTAAGTTTTCCTGCGTTGAATTTGGCGAACTACTAAAGATTTCTCGGCATTTACTTTAAAACACAATTCAGCAAAATATAGTATTCGCATATGATAAATGAAAATCCTCTTAATGTTAACTTATTGTTTACTTGTGGTCTTTGCACCTTGTTTATAGCCTAAAGTTTGAACTGTCTCTCACGTTTGTAACAGTTACTAAGCTGATAACTGTTCCTTTTGGTTAAGCCAATCAAACAAGTTTTGTTCTCTATTTCTTCTATTCAACATCGTGAAAAAATTGCTGCTTTACTGGCTTTTTTTATTACAAGGCGTCAGTGTGGAGACTGCCAATTAATGTGGAGGGAGAAATAAAACATCTTTTGCCAAGAAGTGGATGTGGTCAAAAATGAAAATTGGAGGATGTTACGGTGGAACAGTTGCAGGCAGAAGCCAGATGTGTTGTCCAGCATCCAGGGTTAGGGGAAACTGGTGAAGGCTGAATCCGTCTGCATTTGTTTTGGTACATATTGTAACTGTCAGCGCGGCTAAGAGTGATAGAGTTTTGGATAACTTGAGTGTGAACATATGTATTTACATATATATATATATATATTAAAGTTCACGTCATAATTTGAGAAACATTACGCGCTTGCTATTACCGTAGCACGGGTTTGTCGCTGACCCGGTTCCTTTTTATTACCAAATCACTGCGTTTTAAACGGTGGGTGCAAGGCAGTCCCATGAAATGTGCTTTAGGGTCTCAGGCTGTCGGCTTGTTTTATTTACGATAAACGTGCGTGAGTAACTTACTGTTCACTCAGCTGACAGTTGTAAAGCATGGACTAAAAATATCTCTATAATTATATGACTCGATAACGGTTTTTACAGGCCCAAATTTTTCTTACACCGATCTGAGGTGATTACATAATTTTGATTTCAACTATATAAATTATTCAAATCTGGAGTAAGATTTGAGAATTGGTGCCAAAAAAAATTCCAGCTCAGCTATTCCAGAAAACACTTCACTTTACGACCTCCAGACACTTTCCCAGGAAAAATTAGTATGAGTTCAAGAAACTTTAAACTTCCTACACGTAAACACTAAATTGATTCATGCAGCTCTCATTAACAACTCTTTCCATGTTGGACTAATTGAGCGGGATGACCTCCAAGCCAAGATTCAAAACACCTTAATAAAGTAAATTCACAAATTCCCTTTGGCCAATCAGATAAAATTTCGAACAAGACAAAAACCTTGAGTATGAACTAGAAGATATTACATGGCCGCTCAGAGATAAGAAATTTGTCTTCCAGTGCTAAAAAATATTCCACGAGTGAGCGAACATGTTATCTGTACCATGTGAGGATATCATTTTCGCGCAAAAGCTTTCAATTACTTGGTATTTTATCGGTGTTTACATGATAAGTTTCGTTGGGAGATTTCATTCTATATTCGATACAAATCTCGCTCTGTTTTACTTTTAGCTTGGCACCGGCTTTAACCGAAGTGCGAGCTTGAAAGCCTGAATTTTAAAAGAATGAAAACTAATTAAACGCAACCATATTCTCACTCATGATCGAAGTATTACATTTTTATATCTCCAGTTTTACTGTCATAATGTCATATTGTATGCTTTTAATGAAAATCTCTTTTATCTTATGTTTGGTACAAGCATGTAATGTTCTTCTCGGTGGTTCATTACATGTACAATATCCTCTAGACCAAAACTGTCCGATAGTATTTCTGCTTGAGAAGATATTTTTCAATACTTCCAATTAAAATTGAATTCAGATGTACTTTCGGTTTCAAAAGTAAACTTCTAATTTAAGGGTTCAAAGGTGTGCTTTTGTATCCTCCTCAAAGTTAGTTGTGGGCAACGATCCTTGTAATATAATTTCGGCCACAATACAGTGGATATTGGTACACTCGCGAGAAAAAGTTATGGGAATCTGACGTAATTTGTTTCGAGCCATCTCGATGAGGCGACGACCATGAGCTGGCAAAATTCAACAAGTCGTGTCCCGTCTGACGTTTACCTTCAGATCATAAATGAGCCAGAGTACTGGCTGACTTTAGCTGTGGTTGGTTTCGCCTTGTCAGCTGTGACTGTGGTTGCAAATTCTATATTGCTAGCAACCATTTGGCACGATCCTTTGAGGTCGCTTCGAACTCCGCCATGTCTGTTGATCGCGAATTTGAGCTTGGCAGATTTGCTTGTGGGGTTGTGTGTAATCCCTATGGTGACGTTAAGGGATGTGTATCGATCTTTTCTACAAATGTTACCATTGCCGTCAATTGTGGGAACTATAACATCATGCATTCTGAGCGCAACACTCTTTGTCAGTAGCGCTACCATCGTTGCGATGTCAGCAGCTTGCTTTTACGCCATCGACAATCCCATTCGATACAAGACAAACATGACAAAGAAGAGAATTTACTGGTTGATAGTCATGGTATGGATAGCATCAGTTCTTATCTGCTGCCTTCCGGTGACGACTATTCCTGAAAATACGTTCATGCTCATATATATGCACACTCACATATCTCTGCCGGCCTTGCTTCTCATGATTATCTACATAAAAGGTTTTCGTTCCCTTTCGCAACGACGCCGAGAACTTCTCCAAAGTACGAACGCGTCGGTCAGAAACCACAAGCTCGCTTTGGAACGTAAACGAAACATGGCTGTGATAGTGACGACAATCCTAATGATGTTCTACATCAGTTACCTCCCACGATTTATAATTTTTCATCTGGAGAACTTTTGCAGCCCTTGCCAAATCAACGAAGATTCAATAAGGTTTCATAAAACCGACGTGATTACTTCGCGCTTTATATTCTTCAATTCGGCTATAAATCCATTTGTTTACGCTTGGAGAATGCCGAAATACCGCCGATCTCTGGTAAGCTGCTGGAAAGCTCTCCAAAGTAAACTAAAGTCAACTTTGAAGCGTCAATGACAATTAATGGAGTCTAAACTTTTTTTAAGCTTCGTTCAATTTGAAGGGAAAAATGATAAAAAACTAGAAAGCAGCGAACTTTTGTTCATGAACTGACAGTAAACCTAGAGGAATTAATTCCTTTAGAATTATGAGAAGAGTTTTTTGAATTAATTACTCCAACCGGCGGACAAAGTTCATTTGAGGCTCCAAGAGAAGTTTGAAAACCGCTTTTTTTGTGTGCGAATCATGTTAGGAGTGTTTTCTAGAAAGCTAGGGTTAAATGTGGTTAAGATGTGAAGGAAATACCTCGGAAGAACTGCCATTCGGAGGACATAACCGAAAAGTTCAGTAAACAGCGGAAACCAGAACAGCAGCAGCCAAAACAACAGCCTCGTTAATTTCAATTATGAACGATAAAACAATGAATTGAGGTCTACTGGTTTTTTAATTAGCATGTAATGACCTCTATACAACGCTCCCTATGAATAACAAGTTAGTAAGCATGTTCAAGCCTTATCACTTTCAGCCAAACAGGTTTGTTTATCCAACATATTATCAGCGACTGATAACATGTAGGTTGCCAAAACAAGAGAAAAAAGAAACATTTAGGAATTAAGAAATATTGTTATGTTGCGTTTCATTGAGGTTACGTGATTTTACGCAATAAAATGAATGCATTTTTTACCTCCGGAACTCCATTCAGTTGAGAAGCACGAACTCGTTTTTCATAGTTGTACGTGACCAAGCCTACAGTCTGCCCATGAAAAAACATTTTTAAAACGCTTATCAGTTTTTCGCTTTATCGAGACACAATAACTTTTGTTCCGTGAATCAAGCGAAAATGGGACGAACATGGTTTTAAATGTTATTTTTTCCACCATGCAAGGGGCACTGAGTCAGCGTACGATCGTCTCCTTCATAATTTAAGTGGAATTAGCAAACGAAGTGCAATATCAATTCCTTTTCAAATCCTTTCGGTGTACATTGGAAATACCTTGCTGTCATTTTACAATGTATACGGAGTTTAAGTTAAGTAGAATTTACGGACAAGACCGGGCCGACGATGTTCCACGTCATATCCATCCTTTAGTAGGCAGAGGAAATACTCTCGTCTTAGAGTCATTTTATGTAAACAGTATATCAACTAATAAAGGTCAATGATATTCCTCGTCATATCCATCTGTTTTACGCAACCTTAAGCCTTAGTTACCCTCCTTTAGCCATAAGTAAAGTCAAATGAAATGTTTGGTTTTTTCTGTTACCATATAACTAAAGTAGTATTAACGAACAAAGATCAATGGTATCATTTCCGTGTCATGTCCATCCGTTGTTACACAACTCTAAGCCTCAGTCACCTTTATTTAGTCATATAAGCAAAGTCAAATTGACAAACAAAGGTTCTTTTCTTCCCAAGGGTGAAAAAAAGAGTTAGAAGAACTCTTTTCTGACGTTACATTTAATGCTGAATGAGAGACGAATGAGAGAAATTACAAACTACCCTAAGGTTATTCGTGACTTAAAGCGGAAATCATGGTCAGGTTTCTACGATCAATTTATCTCTCAGGAACTTTGCATGACGAGTTTGTTGCTGAGATGGCGAATTAAAGACGATATTGCATTCGCTCAGTAATGGCCAAGTTGAACTGTAGTCAACAAGAAAAGTTTAAAGTAAGCAGCGTGCTACAACCACCGTACTGAGGGAACTGGTTAAGACCAAGCTACCCAATTGAAAGGAGAACAGCTGTCGTTCTGCTCGAGCCACTATGATCACCCAAAATGCTTCAGATCCGAGCCATGACTTTTATTTGTCGATAATCGATGATCCAATTTACTGGTTGACTTTAACTATAGTAGGATACATTTTTGCTACCGCCATCATCTTTACGAATGCCTTTCTGTTGTTCACAATTTACCAAGATCCGCGCAAGTCCCTACGCTCGCCTTCTTCACTTCTGATCGCAAATTTAAGCGTGTCAGATTTACTGCTGGGGTTTGGTGTTCTTCTGATAGCTGTGCGAGACACCTATCGGTATAAACAACTCCATATGCCTTTTATTGGTATCATAAAGGCTGTTATATACATTATTCACATTACTACTGTCTTCATTGGCGGATATTCTATAATAGCAATGTCAATCGCTTGTTATATCGCAATCAGCAGGCCGCTGGAATATAAATCCATCATAACAGCGAAGCGAATCAAGATATTTATCGTTGTGGTATGGGTGATATCGTTATCAACGTGCGTTTTTCCAGTAACGAGTGTTCCCCAAAATATTTACGAGCTCATTTACGCTCACACTCACGCCTCACTACCTGCCGTGTTACTAGCGTTGATTTATGTGAGCGTGTTTCGTGCTCTCGCGAGACGATCGCGCGATCTTCAACTGAGTGGAAGTAAATCAATCTCGGACAACAAACACGTGTTGGAGCGACAGCGGAAGATGACTTTGACCGTCATTATAATTCTGGGATTATTTTTCATGACCTACATGCCTCAGTACATAACGGTACATCTGCTTCACTTCTGCAAGTCTTGTCAAGAATCGATAAATTTTCACAAAGTTGATGTGGCAGCCTCGAGGCTTTTGTGTCTAAGTTCAGCTATGAATCCCTTTGTCTACGCCTGGAGGGTTCCAAAGTATCGCTCTGCTTTCTTTGAATGTTTGAAGATTATCCGAAAGAGACTCAAACTTTCTTCTCGAATGAACGCTTGAGTGGAAGCTGATAAGGAACACACAGGGCTAGAAACATCCTCGAAAGCCCGAAGAATTTAATCCGGAAAATTGGCAAACTAAAGGAAGTCAACCAAACCAGAGCTTGACATCAATATCTACAATGTTATAATTATTATGACAATAATTCCAATTGAGAGCCACTCGTCGACCATGATAAGTCTTAAAAGCGTCAAACTTTATGAAGGCGAAGGTTGAAATTAATTTATTATTTAAGAGGTAACCAAAAAAATTGTTATTTATGGCGTAATTTTTTATTTATTCGCAAAAGACGAAAATACCTTTAGTGAAAAACTGAGTGAGCTTGTTTTTGAATATTGACGGCGTGGGATGTCAATATCTTGGCACTAAAGTAGATAACCACATCTGTCATAGAATAAAGACAAAAGTGACATGGAAACAATATAGTATTGATCTGTTTTGTCACGGTTGCTGACTCTACGAAGTTCAGCCTAAATTTTTAAGTTCGTAATTTGAAATTCAAGTCAGTTTTTCTTCACCCTTAGCACCGAGTTCATTTTTGGTCCTCAGTTCGTCGTCGGTGCTTTTGTTTCTGGCAAAAAAAATTTGTCAATTTTCTTTTTTTTTTAATAACTTTTGGCAGAAGTTCAAACCCTTACGCAAGCCGAATACTTAACATTTTTTTAAAACGCATGTTACTTTGGTTACAGTTCGATTGAATCCTTGTTACTCCAGCCGAATACTCAACATTTTTCTTTAATGATTAGTGGTTTCTCTCAAGTGGAGGGTAAATTTCCACATCACAAGGAAAAAAGATGCAATAGTGTCACTCTTTTTCTAGTAGAGTGTAAAATTCCTTTTTAAAACAGAAAGAAAAAAATCTCATTCATGTCATTTTTGCGCTTAGTTTTCCTTGATGCACAATTGATGTATAAATGTGAAACTCAACTCTATGACTGTAAATATTTTTTCTTAGGATTTTTCAAATCACGTAAAAATTTCCTCCAATATGTTTCATAAAAGTCAACGGGATATCTTTATAAATTGAAGCCATTGTCTCCGAAAAATTAATTGTACATGAAAAGAGCATTTAATGTTTTTCTGAATAAATAAATAATATATTGATGGGGAGCCTTTAAGGCCAATTCAAATTTTTATGAATTACGCCGCTACTTAACAACTTCCTTTAACCAGACATTTTTATTTGCTCGTGAAACCGGGAAGATGGATGAATAATTACAATATAATGACACATTAATGAGCGGCTACGGAAGGGCTTGCTACGGCATTGAAGCAAGGGCAGACGAATCAAATCCGGTGGTGTGTGGGCGCTGTTATCACGCAAAAACCTCAAAGGATATAGATCGTCCTGGAAAGGAATTAGGATGGTTCCTTGTCTCGATGGGATTACGACTATCGGGTTAACCGATAGTCGCAAAACGGCCAAAACATTGTAGCCTTTAGGCGTAAGAATTGATAAATTTTAATCGATAGTCGTAGAAAATGTTAACCGTAAAAAAGATTTGTAGTGACAACGATGGAATGATGGTAACCGTTAGCCGTAAAATGGCGAAAATTTTAACCGTTAGCCGTAAGAGCCACCACCTATTGAGACCCTCTTTCCCTGAGAAAGCCTCGGCACCCCCGCCCCTCCCCCATCCCCCCCTCCCACCGCACTTTCCGTACTCTTTCGTTAAATTTTCATTCCTAATCACAGCAACAGCTTACAGCAAAGATGTAGAAATAATTGCAACACAAAATGATAACAAAAATATCGGTCTTACACACAATCATACATCGCTACCATTTCCATGCATGAAATTGAGACGGAAATCGGGGCCAATACGATTCTCTTGTTATTCCCTCTGACCCTTTCATGATATAAGCGCCTGTAGCGCGTGTTCAAAACGAAACATCTCGAACTTTTTTTGATTTCTGGACGACAAATGTGGGTGTTGATGATGTTTGTCCTTTATTAAGAATAAAGGATACAGATAAATAAACGTAGTTTAAAGTCGATTTGTGCATATGTCTTATCGATCACAAGCGCCATGAATTAAGCTTTTTTCTGAATTGCATCATTCGTCCTGCGCTAATCGGCTTGAAAACAATGCAGTTCGGATTTGAGATTACATGCCTACGGCTAAGAGGAAAGAGAGGTTGATAGACAAACGGAACAAACTACAATAACACTGATGGAAATTTGACCTCTTAATTAAGTAGAAGTCCGCAGCAAGAGCAACGGGGGCGCGGCACGGCGAAATAAATAACTATTTTGGGTTTTGTTCTCATGCAGTATGAGCTCAATACGTGATCATCCACCGTGACATTTGGCAACAGATTAAGATAGCTTCAGATATTTTTCCTGTCGTCGTGTTACAACCTTCGTGCGCCAGCCAAAAAGAATATGGCGAATTTATCTGATCCAAACAATGACTTTTATCTCATGATCATTCAAGACAAGGAATACTGGTTGAGCTTAGCTGTGGTTGGATTTATTTTAGCAATTGTTATCATCGTAGGAAACTCTATTCTTTTGTTTACAACTTACAAGAATCCGCGACGCTCCCTACGTACACCGCCATCTTATTTGATCACGAATCTTAGCGTGTCAGATTTACTGCTGGGGCTAAATGTCCTCGTCGTGGCTGTAAGAGATGTCTATCGATCTCAACTTCAACAGATGCCGTCTGCGATGCTTTTTAGAGCAATAATATACACAGTTGTCACGACGACTTTGTTCGTGAGCTCTTACTCGATCATAGCCATGTCACTAACTTGCGACATAGCAATCAGCAAACCGATGGAATACAAATCCATCATTACCAAGCGAAGAACCAAGATTTTTGTAGCTGTGTTGTGGCTGATATCGTTAACAACGTGCATTCTTCCTGTGACAAATGTTTCGGAGGAAACGTATACCTTAATTTATCTTCACACTCACGCTACTCTGCCGGCCATTTTATTGACGGTCATCTATGTTCATGTATTTCGCGCGCTTGGTAAAAGAACTCGCGAACTGCAAAAGGAAGGCTACAATTCGATAGCTGCAAACTCACTGGAAAGGAAGCGTAATATGGCTGTCACAATCATCGTCATTCTCGTGTTGTTTTTCATCACGTACATGCCTCAGTATATCACTTTACACTTACTGTACTTCTGCGAATCATGCCGAGACTCCAAAACTTTTCATATGATTGACGTGGTATTGTCTCGCTTTTTGTATATAAATTCTGCTTTAAATCCCTTTGTTTACGCCTGGAGGGTTCCTAAATATCGCAGGGCATTTAGCGATTGCTGGCAGATGTGCATTGGTAGGCATATTTTTGATGGATCGAGCTCGTACATATCTTCGTTTCGCTCTACCAGAAGACAAACTGAGAAAATTGGCGTTAGCCCTGAAATTGGACGGGATAAGCCCAGAGGTGTAAGTGACCCATCTGAAATGACCAGTCAGTTTTAGAATAAATAAGATTAGAAAAATAGGATCCCTTATGTTGACAAGAAGTCTCTGTCCTTGAGCAGCTAATTGCTGAAGATCACTAACAGAGTATTTGGCAGGAAACTTTCATAATTTTTATGCTCAATTATTTTATGCTCCAATTCTTATCCGTTCCAATCTTCTCCATCTTCAGCCTTCTGTTAGCCATCTCTCTCGTTTTTGTTGTGTTTTTATTTCTTACAGAACTAATATTGACAGTTGTGGATGATGCTTATATTATAAATATTTATATGCCTTTTTTTATAAAAAATAAATTAAAACTGAAAAGCAAGGTTTAGTACGTGTTAATGTATTGGCTAAAAGCCAAGAATTATCTGAGATTTTGGTAAAAGCGGCTAGTCAAAGGGATTTTCGTTTGTCAAAATAAATAATTCTTGGACAACTTTCTCAGACAATATTTTAGCTGAAATATAGAACATGCACCAAAATTTGCGAATTCATTTTGGCTGGAAACAGTTATTTCAGAAACAGATGGCCGATAAATCTTGTATAATTTCATGTGGGACTTGTTTGGTTTCACGATAGGAAAAAAAAAACCAAATGGCCTTGGGCAAACAACTTCAGATTGCATTAATTCCCTCATCTTCCACTTCGTCACCGTCTGCAAATACAATAATGCTCTCACTGTATAGTGAGATCGAGCGTCATTTCCAAAAGAAGACCGATGACAACCTTAGAAGTAGGTTATTGAAATGAATATTTGGTCTTGTTCAGAACAACTAATACTCGGCTTCTTTTGAAGTGCATTAGACTGGAACATGATCTGTTAAGAGGTCTCAAGTAGTCTGCAATCAAAGCTGAACTATTAATAACGGTTACAAAAACACATTTTTATAAACGTCGGGATGATATTGAAAAGGTATGTGCCACCCCTGAGAGGGTAGGATTTTTAAGCTGCATTAGTCTAGAAAAAAGAATAGATTTTGACCATTTTTTCCTTGACATCGGATATGGTTTTCAGTGGAACCACTCGAGCGTGCCATGGAAACGTTTATGTGCGTGTCTCAACTCAAGAGCCTAACCAAAATACATCTTTCAAGCTGAATTTTCAGGTGAAGTTATCCAACTCTCGGCTTCAATAACGACACTGATGCGAAACTTGATAACCTCAGCATCATTAGCTCTACATCACTGCAATTCCTTCTTGCTTAGTTCCCACGAAGCTGCCATGGGCAAACTGGAGTAGATACTGAAAAAGGTAGTTGTATTACGTTCGAACCGAACAAACATATGATATATTTAATCACAAAGATGTTGAATAGGAGGTCTTCTCATATCCTCCTTTTACCAAAAATTAGGGTTTCCAAAAAAACAACAACAACAATAAATAAATGGGGAAAAAAAGTAGATAGACAAATAAATACAAACTATAAAAAAAGGCAAGTAACTTAACTCCAGTACGGTAGTATTTGAGGTCAGATACATATACATACCGGTTTCAAATTATCTGGGCCCTGGAAAAATTTACACATGAGTTGGTACAGGGGGAAGTGTTTTCGTCTTGTCGAGAGTGGAATTCAATAGTTGGAGGTTTTAATCCTCGTGAGGACTAATAATTTTTTCTATCCCACGCTCGTGAAACTTAAAGGCACATTTATATATTTTTCATAATTGTTAGTCACGCAATTCTTCTGGTCCGTAAAATGTTACTTATGAAAGAGCTTTCTTACGTTCATCCATTTACCTTTTGATTTAGGAAAAAACGTTTCTTATATATATATATATAATTTTTTACTTTCATAAGCAGATTTGCCTTTATTGAAAAATTGCTCAGCTTTTACTTAAAAGTGTCGCGAATCGACTGATTAGGAGAAAGAGATAGGTCATAAGGAACAGATGAGAAGTGAAATAGTTTCGTGTTTGCTTCTGATTGGCTGAGAGAGTGCACCTGGTACCGCGGTAACTGGTGCACAAAAGCGAAGCAAAAAAGCGAAGTAAAAACTGCAACGGAATATTTCAGCTGGCTAAATCTGTCACGTTCAAAAGTAAAAAAAAACCCTGAATATATAAATTTTTTTTTTTCTTTCTGACACTCCATACATCTTTAAAACTTATTTATTTTTTCCGAAATAACTAAGAAATGATGAAGGATTTTCAAATGGTTTTCACAAAATTTATTTCTTTTGATTTACCGAGCATGTAACACACACGAACAGCTGTAGTCATATCTGAATTTTGACGAAATCTCTAATCACAAAATGAAATTATTACAATCATGTGAAAAATCTCGGTTAGTTTTTTAGTTTTACCACATACGCACATACATATTTGTTCACATCTGAGCTATAGTTTCTAAATGATTATGTAATTGTGAAGAAAAAGGACGAATACAATATCTTTCATTTCATCACTATTATCAATATTAAAATCATTATCATCATTATCATTATCAATATCCGCCGTCTCATTTGCATATGTTGGACCAAATCCTTCTGATGATGAATTCCAGAAATTCAAGAACGGTGAGTATACTGATTCCAAGGAAAAGACCAAAAGTTCCACCCAAATTTGCTGGAAAACAAAAAGAGAGAATATTCATATACCTATTTTTGTGTTGCATCTATCTTTTATTCTGATATACCTAGTGACTCAATTTTTCATTCTGTCTGTTTTTCCTTCAATCAATGCGTCATGTCTTCGGTTACTTAAAACTTTCGCGGCTCTCCTGTATGGATTTCCTTGATTTTTCTTTCTTCTATTTGTATAATGCGCCCATTCTTTCATTCATACATTCGCCGATTCGTTCATTTTTCATTCTTCCGTTCTGTTTATTTATTCATTCATTCATTCATTCATTCATTCATTCATACGTTCATTCGTTCGTTTATTCGTTTGGTCGTTCGTTCATTCTTTCGTTTATTCGTTCGTTCGTTCGTTCGTTCATTCTTTCGTTCATTCTTTCGTTCATTCGTTCGCTCAGTCTTTCGCTCATTCTTTCGTTCATTCATTTATTCATTCGTTCGTTCATTCGTTCGTTCATTCGTTCGTTCATTCGTTCGTTCATTCGTTCGTTCATTCGCTCGTTTAGTATTTCGTTCATTCTTTCGTTCATTCATTCGTTCATTCGTTCATTCATTCGTTCGTTCTTTCCTTCGTTCATTCGTTCGTATGTTCGTTGACTCTCTGAGATAAATAAATAGATACACGGAATTTTCAAAGACTCTTCTTCGGATTGAAATCATCTCGCTGGTTGTTACTCACTTTACAATTTATTAAGTGTAACTTCAATTATTAATCTTAACGACGACATAACTTACCAAGTAATGTCCATGCCTCGTAAGCCTTGGTCTGTGTTATTTCATCATAACTCATGTCATTGAAAAAAATATCCAGTGAAATAATGTTTTCGCTGTGAAAAGATACAGAGTTGAATTGACCCCCATCGCTATCAAGCTTTGGCTAAGAGCTCCTTATTTTTAATAACAATTTTTGTGGTCATTTTCTTCCAGGCCATTGGTTAAAGGTAGTTGAATTGTGCAGGAAACCGGGAAAGTATCTTTGCTCTCGAAGCTATCTTTCGTGTATCTAGAATACCAAAGGGAAGTCGCTAACAAACTGCACATTCCAGAACACATGACAAAAAAGGGGGAAGGTAGTTTAAAGGCATATGACGCCATATTACACGCCACTTACTCTATGTATTCCTTTTTCTCACGATCTGACAAGTTCAAGAAGTTCTCGTAGAGAAGAAAGTCCTTAGTCAAATTCACATTTGAGCTAAGTTTTTCTGCAAAGACTTCTCTCTGCAACCCAGCATAAGACAGGAATGTTTCGTACTCAGTGTGCTGGCAAGGCTCACGACAACTTTCTTCACATTTATCTCTGAACGTCGATTTTCCATATTTTCCTGCATCCAGAGAGTAAAATGACATTGTTATCAATTATGAGACTAGTATCTATAATCATCAGTTGAATTTAGATAAGATAAACTGACGCAATAACCATCTAATAGACCGATCGACGATCAACTGGCGGTTATTGAAACATTTGATACTGACAAACTGATCATGGTACTGCTTGAAACAACGTTGGAGTTGCAACTTACTGTACGTCGGGAACAGACAAAGCACTGTATCATTGGCAGCACAAAGAGGAACCTGTAAATCTGCAACAAAATAATAATAATAAAAAGAGATACACACGCCTTAACGATAAACTGTGTAAATAATAATAAGAACTTGTAGGATACAAGTAAATTGTAACCAGAAGCATACACTAAAATATCACCTCTATATTCCACAGGTCGGCAACCACATCTTGCGATGACAAACTGCCCTAAGCACTGCATTAAACAGCCAGGCTTGGAATATGAATTATCAGTGTTATGCAGCTTTTCCAGTTTTCTATTCTTAATGCAGCTAGTTACGTACGGATATTCTAAGTTTACTATCTGAAAAAAGAAAACATAGAGTGAACTTAAATTTTGGAATGGAAGCGAGGAAACCGTGTAGAGTCATTCTGAAGATCTCTCGTCTTACGATTCTGCTTTTTCAACCGAAAAAAGGAAGCAAAGGTAGTTGGAAAAGTAAGTGACAAGCCCATATTTCTATGCAAAGCCTTAGTAACAGCATCATGAAAATTTGAATCAAGTATGGTATATGATTTGTGGGAGTCGATTGCAAAAATGTTAGCACCGAAGAAGTGTTTAGTTACAATAAACGTTGGGACCCTACGGCCTTATGGATCGCAGTGAGTGATGGAAGCCATCCAAGTTTTCCTTGAAGGAAAAGAATATAATATAAAAAAATTTTACATGAATAATGAAGAAGTGAATTATTGCACTTTAAATGTATCTGTGGGAACATTTCTCATAAAGCTTCTAGATCTCATCGTTCGTGGATAATGCCTTTTAGTTCTCAAAGTTTATGTAATCGAGTGTATACGTGACTTACTAATCTTAAAATCAATGGTTGAATAGAATCGGTTTTTTTTAATCAAACCTTTTTCCTTTTTATTGAGCAGAGAGTTCGAACACCTGGCTGCACGAAGAATCCAAACTGTTCCATAAAAGGAAATGTTCTCTGATCATGAATAAGAACTGTGAGCCCCACAAAGGGGTTGAGAGGATTTTCCAAATAACTTTCTCTTTCAATGTTCAACAACAGCCTCAATCCGTTCAGCTGCCCGGCCATGGTGGCGTTTATTACAGGATTACCGTTCTGGCCTGAGTTAAAAGTGTAACATCGACCATACGTGGAGCTTATAAACTGGATAAAGTTTTCAGGGCCACATGCTGTCTCATCTATCAAACAAGAGTTGAATGTTGGCCCTGGAAGGAGCATTTCTTCGATTTCATGACTGAAGAGATTCAGGAAGAAAATATTCGGAACTTCGCCATAAAATCGCCAGAACAACTCCTGGTGCTTAGTCTTTGTCTCATTGTGAAAGACATCCTTTGAACGGGCTAACAATTTGGCGATAACGTCGCGCTTTTCGTCGATTGTCTCCATGGACAAGTTCCTTTCAATCTGGTAACTCCGGTATCTTCGAAGGTTGAAGAGATTCAAGTTACAAAGTGTGACAGCGGGAAAAGGCAAACTAGTATCACACTTTCGTGTAATTTTCGTAATTTTGGTGTTAAATGGTCGCTGGTAATAAAATATGACACCCGCGTAAATTTGAAAGAAGCAATAACCAGAGCTTAATATTAGAAGAACTGTCCAAAATCCTCTTCGGAAGACATTTTTGCTAAACAAGAAACGAGCTCCGTGCATTGATGTTTCCTCTACAAAGGATCTGAAGGTTTCAGATTTAGGTTGGCTGTCGTCCTTTGCGTTTCCGTTATCATTCACCGAGGCGATTGCATGAGCAGTTTCTTCAGTATTTTGAATCCTGTTATCTTTAGGTACAACCGCCATTTTGTTTCGATCTTTCTAAAAGCACATAGATTTATGACTTATTCCTCCGCTCGACTTTCCTTATTAAGTATCGCAGACTGATCAAATAGACTGCATAGGCCGATTTCAATAACATGACATCTTTTACTAGTTATTAGCGAGCGTTTTGAATTATTAATGAAGTTCAAGAAAAATTGAGCATTGTTGACAGTTCATGACATTTTTAACCTTGATGCTAAAAATTCTTATTTGAAAAGTATGTTATTTTCTTCTTTTTCAAGTGAAATTTAGGAAAGATGAAAATAATAAAACCTTTAGAATTTGCATGAAAATACAGACAAACAGCCCTTTTAAAACAAAAAACAAAAAGAAGTCAATTAAAAAGGTAAGGAACATTAGGCGATTGGGATGTTCTCCCAACAGCCTGCATGGATTCTAACGGGGATGAATAATTTTAAAACAAAAACGTTTGAGATGAGTTTTTAACCAACTTTTTTTTTAAATAAATATCGAAAACTTGGAAAGTGAGACTTCATAAGTCACTTGCCTCAAGCTCGTGGTTTTTTTTTTCGTTTCTCGAAATGTAATCGAAATGTAATCATTTTCCCTGTTGCGTCCTGTTGCGTATCAACAATAATACTCGCATATCAAACTGAGGCTACTTGTGGTCCTGGGGTGAACTCTGACAACTTTCACTTGAAAATAACTTATTTGAAACGTAAACAAAACATCTGCGCTGAAATTGAATTGCAATAATTTCCTTTATGATAATAAATATTGGCGCTTTCTGATTGGTGATTACATATGTAATACCATGTACTTAGGCATCAATTTTTCAAATGGACGCGCGCAATTTTTTGTCTGTGATTTTCTGAAGAACAAACACATAAAATGAGACAACGAGAAGTTGCTTTGATAATACGTGGACTAATCGCAATGTTTCAAATAAATGATGATTTTTCAAAAGAAATGTTTTAAACAAAGGTCCCTCCAATCTAGAAAATAAAACATACCGCCGTATAAAATCATGGAAAACGTGTTCATAGTTTGTAATTAGCTACCCAGTAGGAAAATTTTATAGGGAGCTTTATCATATAAACTACGGTGTTCTACATTTCTTCTGTCGGTAAGGACGAATCAATGAATGAGAATTTTGTAACTTAAAAATTACGCCCATAATTGTTTTTGTAATCATGATTCAACGCATTTTTCCATCTTGAGCCTTAGCGCCAACCCACTGTGCGATTTTTATTCTAGAATTTGTCGATTCGTTTATTTTCATTCATTAAAAAGTCGGCTTTTCTTGTCAGTAAAGGGCTATTGTGTTTATATGATAAACAAAATAATACATAGTTGCTTGTAGATATGGAATTTCTCTTCTCATATTCGCTACTCTCACTCGTGAGCTATTGAATTAAATACTCGAAGAGAAATTCCATATCTACGCGCGCCCATATATTATTCTTTATTTACTTGTGCTTCTCTCAGAAAATAACAGTATTTGTATATGGCTCCCCATCCACCCCTCCCCCCTCCCCCCTCCCCCCTTTGCTTTCGTCAGCCGATTGTAGTAATTTCGAGCGCTGAATTCGCTGTTAGTTACAAAGCGTGTCGTTAGTTCAACTATCTGCGCTATCGTGTTTGTGTTAGAAAGTGATTTTCTGCTTGATGGCTAACAAATAAAACTGGGCTGGATTTACAGTGTCTGAGGATGTTCTGAGTTCAGTCAGTAAAATGAAAACAAATTTAATTAAGTAGACCACCTGCTTCTAAAGGTAGCAATACTTTAATCGGCGTGTATCAAAAATAAACAGCTCTTTCGACCCGTTGGAGCCATAATAATTTGTTATATGCAAATTATAGTCCTTGGCATAATCTACACGAAGTGTAAATGAATATCGTTTTTGTGAGTGTCATTTGAGATGTTTTGGAACACGAAAACTAACTCCGTTCATCACGATCTTAGTCCCGACGCTCAGAGGACCACAAAAGATGAAACTGGTGTCAATGAAGCAATTAACAAAAATGTTAACGGAAGAATTGAAACATTCAAAGGCTTTCTTCTTGATACAACTTTGCATGGAGCTCGTTTCATGCATTCTGAAAGTTTGGTGAGGCGTTTTGCTTGGACTATATTGCTATCGGTATCACTCGGATTTTGCAGCTACATGGCATTCGGGACCTTGAGGGACTATTTTGACAGACCATTTAACACTCGAACTTCGTCGCGGAGCTCTCCTAAAAATGGCTTAACTTTCCCTGCCGTCACTCTGTGCAATTTTAACCCGCTGAATGTTAACAGAGTAATACATTTTGAAAATGCAAGCCATGACATTGAGGAGGTAAAAAGACTTAAACAGATTTCCAAAGTCCTTACACCCTCAAAAGAGGCCTTCACGGACGGTTTTCTTAACAAATTCTCGGATATCTTGAGTCGTGAAAATCTGGAGAGCTTTCTGAGACTATACAGTCATCAAATGGAAGACATGCTTCTTCCAAACTTTCCACCCACACTTTTTTCATGCTCGTTCGGCGGACTGGTGTGCGGGCCAGAGAATTTTACCTCGTTCGCGAGTTTCTTGTTTGGTCAATGTCATACTTTCAACTTGGCCCAGAATGGACGCCCATTGTTGAATGCTAAAGTAGCTGGTCGCAGAAGTGGTTTGAGACTTCTTCTGAATACACAACGCGATAGTTACATCGATAATCCAAGTAGTCCCTTCGTTGGAATAACGGTCCTGGTACATGACAGTTACAATTTTCCGTTTATGGATGAGTATGGTTTTGCAGTTGAATCAGGGACTCACACATTTTGCTCCATTAAGATGAAAAAGGTGAGAATGATCTAATAACCCCTGGAAAATTCCTTACCTCCTTCTTGTGCAATTTTGGTATTCCCCAACAATTCTCTCTTTAAAATGAACTAGGTAATAATATATATGTATAAGGGTGTAAAGAAATCGTTATGCTGCGTCGGCAATAGAGTAAAACTCTTAGTTGGTAGACAACAAGACTTGTTGATCGTGGGAAGGCAAGCTGCCCAAGCCAATTTTGAAAAGCTAATGTATTGCGTATTATTCTTCCGGGTTATAACCACACCGGATTAAGTCAACAAAAAGGCCAATAGGAATTGAAATATCAGAGGACAAGCGATCTGCAAATGTTGTTCACATTCAAAGACATTTGCATTACAAACGAATCCCTGAAAGTCTTTTCAATTAAATATTATACCCTCTTGAATAGAAATTCACCCACATTTCGCTAAATCAACCTTGGTGATTACCAAAGATAGAAAAGATAATGTAGCTTATTAAAGTTTTAAAATTACAGCTTTAGATTTGAATCAGATAAAACTTTACAAGGATTCAAACAATTACGTAATGAAATTGTCTACGTGCGCAATTGTTGTAGAAAAAAAAACTTTCGCTGAGTCTGTTAGTTCTGCAAATAGGGACGTGATATTTAAGAACATTTCCCAGATCAAAGCTACATATATTTGGCTCTGGCTGATGTCACCAATATGTCTATGTCACCAAGAAATTCCTAAACCCAGTTAACACATTTTACAGGTAACTAATTTGCCTGAACCTTATGCCACTAACTGCACACAAAGAAGACTAGAGATGTTCCGCAGCGGGAAGTCATTTGCATATTCTAAGCCGGCTTGCCTCATGCAATGTCGCAATAAGTTTGTGATAAAAAAGTGCCAATGTACCATGCTGGAGTTTCACGGTAAGATAAAATAGAAAAAAATTTGATTAATGTGACCTCAATGTAAGTTGTTCAAAAATATTTTAGGTTGAACTTTTAGGGTTTGGTGTCTACTTCGGAATTGTATTTACTTTGTTACAAAATTTACAATACATTTTGTGAAAAGTAGTCAACGCGTCTAAGAATGTCAAAGAGTATTATTGCATTGCCTGACACAGGTTTCTGGCTCATTTTGTCTTACACCTGCACTCTGCAAGGCTACTTACTCTTCTCATTATCTATCACGAGATAGATCGCGTTTCGTAGCCAATCAAGATACAGCTTTTGTGATAGATCACTGGTAAAATTAGCCACGAGGTTTTTACTAATCCATGACTTCTTTAAAGAAAGAATCATCATATTATCATATCTGAAACATGTCACGTCCATATTTTTTCATCAGCAAACGCTCCTGTTTGTGCGCCAAATGACACAGTAATTTGTGTTCTTCCTACTCTTGGTGAGTTGAAAGTATCACTGTGGGCCAACCTTATAAAATTACATAATAATGCAATTGCATGTATTAGGCTTTGTTACTTCTTACTTATGTATATGTCATTTTCTTACACTGATTGCTGCAGACAATCCCTCTTTGAATCGAAATGTTACACTTGTTCAAGCAGATGCAAGTTTACCATTTTTGATAAGAATAATGCAAAGGCAACCACAGTTTTATCAGTTCCCTCAGATTTCTAACTTCTAACTTACAGAAAAATTTAGCTCATCCAAAGATGGCTATCGATGTGAGCAGGATTGTCCTCAGCCTTGCAGTCACGTGGAGTACGAGACATCTCTGTCGTACGCTGGACTTCAGAAGGATTTGTTTGTGGATTATCTTTCGTTATTGTTCAATGGCACTGCTAACAGGACAATATCTTCTATGTTACAACACACATATCGGCCATTTCTCAACATGACCAAATCAGAGAAGCATAAATATATAGAGTAAGTCCCCTGAAGTTTGTGTTTCATTTTCCTCTGTGTAGTCCTGGATCTTAAATTGTTTGCAATAGTTCGCTCTGTGATTGTTCCTGAAAACCAGTGCAATTCTCTCAATTTATGAGATGTGCTAGAAAACAAAACAATCACGACTCAGTCACGTGCATTTTCCCTCGCCCCACGACTTTGTGTAGTTATTTACTGTAAATAACAATTTCCCCCTGTGACATTTTATGTTACTTTGAGTCGCCTCTGTGATTATCTTATTGATTAATTTTCCCGAGTTCCACCCGCGTAACCAATTTTAAGAACAATGATGGCTAGACTAGATAGATTATCAATGTTCGTATTTTAAACGTAACCATTTAAATTTTCCCAAACGTGTTTGGTGCATTTTCCGCTAATTGGACAGTTGGCTGTAATCGTACACCTGTCATCGGACAGTTAGAGCAGCCAATCATACTTAGTCCTTACAGCCAAATCTACCAATTAAAGAATTGATCACAATAACCATAGCAGGAACCATTTATCCTATATGAAATTCCCAAAATTGAGGAATTTTTTACTCTAGTCATTGTCTCTACCGGAGGTATTTGTCTTAAATGTATTTGTTAACGTTGTTTTCGGAAATTGTAACAGTTTTGATGAATTGGCCACAGGACTTCATGTCGTTCCATTTTGTCTGTAACCACACTCGTGATTGACGAATTGGACTCCCGCTTCGCGGTCGTCCGATCTCGTGAATCACTCGTATGATCTCAGACCAAATTGGACTCCACTCGATCGTAATCACTATTAATAATTAACCAACTTTTTTAAAAATGATTTTCACAGCAACAATATTATTTCTTTGGACATCTATCTCAAAGACTTGAACTACGATGTGTTGGAACAAGTTCCCATGTACGAGGTCTGGGGACTGTTTGGTAGGTATCAACATTCATCTTGTTTTAGATCTGTTACTGATAGGGCTCCTGTTAGGGTAAAATACTTTCATAAAAAACGATGCATGAAGTGTTTGGTAGCCGTAAAATACTCGACCGAAAATGCGTTTATTTTTTAATCTCACTGATTAAATCAATCTCTCCGAATGATGATGATGAAATCTGTTGTAGCTATGGAACACTCGTGACTAGTTTTTGTTTAACGATTTCATTTTGAACATTCCACAGCGAGTCTCGGTGGAAACTATGGTCTATTTCTGGGAATAAGTGCTCTAACAGTTTGCGAATTCCTCGACTTTGGCATCAGAAAGTTTTGCCACAAGATTTTGTCTGAGAGGAAGAAAAGGAGGCGACAGGAAAAGTATCCAACATAAATCGCTTGAGTAAAACGGTTAAAAATTCTTGCATTCTGGAAAACGTGGCGGATCTATTTGACAGATCGTTTTGTAAATAAAGTTAACTACTTTAAGCATTGCGAGAATCCAGGATCTACGATCGCTTTGGCGTATCACAGCGATATTTTGATACAAAAGAGTAACATTTTGACACTTAAAGGCGAGGCATCAAAAACGCAGATTGGCGTCGTGTCGGAAATTGCATGTCCCATGGAAGTATAATTCTCCGGGGTAACCAATCCCCACCCCTCCCCTCCCATCCCCATCCCTTTTGCTAAAGTTCGAAGCATTTTAATAAATCCTGGATCCGCCCCAGATGCAATGAATTTTATCTTGGACATTTTTCGGGGACGGCAATGGTTCAGTAAATCAAATTCCTTACCTGCAGTTATGTAAAAAGTGTTGTTCTTAAATAGAACCAAACAATCTTCCGCGCCCTGCAACAGCTAAACATGCTTTAAAGCTAGTGAATATAGTCTGAGTTTTTATTTCTCCAGGTAATTTAATTATGTAGATAAAGGGCAATCTAGTAAAAGCAAAATCCGTAAAACTGCCATGCTAAACGGTAACTAGCAGCCACACTAATGTAAATAAATTACAAAGCTCTACTTTAATTTGTCTTTTTCACGTAATAAATTTCAGTTTCTCCCTGCATTAATCCTAATAGAAAATATAAAAAATAAATCTACCATATTTATTTTATTTTAAGATGATTTCTGTGCCGAAAGCGTTAATGGTTTTTCCTGCGTAATTACGAAAATGACAGATGTCGAAGATAACTGCCTCTGTAAGTGGTTTTTAATTTTTCTCACCACTTCATCAAAGAAAGCAGCTGGAAGAACGTATAACAATAAAATAATTAATCTGGGGAGATAGCCACATGTTAAAAGGGGTGTAATTTTTCAGTCGGGTTCCAAAAGCAATGTAGGGATGCATTAATTTGCTTTTTTATATTTTTGTTCTGAGCCAAGCAGAAACAGAAATATGTGACATTTTCCTTCAAGCTGATTGGCTGGGGTGATTACCTAAGTTTTTGTTAAAGGTCACTTTACCATCAAAGGAAAATCTTCACCCTGGCTTCCGTTTGCTATCTAAGCAGATAAAAAAACTCAAAGAGAGGAAATTCAGGCAGTGTTTCTAGAAAGAGAGGATCTTTAAGACAGCTGTATATTCAATTCATATTCAATTTTGGCCAGTGATTGAAAAAGAGAAAGAAAGACTTTCATTTCAGTGTGAGAGAAGATGTCTTCTTGTGTTAACACATCATGCACTGCGCAAGAGTTCATTTGCCATGGACTCCTTGTTGAGGTTCTTCATGAAAATCCAGAGCTGCTCATTTTCAATATTTCGTTCCAGATACTGAACAGCATTGCAGCCACGTTTGGAAATGTTTTGGCGTTGCTCGCAATATGGCGCACACCCTCGCTTCATTCTCCGTCCAACACACTTTTGTTTGGCTTGGCCGTGTCCAATTTGGGTGTTGCATGTTTGGCTCAACCTTTGCACGTCGTATTCCAGGTATCGATGTATCGGGATGATCGAGATGTAAAGTCATGTGCGATAAATATTACAGGCTTCTTTCTAAACGTCTTCTTTAGTATGGTGACACTCCTAACAATGACTTTGATAAGCATTGACAGATATTTAGCCATATCTCTGCATCTACGATATCGTGAGATCGTCACGATCACTAAAATAAGAATCCTTCTTTGTTTTTTATGGGCAGTAGGATGCGCTGCTGCGATGGTGTCTTTTTCGACTTTCGAGATATTTCAGTGGACTGTAGTCGCTCTAGAGTTGTTCTGTCTCTCAGTTGTGTTTTATACTTGGATTAGAATCCATAAAATTGTCAGACGACATCGAGCTCAGATTCAGCAACAACAAATTCAAATTGAAAACCAGCCGTTTAATATGTTGAAATTTAGAAAATCTACGTTGAGTTGTAAGCTCCTGATATTCGTTTATTGGTTTTGCTATCTTCCTCAATTCATTTGTCTTATTTTTTTAAAATTTAACAGGGAAAAGAACAGCTTCTTGGCCCTTTTTATAAGCTGCACTGCTGTAGTACTAAACTCTTCATTAAATCCCCTCATTTATTTCTTGAGGCAGGAAGACATGCGGACATCCGTTAAGCAAATATTAAGATCAATAACTCGCTGCCAAGAACAACATTAGACTCTCTCAGTAAGACCCTTGAGATCGATGCATGGAATGGAAATATAATTTTTCGAGAAAATTTTTCAGTCGTTTGACGAAAATTAATTTTCTCTGTCATGACAAACTAACTTTCAGTTAAACTAGAATAATTTAAACGTTCGAGTACTATTCCTTGTGACTTGGCGTCTCACGATTGTTCACAGAAAATGCAAGACTGCATATTAATTGATCAAGCGAATTGAAAATATAGATCATAAACGCATGACAAATGACTTTTCTATAAGTTTATTTGCTTTTTCATGGGGCATTTTTGGCAAAATCAAATAGAAAGAAAATAGAAAGAGCATAATATAAACAGCTTGATTTTTTTAAGCTTATTTACATGATTTCAAGTCAGTTCAAATGGACGGAAAAACGTCGAAGGTTGGTTTCTTACAAGAAAACGTTCTCTACTCCGGTAGGAGTAGAGAACGTTTTTTAACGTCAATGCAAGAATGAGAGAAATATCAAAACAATGAATGTGCTTAATGTCGTTAGCTGCGTACTTTGATTTTCGGCTATTTCTTGACCAAATCTGCAAAAAAGAAAAAAGGAGAAAGGAAAAAAAAAACGAGGAAAAAAGAAAGAAAAGTAAAGAAACTGAGCATAAAAAACGAATTTACATTCGTTTCCAGTACAGTGTTTTATCGGTTCTTTGATCCTTTTTGATGTCTTTTTTGTGGGTCTGTTATCTGCCGTCTTTGTCTCCTTTGTTTAATAGCAACAGTACATTACAAATAATTGAGGAATTTGCCAAATTTACCAAGGCTTCGGAAGGAACTGAATTGAATTTTACCTGATATAACTTTACCAGGCTCCTTGAAATACGAATTTTTAAGCATTACCATGAACTCTCCCGAGGAGCCAAAATTCTAGGCTCCTGTTAACAGTTTTGGGAAATAAAATACTTCCTGTAAAACCCCGAACCGCAAAGCAAGATGGGTACAACTCGACATTTCATTTAGGCTGGGGATGGTCAGGTGCACATACATGATTCTGTTCCTCTTCTGAATCCAGACTGTAGTAATTATATGGAAGAATGAGAAAGACAAGAGAGATTAACACAAAATACATTTTGTAGAGATAAAATTGTGTTTTTTAATATAAAGCTGATCCCCGCAAAGGTGTAATCATTGAAAAGAAATTCCGCTTAAACGGAATTGTCAAGTGATTATAACCGATCACGGCTCAGTAAATCAATAAAGTGTATCAACAAAATTTAGAAGCTGCTAAGTGGTTCTAAATTAATCTTAGATCCTTAAATTTTCACTAAAAATTTATAATTTCATCATCAAAGAAAAGGACTCCTTATTGTAACATGACAACCGTATCGTTCCTCTTACAACAAAGGGGTTTTTTTATTTCATGCGCATGTTATTTTATACAAATGAACTCAAAACTGTATGATTCCAAGTAACCTTAGAATCGACTGCATACTGAATGTTCCGAGGGAGCTGAAATGAAGCACATAACTGCTAATTGAGGACTGAACAAAGATCTCTCCAACTGAGGCGAAGGTATCACGCGTTGATCTCTTTCTGCTAGTCCTACTGAGCAGTGAAGACTGCCTGTACAACTAAGATTAGACGACTCGACGTGAATTTTAACCAGAAAATAGTGCTTGAAAATCATACAAGGGGAGATTATTCTTCCAAACGTCAGATCAATTTGCATAAATAAAGTGTCGAAGGTCTTCCGAAATCAGTACTTCCAAGTTATAAAAAGCTTTCATCTACTGTCATATTTAGCCTTCAAAGAGCTTGCTACTCAATGGATGAAAAACCTTTAAAAGTTCTTCTTGGGCAAAATATGTTTTTTTTTTAAGACAGAATAAAAGTGCGTAATTATCTTCGTGGTGACTTTGTGGAAGCGGAAATTACGCATGGCATCTCACCTTCCTCGACAGTCGCTGGTAAATCGGACACTTCTTCCCGTCGCTTAGCTTTGCAAGTCAACAAGCGTTTGAATTCATTTCGGAATTCTCTATTCGTCACTGCGTAAACCCAGGGTGTCAAGGAACAGCTGAGAAAGAGGAAAAACACAATGACTCGATTAGCTGAAGGATGTAAATGATTGGGTTGCAACCGTGTTATAATGGATATAATGTACTCTGGGATCCAGCAAGCCAAGAAGAATAACACAACGCCGAACACAGTTCGAGTTATTTTTATCTCTTCAATGTTCAGCCTATCTCTCGTTCGAAACGTGCATGAGATCTTGCGAGCGTGTTCTCGAATGTTACAGAACACCTTAGCGTAGCAATAAACCACTATTACGGATGTCACGCCAAAATATAAAGCCGCTTTAACTGTGCTGTAGACAATGTCTACAGAGGAACTGTCGAATATCAGGATGCAGCTTATCCGCTTTTCACTGAACTCGTACTTCGCGAAGGACGGCAAAGAGAAGGACAGTATAAATGCGAATTGGATTGCCCAAATCAGAACCAGAATGCCACAAGATCGGCGTTTGGACGGAAACAGCTTTTTGTAAATATTTGGTTTAGTTATTCGACAATATCTATTAATTGCTGTCAGTGCCATAGTGTGGAGAGTAGCGAATTCAATGAACAACGTCATAAACGCTTGAAAGCTGCAGAATTGTCTTCCAAAGATCCACCTCTCTCCTGCAAAAAGAGTCGCCGTTACTGTAGGCCCGATGAAGACGGCGAATAAAAAACCGAGAATGGCTAGGGCCGCGATGTACACATTTGTGGGCGTTCGAAGCCGAGAATTTCTGTAAATCGTCAAACAGACCAAGATATTACCAATGATAGCAATCAGCGTGCCTGCCAAAGCCAATAGTCCGGTTAACACGTCAATGTGCCTCATCCTCCGAACAGTTATGCAGGCGAAAGTTGCAAATATCACATGGTGTGCCAGGGGCTTGTAGATAGAAAGAGTCCTCCGAGTAATGCAAACGATTATCACTTCAACACATTGGTCACAGCATTGTAATAACATTCATAACCTGATGCTAAGAGGTTTCTTATAGACTTACTACACCTCTCTTTCAGCGCAGCTTCGTGTTAAAATCATTAAAATTTTGGATCAAACGTTCTTCCCAGTGTTCTTCTCAGCGGACAAAAGTTATTCTCGTCAGTTCTTAAAACTGACTAAAGGGACATCTGTTTAAGATGGGTTTTAGTCTTGTGACTAAGCATGTTCATAATTACTTTATTTTTTTTGTTTCCCCCGACAGGAGCGATTTCCATCGCTCTGAAACCCCAGGTGTATTTCAAGATTGAGAACAACAGGAGATGCACTTCTGTCAGTTAAATCATCAAATTGCGTGTCACAGCCAACCAAAACAAAACCTCGTAAAGTTGAATTAAAGCAACGAACAAATTAGGAGAGGTGCCTTTCTGTCTGAACGCTGCGAATTACCCATAAATTTAGGTTAATTGATTGACTTGTGTAAGGATTTTAATTTTGTATATACATAAAGCTGATTGGTGATACCAGGGGATTGCAACATCCTTCATTGCAACTGTACGTCAATAAAATGAGTCCAAAAAAATTCTTCTTCCTCCCGCAGTTCACAAAGTGCTTGATTTCAATGGAAATAGTGATAAAAAAAACCTTTGTATTGAGAACGCACATGCATTCGCCATTTTTAAGTTGTTTTAAAGACTTAAACAGCTGTGTTTTATTATTCAGCGCTATAAAAAATAGAATGCTCGCTGTAGGTTATCTGGAATACACTATAGATTGTACTCAAACTCCCCACGTAGGTAAAATCGTAAATATTTCTTTCATTCACAATTCTTTCTTACTTTTCTTCATAATCCTTAAGCTTATTTTTGATTTGTTAATATCCATACTTGGTATTCACAAAGCCCAGAGGCGGTCTCTGGTAGCAGAAGTCTTTTAATTGCAAAGTAGTATTTTAAACTTTAAAAGGAAAATATTCTGTTAAACAATATAAACACTAAATCAATATGCAAAGAAGTTTCTTTGAAAGAATTACTCGATCCACCGTTTTGGTGTGACGACTTGAATTTTCTATTCTCTGCTGGTAAAACTTGAGCTATATCCATTAGCAAAATGAGTGACCGTCGTAATTAAAGATAGTGTGAGTAAAAGACAGACACAACGTCTACGTTGAATAAATTTAATATGGAATGAACGAGAAAATTGCGTCTCCTTGTTATTGTGCAGGTAAATGGATGAGATTTATCTTAAAATCTCTTTTCTTTACGGTTGCCATTATTTACGGACTCCTTAATCTACTTCTTAGCATATCATCAATATGGTCGGAGTTACTCAACATTAAGATTAAATTACTGTTGACTTCAACAGAGAAAATAAACATAACTTAAGGGCCTAGGCTTCCTCCCTTTTTCCTGCGAGAAACTTTCAAAGTTTACAATCGACCGGTGTGGTGCCGCAGACGATACTTGAAGGAAATTTTTCAACACAGCTGACTAGCGTGTACCTAAAAACCTTTTCTTGGATTTGCATATTGGAGATATTTTGTGTTTTGCAGAGGGGGGCTACACGATAGATGATTCATAAGTGGATACGAGCGAGTCCAAGTACGAAAATTACTTGGTTCTCCTTAGGATAAATTTTCTTTATTTCTCTGGGGATTTTCTTTCGGTTCGAGGACAGTCCTCACTGAGAATCCCGAAAAATTTAAGATTATACAAAATTGCGATGCCGTATGTTTATATCATTTTGTAGATGAAGCTACTTATAATGACATGCAATACCGAATATTACTCACCTGCTATGAGTGTTTTTTAACATCCAGTTCGGGAGAAATTGTCTGGTGATAAGTCGTTGTAAGTAGCTTCATTAAAAAAATTTAAACAGGTTCACTGTTAAAACTTTTATTTGTCGCTGCCCATAAAATAATTGTGCTGTAACTGGAACTCCGATTCATCGTACAAATAATTAATCAAGCTTCATTTCTTAGTATTATTTTCTTGAAGATGACCGAGAGATCGCTCGGAAACATGACCCTTAGAATTAGTTAGTTTATTTCAAACGTCGTTTTTTTCTACGGAATTGATGTCAGACCTTAAAAATTCATCACAACGAAATTGAACTTTAATCATTTATAAGAATAATATGGGACTTAAATTATTAAATTGCCTTCATTCATATTACCTGCATATCACTTAGATAAATGTTGAAAATGTTCGCTTTCCTGAAAACGTTCGTCTACCTCTAATTTGGCAGGATCGAGAGAAAGGGTCACTTGAGGGTGTTTGTGTTTACACAAGCTTGATAATCTGGCCAATACTCTCTGAAGTAAGAAGAAACTTTTGCAACGCGTTCGGGGTCAAATAAGACAGTTTATTAATTATTATGGGCTTAATGTTGATAACAGTCAAGATATCGCCTTAGCAAATTTGAAGACAGTTAACCTTTCGCAGCATGCCTGCTCTTCGTCAGAGCAATTCGTGGGATAGTAGTTTATGTATGTAACGATGGTAACTGATAATGCTTGTTTATGCATAAGCCATTTGCATGTATTAGCGCATTGTCAACTATCATAACCTCAGTTGATCATGGTTCACTCACAAGCTCAAACAAGCTCAAACGTATCTCGCCGGTGAGCCGAATTTTATGTAAGAGGGAAAAGCTCGTTTCATTTTGGCGAAAATAATAATAGGATCTTATCTTAACAAAAGCCATTTTTCCACAGAAAACTAGTAAATCTCTCAATATGGTTCAATGCCATATTTTTAAGAATTAGATGAACAGTCTCGTTCGAAAACTGTCACAAGAATACCAATTTGGAAACGATAGCTAGAAGAACGAAGTATAAAACTCCCCAGAGATATTAAAGATATCCTATATTCCTGAAAAACAAAAGAAAAATAGTTTTTCTTTTTCGTGGTAATTTGAAAGAGTTATCAATTGGTCGAGCTTTGAACAATTAAATAAGTTGCAAAAATTGTCATCACAACAAGCTGCACCAAAAGATATTACGTGGTGTATGGCCGCTATTTCATATGATTGTTGATTATACCTCACACCTGTTTTGTTACCACATTCATGAGAGTTTATATCCAATACGGTAAAGTCACATCCACCAACATACATGCAATGCTATATCTACTAATAGTTGTAATCTATCAATTATTTTTGCCCGCGAGCGAGTGATCCTAACGAATCGCGTGACCGAATACGCACCAGTTAGAGAGTATCCAATCATGTGCCTCAAGTGATGCTATCCAATTTGCAAACTCATAACTCATAACATTATACCAGAGAAAACCGACAGTAAACATCCCCCGCAGCAAACGGTAAGCTGTTAATAAAAATTTTCCCCCGCCCATTGAAAAAGTGATTGATGGACTAATAAACGAAAAAACCTCCATTTGGCGCGAAAAAATGCTCATAAATTTGCCTTGGACTTAATCTGTTTCTCAAAGTTCACAGTATTCCTCGAGCATTGTTCTCATCTCTTATCAGATAATGTCTGCGGACTAATATCCGTGCATAATTTGCCACCAAATGGAGGCTGTTGTGTATATAGATGTTTATAGACCATTAAGATGAAAGGCAATGCCAGGAGCCCATTAAACCTGGAGCCTCCATACCAACTGTACCGTTGAGTCAACCCTGTCCCGTATTTTTTTTTGTTTTTAGGACTGAGATATGTGGGGGGGGGGGGGGGTTCTTTAATATCCGTCAAAAAACACTCTGACGTTCGCATAACACCCTAAAAAAAATGGCGGCCCAAGGCGAAGGCTGACCTCTATTCCTTCTTTACATCTGACGTACACAATAGAGGACCACAGCTCTCTTATGATTTGGCTATGATGCAAACACCCGCGAAAACCCAATGGGAGGTGCTTCTAAAAATACAGGGTTGACTCAGAGGGTAAGTATGGAAGATGGAAGCTCCGTGTAATGGGCTCCTGACAATGCTTATTCTAACATGAAGCAGTAATGTTACGTTAGTGAGTAAAAATGTTGAAATGTTATACTGAGCCTCGTTGCCATGATAACGTAGCTGTTTTAACACGAATGTAAAAGATAGTGATCGTATCTCCACGGCTCGCAGCGGAGATATAGATAATCTGTCATAGAACCAGAAAAATCATTGGATTTCTTCTAAAATTATTTAATTCCTCTAGTAGTAGAAAAAGAAAGACACAAGAAAATGTATCAGCTTAAAGCCATTTCTACGTCACGATATGTGTCGTTTTTCTCGGAGTCCCCAATGACTCAGCCGGGACCTGAACCCGGCCATCCAGTCCAGAGTCCATCGTGTTAACCACGTGGTCACTACGTGACCAGCTAGTTATTGGGCTCCATATAAAAATTAATGGCAACTACAAAATGTCTCATGAATTATATTCTAAAATCATCTTCTGTTTATATACATAAAAATCGATAGCAAGGCGCCCATAAAAAAAATATGTGGAGCTAAGGTGGATGATTGTTTAAACATAAAGGTGTTCAAACTCTCGTTGATAGTATTGACTTGTTGATTTAATTCCGTAAAGCAAATTACACAGCAAATTACACATCCACGAGGAAAGAGGCTGTCCCTTCACATTCAGCCCGTCCTCTGGCACAAGCAAGGTTTATTTCAATAACAGACAGATCCATGTTACCTTGGTCGGTTCAGCAATAGATCACAGATGACGTCAAAATGGGATAAGAACAGAAAGAGGCGCACAAGGCGCACGAGGCGCAGTCGATTGTGCCACTGATAAAAAAGCAAAAGTTTGTCAGTGGTAATGTGATGCATGCGTCTGTCCTGCAATAAATCATAAGTAGAACCAACCAAACTGTATAATTCAGCCAATCATATCTACTGATATCGATATGGCTAACAATGCGAACAAAGATGGTGTTTCGACAAGTAGCTATGCCAGGAATGGATGGGAGTTTGACTTCGAGCCACATACAAATCTTTTACTCTTTTAATCAGTCGATATCATCAAGCGACGAGCTTGGCTGGATAATTCCGTAGGTAAAATAAATCTTTCTATAAATTTGATTTTGACGAAATCGTAGGATTACAAGTTCAACGGGTTGCAGGTTCAACTGTTGTTATGCAACAGTTTGCATAAATTTGTCACGAAATAAAGCCGTTAAGAATACCATTTCCTATAAAGTACTTTAAAAAGGTATGGAATTTGGAAATAAAGCGTCAAACATGCTCTAATTAAGTATAATTGAAAAGGCAGCTTAACTCCTTTGTTAGCTCAAGTCATTTTCTTTTGTTCAAACCAGATTTCTGTCTATTATTACCCATTTCATAATGGAAATGGAAGGATAAGTTAATTACAGAATGGGTATTTGTTTGTCTACCGATACTTCCTGTCAATGTGGAACTCTTTACTCATAAATCCTCAAGGCGTTTAAGAAGAGTGCAATTTGCCTAATGCTAAAGCTACAGAGTGGATTCATGGATTAAAGAGAAGCTAGAGTCGTCCAAGCGATCTACAGTCTGCCTCCAACTAGCCAGTTACGCGCAGATAACCCCAAAAAAGTAAAAGTGTTGAAAATTGGAGCACACGTGAATCAAACACGAAGCTCAATAGAAAAATTCTTGGCGTTAATCTTTTAATCCAGGATCTTGACGTGTCAAACTGACTTTTATACGCTCGTGCAATTAATGCTTTTAATATTTGTTTGCACGTCTGTAAGCTCTTTGGTTGTCATGATGAGGTAACTTCCGCTCACATTGCTTCCCATGACAGATGAGGTTCGCTATATTAGTTTGCAATAATTTTGTCGTTCTCCTAACTCTAGCACAAGATGTAAATGCATTACTAAAGGAAAACACCTGGATGAATTCTTAAGAGAAAGGAAAAGAAACGAAACTCTTAAAAACTACGAGAAAGTGATCTCTCAGAATTCAAACATCGAACACAATTTATTCATCCCAGTCAAAGTTTATGTAGGCTTATCTTGTCATTGTAACCGATGATTCGTGTAATCCTTACTAATGAGTTGTCGACATGATTAATTAGCTAAATTGAGGCCGCTAATCCTTGTTAATTCTTACCGTCCAATAAAGAACTATTAATTTCAGCTAATCCATATGGTATGTGGAAAACTTTCTTAATCAATTGCTGCACTTTTCCCTTTTCGTTGGCTAAAAGCCCGTCACTACACCACACCACTCCTCCACATATCTGCCTACAAATAATAATAATAATAAGCACGCGTATTACCGCCCAACTATATTTTACTGCAATATGTACGCAGCTCATGCGCGGTTGTGACCACGGTCTGCCGTGGATCGCGATCCTGATTTGTTAGAACGGGATTCCCATAATAAAAAATTGAACAAGCTAATTAATCAAAAAACATGCATGCATTCATCAAATCATTGAACTCGGCTATGACAAAAATATCGTTATTTATCAGCGTTTCGTGAATGTATTATTTGCTTCTGCGTTCGGCAAAGGAAACGTTATGATTGACTGGCCTCTGGCAATTAATAACTATTCCTCAAAGTGGTGGCTTCTCTATCGTTAGCCATCCTTGTCCTGTTTTACGGTTTTTTCGTCTTCTTCATAGTAAGTCTTACACAGTGCAAAACGTAAACCTTTACTCCCAAGAATGACTAATGAGTAAATTATCTCTGCGAAATCAACGCATTATCAAAAGGGGAAGGAAAATATGGACCGTGAGATTTGATCTGATGTACAACCAGATCCTCATATCTGTATTTATAGAAATTAACATGCGCCACACTACAGCAAACTGGCAAAACTTCTTTAGTTATCTCTATACATATATATATATATATATATATATATATATATATTGGTAACTCCACAAAGAATATTCCTCTACCATCGCAGAAAGATAAACGATGGTTATGAATATTCTTGACAATAAAGTCCCCTAATGAGTGAGTAATCACGAAAAGGCTTTTAGGGAAGAAATTATAGTCTCTTTGTTTTTTCTTATCTCAATATATATCGCGCTCTACTTCTTCGTATCGAGCACTGAACTACGGAAAAATCGAAACACAGACTTCAAATATATATATATACATGTATTCTTCAAAAAACAATATTTTTAAGATTTGCGAAGATTAAAATAGCTAGTCCAGTTTAAAAACTTTTAGGCCTCAGATAAGATGATTATAAAAATAGGCTCTATAAACTTTGGAGTACATCTGAGACACACTGGCCAAGATAAATCCAGTTCATAACAAGTCTTTATTGAATCGAAACGGATATCGATGTGTTATTTTAATCCATTTTTCATAATTGTGCAGACTATTAAAATATCACACTACTCGAAAACCCGCCGGTTTTTTTTACATCTATACTTCTACATACTACATCTATAACAGCTTTAAGGAAATTCATCTTTTAAATTCTTCACAAATTAACTTCTTGAATTATTTTCAGTCAACTTATGTGATGCTCAGCCGCGACTAATTACACAATCACCAAGGGTTTTTTAAATGTCAGAAATATTAGCATTATAAACAACATCTACAACGTTAACCAGCACGTATTTTTGCCAATGAAGACGAAATATATGCTTTTGCATACTCACTCCGCCATTTATTCTAAATATTCACATATTTTGTTGATGGCCTCATATCTTAAATTAATTTTTTTTCTCATTTCACCTGTTTTGGCCTGTTTCCTACCTTATTCACCCGTCAAAAACCGCAATTACTCAATTTTCAAATTAGTTAGCTTTTACCAAAGGTTTGTATATATTGTTGTCAATAAGTCAGCAAGATGAAGGGAGGTTAAAATACAATCGATAATTTTCTTGACAATATTACTTGAATTCACTGAACTTTATTTCCATTGAGTTAAAAATGTTAAGGTAATATTGATTATTATGAGATACTTTATTGTCTTTCTTTAATTAAAGTTATCTGTTATCATATCGTGAATATTGTCACATTGCAACTAAGTAACTTAGTAACATCAACATGATTAGCATTTTCGACCAAATTTATCTTCAGTCTCTTTCATCTTTAATTCCTTAACTTATATGAATCACTTCAGTTGGATATTTGGTGTTGTCATTTCTATGACTTAAGAACACAGGAGACTAAGGTCTCATAACATTTTTTAATTTGTGTCCTCTCGATGATGTTTGTTTAATTAAATAGTTTTTCATTTACGTTAGCAGGAAGAAAAACGAATAAAACGCAATCTACTAAGCCGAACAACTCGAATAAAATGGAAACCCCTATTCGACATCATGTCAAGCTTTATGAAAAGAAATAATCGCATGAAGGGAAATTAAATGTTATTCAAAAAGATTTGCATGTCTCCTGTCCGACAATGCAAAGCGAAAGAAATGGCTTTTGGAGCAAAACAAAAACATTTACTCTCTCTTCGGCTCTCATCTCTTTCCAGCTTGTGCATGCGAAATTGCATCAGCATCAAAACAATCTTGTGAATTGATAAACTGTTTTTATAGGAAACCTTCGGGATGAAAAGAAAAATTGCTTGGGCCTTTATTTCTTTTAGGCAAGGGAAGTAAATGTCGTCAATTGTTCAGTCAAAGACATAAGCAATTGTTTTTAAAAAAGGTGTTGAAATAACATATATATATCAAGGATCTGTTTCAAGCCATTACAGATAATTCCTTCTTTATATTATATTGTTATCAGCACCCTGTTTGGATGTTATCATCTTCGAAGATGACTCCTTGTTATTCTTTGTTATTCATTTGGCTTGCTTATTGTTTGACTTACGAAAGAGAAATAAATCAATAGATACATTTAACACATGGACCGCTCTTATTGCAAACAATCTTTTCAGAAAGGCGGCCAAATTGCTAATGACGCGCGAATATATTGTTTTCAATTGGTCTATAAATAGACCACAGATACGGTTCATTTGAGCTCCCTACAAGAAGCAAAATTGTAAACGGTTCTGTAAATGTTCTAAAGGATGCCAATAAACAAGGGTTTTTTTTGTCCCTTTTCCGGGCGTTTGTATAACCCTCGCGATCACAACTGGTCGAGCATTTTGTTTTCGCGCGATATCATCACCTTGAGGTGGAACGCAAATTTATTAACAAGCCCTCAATCATTTAGGAGCTTTACACTGGCTTCCTCCCAAAACACCTGTCAGTGATCAGCCAATGAACGCATTCGATGGCCTCATAACTACTCCATTATTCGCTATCTTCCATTACAAACCTACTATATCAATTAATGCTTGCTACGACAGCCTATCAATCAAGAGTGTAACGCTTGGCTGCGCTGCTGACAGGCGCATCACAACCTAAGTCAACTTTAGTTTATTAATGTTAACTTTTTCTTTGAGCAGGACGAAAGACGCATAGCACAGCGACACCTCTGGACGATCACTACACGAGCTGGTGTTATAAAGCGCAATCCACAAGAGAGTTTCAATGGAACGTCAACAGTTTTTCCTAAGCCCGTTTTTGGATGTCAAATCTCGCTCTGTACATGTTCCTCCATACCCACCACTATCTCCCGGAATAAAGCAACCGATTTCTCCGATTCCACGAGTTCCAGTCACCAAACCTGGTTCATCTTACAGAATCGACGACATTCTGAGTAAACCTGATCCACATCCATCCATAAGCATGCCCACAACCATTCACTACAGGTCATATCCTTCCCTACCACAGCGCCGATACGGCTATGGGCCAAACGTACCTTATCTGTGGAGCAACATGTTGCAGTCTCAGTGGCGAGAAAGATTCAACGGTATGTCACTTAGCACGTTTTAATTTCATGTCCGCGGTCTTCTTGAGCAAATTATTGCTCTTGTCAGCATTTTCTGGTATCGCCTGGTAACCCGCATGGTTAACAGTGGGTTAAAATTATTGTTTACCACAATAACTATTATCCAAAATATTTATGCCGTATTCATCGAAGCAGTTGTTGCGCGTTGGTTCCTTTGGTTTAGTAGCATTAAGTTTGGTAGGGCTAAATACATCCTGATTATTGGAAAATTGTTGATTGCTATAACTCGGTTCAGGTTTAAGCTTTGCCATAGTCGGAATACCGAAAAAAGTTCAAGTCTTTTGCGTTACACTAAATATCTCATCACATCAATCTCAATGCGATATTTGACTGTGTGGGAATAACATCTAAAGTGTACTTCAAAAATGTGTTTGGCTGAAAAAATACTTGAGTGAAATATAAATTAAGGGATGGCTAAATCTCCCTGAACCAAAGCGCACCCACAAAGAGTTGATTTTATTTGTTACTTTATCGAATACCTAACTTCACCCAGGTCATTATTTCCCTTTCTAATTTGACAGTACAGCGATAATAAATACTATAATCCTTGAGAATAGCACATATCCTCTTCATTTCCTCTCTGCGCTCTTTATTTGCACAAAAGCCTACACCTAAACAAACGCCGTGTACACAATAAAACGACATCTTGGAGTAGCAACAAATTGAAGATTTTGAACGGCATAAAATTTTACCTGTGAAACCAATGCTTGCTTTGTAGCTTCTTCATTGGTGTTCTTTCAAGGCAAATTTAAATTTCCTCCTGCTCTTCCCCAAGCCGCGGGCTTTAGCTAATTACATAATATATAACCACAGCTAATGCCACTAATCTCGAATTTACAAAGCCATGAGCGTTTATTCTCTCAATTCTGCATGTTTCTCGCAGCGGCTCAGGTCCATTCGGCCTGCGGTGAGAGAGAGACGGATGGGAAACGGAAACATACTCGACCAACGTTTAGCGGACATCAAATATTCGCCCTGGAAAAAACCTTCGAACAGACGAAATACCTTGCCGGGCCTGAGCGAACAAGGTTGGCGTATTCCCTTGGAATGACAGAGAGCCAGGTCAAAGTTTGGTTTCAGAACCGTAGGACAAAATGGCGCAAGCGCCACGCCGCGGAAATTGGCGCGAAAAAACCACACGAAGACGATGAATCCGTCGATGGCGCACAAATTGTTGATGTTCACGAAAGGCAAAGAAGTCCTTCGCCGGATAACGAAAGGTGTTAATAAGCAACAAGCAGCTTATGTAAAAAAAAAAAAAAAAAAAAAAAAAACGTGTACACTCTGTAGTATATTTTGAACGAGGAAACAAAATGGTCAAAAAAAGGTGCCCATTGAGAATCGATCGAGGACATATTTATTTCAATCAGGAACTCTGGGAAAACAAACTTTTGGAATTTTTCAGCAAGATGAAAAGCTGCTCCAGGGTTCACATCTTTATGAAGGCGTCAGATGAGAATATATAATAATAGGCCATAAATATAATTATGTCATAGCTTTTATTGCAAATGATGAACTGTTAAATGTTGATAATGTATCGAGAGAAATTCCTAGCTGAAGTGATTGAAATTAATTCAGACCCAAAATTTGAAAATCAGTCGATATAACAATTTCTTCTGAATTTATTCTGTTCAAAGTTACTGTGATGTGTTGTGTGTTTTGGTAGCCTTCCACAAGATACAAATTGCTTAACAACTTTAATTTTTAATGACATTGCTTGGGCGAAACTTTTAGTTTGTCGGATGTTCAGTATAAATCAATCTCGTTTTTCACTTCAAAAAAAATCATCACCTCTGTTTTTCTTTTTATGAAAGATTTGAGTGTGCCTTTTCTTTGTATCCGAGTTTTGTTTTCATCTTCTAATCGTCGTTTATTGAATCATACTGTTTGTTTTGAACCAGCAGCGTCTATGCGATGAAAAACGACGAAAAACCGTATCGAAGGCTTCATAAATAGATTTTCTCAAATCTGTTCTTGTCACAGCAATGCAAATGGTTTGAAAACATCCGTGAATTCCGTGTTAACTTTCGCGAACCGCCTTGCCGTAGAGCATGCAATTTTAAGATAAATAATTTAACGAGATTGCCTTTGGCCAACTATGAAGAATAAATAGCATTGAAAATTGTTGATAATGATTCAGTCAGAAAGTGAACACTTGCCAATGTCTCTTAACACATTCCCCAGATTCTGGTGGCTTGTTTGTTTACAGGTTAATACAAGCAGGTGGTAACAACCAGCCGATGATGTGAATGCATTATTGTGGTTACGAATAACGTTTCACTGCCCATGTTTTGCTAAATAATTCATAGTGTAAGTCACCGTGAGTCAATTGAATCCAGCCACAAGCCTACGCATTCAGATAGTAATAGACATAGAGGTTATCTTCCATCAAAACATTACGAAGTTATGCCATCATAAATATTTCTTTAATATGGATTTATTTCTCGAGTGGGCTGAGATCGAAGTTTTCGTTAGACTGTCAATTTAGTCAAAAGATGCTTTGCCTGCATGTATCCTCTGAAAATGCAGGTAAAACGGTATTTCCTAAGAAAAGTTCATGAGACACGTCTGATCGTAGCAATTAGAAATGTTTCTATTGGCACGGAAATTTTCTGTCGATTTTTTTTAACTTGCCTAAAGTTAGCGTAGTATGGACTCCTATTCACCAAGTTTTTCCTTCTGTAAAAATGAAACACGGTTCCTATTTAACCACTGACATATCTAAAGTAGCAGGTAGAACCCATTTCATAATTGTAACCCCAGAAGCTTTTTCAAACCAAAGCGGGTGATATAAATGTGCACTTTGATATACAGAGTATGATTGCATGGTATCGCTTTAATTTATAGCAACGACTGATAATGTTGACATCGTTAGGTAGGAAAGAACGAGATGGTAATTAAAAATGTTATCAGTTTATGATAACTGTCTGAGGATTAATATCAACGGATATCATTAAAAGTGGATTATTGGCACTTTGAAAGTCAAACACTTATAATTGTGGAGTAATTATAATGATTTTAGAAATGCTTGCAATGAGCTTAAACTAAAGACTTTCAAAGGTGGTATTTTCTAATGTCTGTCATTCAGAGATGGGATGATTGCATCAATTCTAGGCAAGAGTCACCGTCAGAAGCTGTGGATATTTAGCTATTTATTGTCCAAAATATTACGAGTCTTACATTTCGAAAATTCACACAGACATGTAGCGAACTCCCTTGGAAACTCTTGGTTTTAGGTTATCGTAAGAACACCAATAGGAGTTATTGCTCTAAAATTCACACGGATATATAGCCAACTCTCGAGGAAAGGCTGAGTTTTCAAGTACATGCTTAAAGATTAGAGATATTCAATCACTTTAAAACGGAAAGATTGCCGAGATCCTTGTTATTTACATTTGTTTTCAGAGGGATTGTCTGTAGAGACGAACGCTTGTAAGCGAAACATCTCTATAGATAATCTTGGTTACATATGTTCAGTTCAAGTTATCTACAAGGAAATTAATGATGGATTCTTCGTTTGGCGGGCAAAGGCTTTGTAACATTCGCTCAAACACCAGTATAAGCAATCATTTGCCACTAAATCCTCTTAAGACTGACGCAAATGCTTTTTATGAAAAAATTATTCCAATAGCGTATACAACGTACGAAAATCAAACATGGCACATTCTTCTCCAATGCCAGAGGCAAGATTTTGGATACAGCTATATTAAAAAATGTATGAAGTCGTATAAATCGTGTAATTGTCAGTAACGCTAGCTTGTTGATTCAGTCAAGAATTTACACCAAGAAGGAGTTTTAAAGACTCTAATTTCTGTCAGAATTTCTCATATAGGGAAGCAGATTAACCTCGGCTGTTATTTTTATTTGAACTCTCTAATTTGCATAAAACTGTGTCTTAAATCCGTCTTTCGAATGCTGATGAACATTTAAGAAAGCGTGTCTCCTTAATCTCGATTTGTTTCCATCTAATCTATTTTTACACTTCGTGTTAGCTTAAACGGAAAGTGGCAATTATCTTAGTAATAACTCTTTTATATTGAGTTCATTATCGAGCTCTGCCATTTGACCTCATTTGCTAATCATCCTAAGCTAAACAGGAAATTTCAAGGGAAATGTCAAACAAAGTTAAACACGAAGTTCAAACTCCTTTGTCGTGATGTAATTTTAATTATGGTCCAAGAAAGTCAAACCGGAAATGGTTGAATCGTGGCGTTAAAGTCTTAAAGGAACACACGCTATAAACTAAACCTCATTTGTCCGAAACATCTTAGTGACATATCATCCTTTGGTGTAAGGTTCGATCGATGCAGCCCAAAGACTTAGTGTGCTTTCATCACCATAGTGCTATGATCGAAACTAATTACTTAAAATCGTATTAACTTTGAAAACTGTTAACAAACATTCAAGTGCACGTGTATAATGAAAGCCAGCACTTCTAGATATGTTCATAAAAGGTACAAACTAAGGAAAAGTTCTATCTTAGATGTTTTGAAGTAGCAGACATTGCTTGCAAGAAGACAACGACATCTCAATTCAATTGAATTATCTACAAGATGATAATTAATAAACGAAACAAAAGGAAACTGTCTTCTGAAAGGTAAAACAAAAGGTTGGCCGTCTTAATATATTGTTGACTTTAGCGACGTCGTTACCTGAATTTAAATGAATGTCTCATTATTTCACTAAAGAAAATCATCAAAATAAGAAATCCGTCAACAAACGCGATCATCATCCATTCAGGCGACAAACTCAAGTGCCGTAACAGTTCAAATTTGCCCACATATCAGTTAAGGACCGATTATCATTTATCTGACCCCCCCCATAAGGCTTTATTACATTTTTATGATTCCCCCTTCCCCAGGTGATAAATAATGATTGATCCCTCAAACCGTTTATTTTAAGGCATTTTTGAAGATAGCTTTGTTTCTGTGGGGTCTTTTATTTTCATTGTGATGCCGTGGACTGACAAAGGTTTAGAGTTTCCATGGATTATTCCAACAGGTGAGAAGCAGTGGTTATTGCCCTGCAATCGTATTCTTTGGTTACCGGGAGGACTTTGGGTTGCTAACAACCACTAAACATCAGCTTTAAAAACTCTCTGGTGAGAGCTAATTTACATTATCAACTCAAACTCAAATTATCAGGAGATATCCCCGCCCGCCCACACCAACACGGCACCTGGTTTTTTAAACTAACCCTTCTATTTTCACAATAAGTTCGTAAAATTTGGTGTGTTGAAATAAAACACACCTTGCTTTCGACTCGCGTTTTCCAATTATCTTGTATGGGTTACTTTGCGCTGAAAAACCGGAGAAAATGAAGTTTAATGCTTAACAGGTTCAGTCATGTTAGTCTTTTAAGCGCCCTTCGATTGAGTGTATTAAAGCTAAAACCAAAGAAATTACATAAGCCAATCAAAATAAAGAAAAGTCACCTGAAGAGCCAAAAATAACTCAAATTAAAAACAAGCAAACCGCAGGCGATCAAGTCGTGATTAGTGTGAGTTTTGCATCTGATTTATTGAAAGAGTAGTGCGAGTTTTCTGGACCAATCACAGAGCAGAGTATAGCAAAACCAGTGCAATCCTGGTTTACTTTCGACTGTCAATCAAAAATTTCTCTAAGCTACCTGAGCTATTTTGGACAAGATGATATATCAGCACGACAAAATTAAAACTATTTCAGTTTTCTAACAGGATTATTTGAGAAGAGAAGAATATTCCGCTCAGGGAAACCGAAAAGAGGGATTTAACGCCACGAAAAATTTTTCGCCTGTGTCACTCAGACTTAGGTAAGCTTGCAATTTCTCCTTCTTCTATTTGAAACTTTTCATCGTCCCCTTGGCAATACAACTACAAATTGCCAGTTTTTAACCTTAAAAAATATTCAGGCATGTTTGAGACTGTCAATGCACCTAAAATCAGGTTGGTATTTCAAACAATTTATCCCGACTAAACTTTTTTATTTTATCTTTATTTTTTACATATTAATTGTTTAAGCTTCAAGGCAAATATGGTAGCCTGAAAAAAAAACTAATCACGGAACGATAATTTATCCACCCGCGTTGTTGTTGTTGATGAAGAAAGGTAACTGATTTGCCATGTTGACGAGAATAATTTGACAAGCCCATCGTCCTTGAGAAAAGTGAAAACAATTACGCCCACAACTTGACGAAAGCAAAAAATAATTATATCAAGAAACATACCTGGAACGCTGTTGGAAAAATCTAAGATTTCCGGATACAATTCAGTTTCTCTGTTATGGACCGGAATTTCGCCAAGAGACTCTTATCTCAAAGGGTCAAACCCAAAGTCACGTTCATGAATTTGATCACGAAATTACATATGTGTATCCCTTCTTCTATCATAAACACCATAGTAGAATTATGTCTAAAAACCAAGAGAACAAATTTCCTGAATTTTCTGTGACAGTTAACTTACTCGTTTTTGGGATGCTTGATGAAAGTACGTTCGAATCTTCTAAGTGGGTGGGTCAGAAGAACCTTCTATCGTTTCGTACCAACCGTTCGAGAGGGTTTTCCAGAGTAAAAAAATATGAAAACACAAATAAATATAGGGGTAAGTTTCTAAATAAACCATTGTGCTGCCCCGGGGGAGGATATTACAAGATAAAGAGTTTCGTAAATTGAGCTGAGCTGAGGTTTCGAGCCGTTAGCCCTTTGTCAGAGCGAATAGACGAAAACACAATTCATCGTTGTCACATATATGAATATTCTGAAATCCCAGACTTTTCCCTAATCAAAGTTAAATTTCCTTCACCAAATAAACGGGAAACTAAAATATAATAACTTCCTAACGACTTCCCTTCCATCTAAATTATTTCCTCAAGGAAAAAGGCTCCAGCAAAGAAATAACGACAGGAAAAATGAATGAGTGGAGAGGTTGTACTTTCAATTTTATGTCCTCCCTCTTTATTCCAATTTTCGCCGGCTTAAAAGTAAATTCACTGTCTCTTTATGATCCTTACAAGGAATTTTATTTGCCTTTCTTTATTTACTCGCCTGCGCTAACCATGTAGGTCTACTGAATACATGTCTATAATAAACATTCTCACAAGAGCTTTAAATAATTTACTTATGAACTCAATTTTTACTTTATCGTTTTGGCTTTTATTGTTTGTAATTTGCGGTTTGGTAAGAAACACAATTCTACGAGAAAGAACAACAACTTGAGAGCGATCTTTTGACTTCTTCGCGAAAGTAAGAAAGTCTCCAACAGTATAGCAAAGGATTTAAAGCAGAGTTGAGGAACACAATTGTTTGAGCAAACTCTGTTCCTAAGTATGTAAACGTAGTGAGCTTGTAGGCATCTCTAAGAATAAGAAACACAAAATATGGAAGATAACAAAGAGCGTGGATCAGACAGATGTAAAACATACTCAGGGTTGTTTTCGCCTGATGCAGTGTTCTCGCACGTTGCTGGTTTTGCTGTTGGTGTATGGCTCTACGATGGCCTCGCACGACTGAGTAAATCTTCAGATAAACCGCGAACGTAGTTAACAAGCACAGTGATATAATAAGGAGTGCAGCGAAAAATGTTATTGTGACGTTCCAAACAATAGTGGAGGCGAGGACAGCGGAGAAGAGCCATAATCCAACGTGAAGCTTCACAACTCGCCCGACTGTGACAATCCTTCGATAACGTAAATGGAGGTAAACTGCAAGATATCTATCTATACTCACTGCCGTCGTTGTGAGGAATGAGACACAGCAGAGCATGTTGGACAAGACGTTGAACACTATCATGGCCTGCACCCATGTCTTCCGCAAATTAACGATGTAAAAAGTCTGGTAGATAATATAAAGAGGTTGCACCAGTAAACCGACTCCAAAATCACACAGAGTGAGGCCAAGTAGAAGGATATGAGATGGCAAACGCAAGGAGCTGTTGTACCATATCGAGTAAATAATTGCTGTATTCCCCAAAATTGCCGCAGCAGATAAAGGCGCATTCAAGGCAAAGTTGGCTAAGATCCCAGACACGCGTACGGGATCAGTGAACTGCTGATCGTGGTCTCCGTCTGAAGTTGTTAAATTTGTTCTCGAAATGCTTTCATTCGTAAAATTATGGTTGAAATTCATAGTCGGTCTCACCTGTTCTTCCTTCTCTGAGCTTTGGGTGTCGAAGCGAGACTTTGCATCTTAACCTTAATCGAAATTGTAATCATTACACCTGTCCGTCCACTTCATGAATCAATTGGAATAATATTAAATGGAATCGTAACCTAAATTGGGTACCAAACCACAACTTTAGTTTATGTTGACATTATCGATAAAAACGCTCCGTCATAGTCAAGTGACATAATTACTACAGTTCGCCACTACTGATATTAGAGCCATGTTCACGTTCCATTACCTTTGAAATTCAATCGTCGCAAATTTTTGTCGGATCACGTTTCACCTTTCATGAATGAATAAAATTGTTTGTAAAATTTTCGTTAAAAGGCTTAGAAAATAAATTTATATCCGTCGAGAGCAATTTCAAATCAAAGGTTTTAATTTAGGCACTGCTGATATTAATTCTTCCCTTTACAGTCAATAACTTTACTTTGCCACAATAGTTGTTTCCATAGACACATGCATATATTGTCATAAAGCTCTTTGTTTCAAAGATCGCTTTCTGCTGACGTGTTTAAGGTTCTAAATCGATAGGTATCTATTCCGGGTCTTTCAGAGTATTTCAGATATCATAACCAAAGCAACTAGCTCCGAGATAAATTTGATTTCTTTCGATCTTTCCACGAGAGTTTGAACGAAACTGAAATCAAAACGAAAGAAAAAGAAACTTCCTCATTTCAATGGTTCTCGCATGAGTAGCACAGAAACCAACATCGATGTTTGCTAATTTTGAAAGGCTTCGAAATATGTGCCCAGAGCTTAAATACAACGGATATATTTAGCTAGATGTTATGATAATTCTAGCAAAATCTATGTCACTTTTGGTCACCAATATTTTGCCATATTCATAAAGCTTGAGATATGCCAAGATTACAACAAGGACTATTTCACCACTACATGATGGTAAAATCTTTCCTCTTCGAGTCGTCTAAGTACTCTTTCCAAAACGAGATTCTTCATTGCTATGCTTTCGTGATATACAAAATATATTGAACAGTGTAGTAAGGACTGGTTCTATATATTTGATTTTTCAATTTTTTTTCAAATGTTAGGTTTTGTTTATTTCTAAATGCACATTATATGCATTATAATAATAGCTTTGAACATTCAAAGCTCTTTATGGTACAAATTTTGTAATTACAAGACTGTCATTGCAAACAAAGGACGAACAAAAGACAAATAATTACGCAGCTGGAAACTTTGTCTAATTCCGGGCTTTTACAAAACGGCTTTAACTTGAGCCGTTGGGCATATGCTGAAAATTGAAGAGTAAGCTGTAACTTTTTGGTAAAGCAATCCCTCTCAATATCAAAGATCTCGTGCACATGTAAATGAAAAAAGTTTGCACATGCAAATGAAAAAAAGCTTACACAAAATTAACAAAAACAAAAACAACCAAAAAAATTCGAAAACCGTATAGGGGCATAAAGGGCTCGCCTTACTTGCCACCCGAGCGCTAGTATCTCTCTTTGATTCCGTGGGCGGAGAAGAGACTGCTTGCATCGATGGGAAGATACGAAGAGCAATAATATAATGAATATCTATTGAACTCGGACTCCTCATTTGTTACACTCGTTTGTCATGTCCTCTGCACCTTTATCCAGTATTTAATTTGTAGTTTAAGCTCTAAAATGATAGCATATCTAGAGACAATTATCGATTGTTTGCACCGTCAGTGAGAAGTTTTATAATGCCATCTGACTTAAAGGGGAAATGTACTTTGTAAATCTGTCCTTGATGTCCTTTGGATAGAAAAGAAAACGATGATTACCGTTTTTTGTTTTTTTTTTTTTTTTTGCAAAAGACAACAAATAAATTATTTTGAGGGAATTAAGGGGCAGCGAACGTCTTTGCTTAATACAAGCTTAGTCTCAAGAATTGATGTGCTAAGGACAGCTGAAAGACCTCAGTGGGCAGGAATCATTACCATTTTAATATACAGAGAAGCAAAATTATCGTTAACCCATAAGTATAATAGATGCATAAAACACTAAAATCTTAAAAGCTTGTGGCCCTGATAAATAACTTAAGACGAATAAAAATAATTCAAGGTGTTCCTTTTAAGTGAAAAAGGAGACAGAGAAATTGAAGAAATGTCAGTCGCTAAGACGCAAGATGGCGAGACGAACTTTGCTTATCATCTTTTTTCTACGTATAAAATACGCTGGCGTACAGATATGAAAACATTACCTTCCCTTACCAAAAATTCATCATTTGCAATTTCAGTTATGTTTTATTCAGTTGCAAGTAAATAGTTTTATCTCATACAGTGCTCAGACAGGCTAAATATAATTTATACATTCCCCAGCATTCAGGAATCTGGGGTAAAAAAAGACCCCTCCGATATAGAGAAAATAAATATGTTACAACAATATATATTGAGGTGCAAAAAATAATCCATTTTTTTAAATATTCCTAGTGCGTTCACTTTTACTCTCCATCAAGACAGGATAATTCTTGTCTTGTCTATATTTATAAACATTTAAATATCGTGTTCAATTAACGTGGATATTTCATACTGCAGGCCTCTTAAGAGAAAGTATTTGCCTGCAAAATACCAATGAATGTATGCACTTACATTAAAATCAGTTTTCACTGACTTTGGATTCGCATTTTTCTCTTTGTCGGGTGGCGAACATTACATCAAAACCAAGAACAATTTCGCCTTGAATGATGCAAATTATTTCAAGGCTGTGCATCGTTTAAAAGGATACGAGGGTGAGGGGGTCGAGGAAAGATAAAAATTGTGCTGGATGACGAAACTATGACGTATGAAATGGTTAAATGTTTTAACATTCAAATATATTTACATTAACGTTTTGAAGAGGAACGTACGAATTAAGAGGTCTTAAATCTCTGGCAAAAAAGTTAATTTCGACACTTCAGCCGGGTTGTTCGAAAGGGGGTTAACATTAATCTAGGTTTAAAAGTTAACCTTGACTTTATTTCTCATGTAGCGGAGCGCGTTTAAGAGTTAAGGTTTTGTTGGGGTTTATCTCAATATGATTAGAAACTAATGGGAAAAAAGAGAAGAAAAACCCCTTAGCAAAGCTATAAAACTAAATTAAAAATTTCCAGTAACCCCGGTTGAGGTAAATCTTGTTTTGAACCCAGTCCTGTTGCGGTAGTAGTGTTCCAACAGTAGTCTGCGTGCAGACATCTCCTAATCAAATAAGATGTGCATGCACACATTCTATTGTACGGTCAAATTACGCGCGAGCAAGCCCAATCTTTTTGTCACTCAAAAAGTGTATGAATATGGGAGGTCAAACTATCATAAGGTTTCGGGGCGGGGGGGAGGAGCAAGATGGTGGCACATTAATTCCTGCCCACCCCCTTTTTCACCACACCCAACACTCCCCTTCTCCCTCTACTTCCCTTCCATGAAAAATTTTGATGACAACTTCATGTTACCATTTCTCAAACCACTGGCTCATCGTCATCATCCCTCGGGCGTCTTCTCCTCTGCTTCTTGCCTGATTTTTTTCTTACTTTTTCAGGGGAATCGCCAAACATTGCGTCGACAAGCTCTTGATTATTTTCTTCCGTCAGTTGTTGATAAGAGCCTCTCTTCTGAGGTGCAGGTTGCTGATTAACTGTTTTCCTTTGGGATTCATTTTCCTCATTATCTGTAAGAGTGCGATAGCCACGATTTGAATCATTCAGGTTAAATCCTTTCTTGCTGCCCTTGAAGTTTATCGGTGGAAGTTCTTCTTGGTCTTTCTTGGACATTTTCCTCGTTTTGCTTTGTTTTCTACATAGATTTTTTAAAAAAATTGTTGAAATAACGTTTTCTTTCCATTTTTCTCCTCTAGCATGCTTTTATTTAAGCAAAGAATGGAGGAATGAAAGAATTATTTTGCTATAAGTCATTCATTTATAATCTAAGAAGACACAGTGACCACATGCTACTTCAGATAAGAATAGAGATTCGGATTATTTCACCTATTCACATTTGAACCAATTGCACAGGTTCTATGCCCCACGACAACAAGACTTTACACAAATTGAAGACTTCACCCTGAAATAATTCCCTTCTGACGCCGCCAATCGTGTTTACAACGACCAATAACAGACTATGATAGGTACTTCTAGACAAACAAAAAACTTAAATCCACCAATCACCGCTTACGGGTTCGATCTTTTGAACTCTTTTAGATATCGCAAGTTTCACCCATTTGACGGTGGTCTTTAAAATAATTAGTGAAGTATTTTGAACTCCAGAGTGCGTCAGGGGCCATTAAAAAGTGTAATAGTTCACTTTTTATTTGCAAGGAAGTTTCATTTACTCCACCACACTAGCAAGTTTTCTCGTAAGAAGTATTATAAGCGGTGTAAGAAATAAAAAAACTGACGCTTTTTTACATCAGAAGTTCCCTTACTTATCCACAGAGACTGAATTACTCAGAGTTTGCTCAGAGACAATTCCCAAAGCACGAAATTTGAAAGTGTAGCTAAAGCGACAAGAAATTTATCACGGAAACTGTAAATCGTTTACACAAATCTAGCAACTTTTTTTGAATAAGTGTCCTTAACTTTCACATGGGAAGCAAATGCAATGTTATTGAACACAGCGGTCAAACGTCTGCTCACAACTTACAAACAACCACATAAGCATTCTGTTGACTTTTCAAAAGTCAGGAGAATACCCGCACTTGACGCGTTTTGTATCCAAAAAGCCTCGAGTTTTCTTCTCCCTTCTTTTGTTTACCTTCATTGATTTCTATGAACGTATCAATTTTGCGAGAATTCTTATGTTTCCCTATGAAATTCTGCGCGCGAAATTGCTGCGCAACCGGCCAGAATTCATCCCTTCGCGCATGCCTGACGTTTGACCGATTTGCTGTGTAATTGCGGCTAGAATATATTAACTACTTTATCAGGATATGGAGGTAAACAATTAAGTTACGCTACTGAGATGTTAGATGTCAATTTTACGTGCAAGGTTAAAGCAGTAAAATTAAAGAAAATAGCATAGATTAGCGCGACTACTCCAATTACGCCTTGTTCGCTCGTTAAATACCGCTTGCGGTTTCATTTTGTGCTGGTTACAACGGCGTTTCCGAGCTAAACAACCAAAAAAACAAAAACAAACGAAAAAAGTAAATATAATTGAAATAAGACAGAAAACGCCGCTCTAGTACGGGTGCAAATCATGATTGAGGATTCGATCAAATGGAGAATGTCATGGTGTCTAATAAGTTTAGAACAAAAGTCAGCCTGAGAATGTCAAACGAGAGGAAGTAACGCCATTTGAGCACACTGAGGAGGTCACGCAATAACTGACCTGTCATGTCACGGCCGTTGACTTAAGACGTCTTCTTATTGGTTGTGATTTGGATCAGACGGAGGTGTCTCACTGAAAGCATACTCATGCAGTTACTATAAAAGTTAAACGTTTTAATTTTGACAAATTCTTTTGTTGCCACGTGAACTTGTAGCATATTCCTACATTTGATTGGCCAGAGCTCTCCTGTATATCAAAGGATTTGCAAAATGCAAATTTTGGAGATAACTTTGGCTTTCAGTGGATTTTCCTCCTTTTAATGGGTGTTGTACAGGATTAAAAACGTTATTTGAGAGTAAGTGTGAACACGGCTCACAAAATTTGAAACTATTGACCAAGCGACACTAACGCTACGATAATTGTTAGTTTTCTAGGAGGCTTTCAATTTAAGGCCAGAGGAAACACTTGGCGATTGCCACAGCGATAGGTTTTTGTGACAAGCTGTTCCGTGTCTGCTTTTCCCGGAACACGTTCCTACGACACATCATCATCCACATTCACACCAGTTCGAAAGTGTGCGATGCAACGCAGCGACCTGAGTATCTTTTCGTCACAACAAAAACCTTTACTAGAACTCGCAAGTCACTAGAAGCAGACTGTCACAACGACCTTAAAGCGACCCCGTCTGAACAGCTGAGAAGTGTCAGCAGCTGGAGAAATTGAAGCTCATAGCATTAAGGAATGAGCAGTACTAAATGTGAGTAGGCGTTAAGCTTAATGATACAAGGGAGTATGTTAGTGCAGCGTTGTCAAAATAAAGGGAAAAGTACTAATTCAGAATATAATCGTCCAAATTTAATTAGGTTAGGACGAAAACCCAAAAAATAAATAAGCTACACGTACCTTCCTGCCGGAGGCGTGGTCATCTGGACAGAACTTCTCCTTCGGATCCTGGCCTCTAATGTACTTGGTCTCCTGAAACACAATGTTTGAAATAATAACTTCAACACTTTAATTGTCTCGTCCATAACTTGCGTATCAGAAAAAAAATTGCGAAAAGAAAAAATAAAATAGATGCATTGCGTATCTTTAAAAAATGACTTTCATAACTGCCGCGCGCTTATCCGCGGTTGATTAAGAATTCTTTAGGATGAAACGCCGAGCAATATTGCTACTCAGCCTTGATGGTATGCAAGTGAATGGCAGGTACCCGCTAACATTTTATCAATTGTCCGCACAGCTTTGGCGGTACCCATTCATACTTCTAGGTGTAGATGGCCACTGTGAGAGTAAAGTGGCTTAACCAACATCACAACACACTGTCCAGCCCATTGCTTGACGCAGGAGCTTTCGATCCAAGGCGCTGACGATAGACCTCCGAATCTCTCGCATAGTGCAAACAACCCTCTGGCAATTCATCCAGCGCTCAACGTTCAGAGATTATAATTCGTCATACCACTTAGATATCAGTATTACAAACTTACCGAGGGTCTGTGAAAGTCTGTTTACTTCCTTTAGTATGGTTTGAACCGTATATCTTAGAGAGAAGCTCGTCGATTTCATTAGATGATCTGAGGAGAAAGAGTTGCACATCATTATCAAGAAAGGAACTTTACAGGTCCTAAAAAAGAAAGAAATGGCCCTCGCAGGTGGGCTGCTAATAAAGAAATTGACGATAAAAATGACAAAACTACTTATAACGAAGTTAGAACTTACTTTTTGGGGAAAAGGTATTTGAGCACAGATTCCAGTTCACCTTCCTGAAGTTTACCTTGTTGAACTAAAATGGAGATCAACTTGATATTCTGAAAAGAAGAGAGAGAGAGAGAAAAATCAGGCCCGTTTGGAAAAAGACTAAAGGGAATTGAAAGGCTTCATTCGATAGCATTTAGGGCTGTTATAAGTAAAGAGGAAGGATCTATAGAGATATAAAGTCAATTTGCTTGATTCGCCTAAGTTTGCTTACGCACCGGCACATTGCAAATACATCGGACACCTAAAAAACAAATTTCTTTTCCAACAGAATAAAACTCGTTGCCAATAAGAGACCCGAAGTGTTCATCCAGTTTCATCCCACGACAAGGCTAGATTTGCTCCCTTTCTGCAAAACTTGTTTAATATGAGCACTTCCCATTCTCAACATTTGATTGGTTCAAACAACTTCGAAACACAGTCCCAACCAATCAGGTGCCAAATTGGAAACCCCTCGGGATTTACTTACGCGCGTTTTCCCGCACCTTAGGCTGATTGTTTAGTGTTTACTGTAAGTTCACGTTGGCTTCCTCTGAAAATTTCCTTCTCTCTGATTGATCAGTGCAACTATTTTGTTTCGGTTCTAAGACACCCGGAAGAAAAGAGCTTTAAAACAAACGCTACTCTTTAACTACCTGTTCCTCAATCGCCTGCATTCTCTTTATGTCAAATGTCATTTTTAATTCATTAATCGATTGGTCAATCTCCTTCTGTAGTCTGTTTTTCATTTCATTGCGTTCCTTCTCGTGTCTCGCCTTCAGAGCAGCTTTTCTCAGCTTCATGGCCGTGTTGTTCACGTTCAGACTGTTTAAGTACTGAGTTAACTCGTCCTTAGAGGAAATAAATCATTAAGAACCAGTAAGTTGTTCGATGTTGTGAAAAATTTATATGCAAGTAATGAGAAATAATAAAAACTTTTGAATCTTCAATGGAATGTTGTGCCAAATTATTTCGGTGCACCTTTGCGAGAAATAGTAACATCACATTGGAAAAAACATTGGATTTGTCGCCAGCAGTCAGCGATATACTACCCATTTATATAGGGGAAAACATAATTACACTCAAATAATTGCAGATGGCAAAGAGCTGTACGCAGTTTGTAATGTTATTCCCTCTTATCATAAAGATCTCCTATTGAGAGTTCTTCGTTGGGTCCGTGTTCCCTCTCACATTTACAACAGCATCTACGTTTTGAGCTTTTTTTATTTAACTTAAATAATACAAGATTATGGGATTTACCTTCTGTTTCTGGACAAGAGTTTCCTCTCTCTGCCTCATCCTCTCCTGAAGGCGTTCTTTCAGTGCCTAAATGAGACACAGTAAGCAAGTTAAGTAAGGGAAGACGAAAAATGAGTGAAGAAAAAGAATATTTTATCGTGTAGTCTGATCATCCGAATGATCGTAATCTTGAAAAGCACTGTTATCAGTAGAGGTGACCAACGATTCGACATCTTAAGTCGAATTCGACACCAGAAGAAAGAGAGAGGTTGTTTGTCAGTCGAACGTCATAATTCCGGTTCGTGAACCATGATTGATGAGCTTTGCCGTGATGTTATAGGCTGTGAGACAAGAACATTTATCGCTGGAAAAAAAATCAAATGTCCCAAAAATCCAGATTAAATGTGGTACCTATGAGCATAATTTCCGAGGATAAAAGCCGATCTGAGAGACCTTATCGACGGATATTGCTACCTACCTTTTCCTGTCTTTCTTTTTGTTCTTTCAAATTATCTTCAAGATTTTTTGTATCCTATCAAACAGAAAATGTGTGTATTTTTTTAAACTTAATAAAACAAAGCCCAGCAATGAAACTAACAGTGTCTTCCAATGAGTTTGTCAGGACTTAAAATAAAGGGCAAAAGAGTATCTCTGCTCCCTCCCTCCCAACCACATGAGGTCAATCCAATGCGAGTCACCTTGAGTCCAAAAATAACTTAGGGATTACTTTTGGGATAAGACCCAGAATGCCGCGAATCCAGTCTTTTGGCTTCAATTTCTTCCATCTCCTCACTCCCTTAGAAAAACAAATAACAGGTACCTTTTGATATTTTTCCATAATTTTCTGCGTCTCAGGATCCTGGAAGGTTCCTTTGGATTCTAATTCATCAATTAAACCTGCTTGAAGCTGGCCCAGAGCCTGTTGTTGCATTGCTATCTTTGAGATCTATTCAGAAGACAATAGCCGTTTTAGCAAGAATAAGGAAAAATAATCTTGAAATCTTGTGTAGTGACACTAGACGTGTAAACCTGAGTCTAAATGTCTTCTTTTCCATGGCTCCGATGGGAGAAACTTTTGATCGTTTGGTTTGTTTGTTTTGTTTAAGGTCATAAGCAAATTGGATTTTTTAAGACGTGTGAACCTGTTCAGACAAAGGCAACCTCTAGAACACAAAACTAAAAGCTTCGTGCCCTACTGTGCTCCTTATTTTGATCACCTGAGATGTTTATGATTCCCTGCACATAAGAGCCGTAAGGATGAAACAGACGGGTCCTCGACAAGTCTGACATGTGAGACTAGATCGCCCATATATATTTAGATGTCGTCAAAAAGAAAATACGTTCTTCTCGGTAGAAACCCTGAGAGTCGGTCCTGTCTGATGATGAACACTCGAGCCTCAGACTTAACCAGGCTTTTCTTATCTTAAGCAGGTAAAATTCCTTCGCAGAGGTACAAGATGAGTCAAAGAACAACACATCTTTTCAAATTGCTGCGAAAACATTGCAGAAGTAAAAAATCAATGAGGTACATGTATAGAGAAAAGGAAGATATTTCTCTTGATAATAAGTTAATAGTTGTACCTGTTTTGCTTTCTCAATCTGTAGGTTGGCAATGATTGCACCCAGTTTTTCGTGATGTTCCTCGAGCCTCTTAGACCTTTCTGCGAGCATTTCTTGCCTAACCTAAAACCGATACAAATTGAACAACACAAGTTTTACGCGAAAAAAAAATGCAAAGAGAAAACGGAAGAAATCTAAAAGCACAATGAAAAACCAGCTATCTTTTAATTGCTGCTAAATTTCGCTGTGGTGAGGTTAATTCAGGCTGATTCATTATTTACCAGTTATCTAGTGGAACAGCACAACCAACAAAATGATACTATTGCCCCAGTACTACCATACTCCTTGACAATCTGAGCCACTTTATGTCAGATAGAAAGAGGCGAATGTCCACACGAAATACCACAAATCACAGTGACACATAGCGTTTTTCAATTGTTCATATCTTCAGACATTTTTTTTACTGGGAAAGTTTCAATTTACAGGGAACTTCTCTAGCTTCAGCGAAATCGGGATTTAATGGGGCTGTGAGACTAATAAATATATAACACTACCTCATATTAGTATTTTTGGCGCTAGCGAAATTGGCCTGAAGCTTAACACTCGGTGGTTTACAGCAATTGTCATGCAGCTGCCAATTTGAAGAAAGTCCAAATGTGAGCTTTAATTTGTGAGTACTTTGAGAAGACAAAATTATCTTATGGCGAACTGCTCATATTTAAAGCGATGTCAACAACGACACAAAGTATCCATACCGCTTCCATTTCATCATCGATTTGCAACTCATCCTCCTTCATTGCCGCCATTTTCTCTTGCTCGTGTTTCTTGATCATCTCTATATCTTCGCCTTCCACTAAGATTTTGTCGCTGTGATCCCGATCCTAAAAGAGGGGTGGAACAGATGAAATGTAAGCTCCCAAAGCCTAAGGGTTTTTTCATTTTAAGTCAGTGACCGCGAGAATAAGTACATCTGTCCCGTTTCCTTGCAAGTAATGGGTTAATTTTTTTCAGAAACGGGATCCAACTTGAAAGAGATCTAATGTGTGTGAAAACGTTTGAATTCACTCCCTTTGGGACGCAAAAGTAACAGGCACAAAAACAAAAAACAATTCTTTCGCACTTGATTTTCTCACTCGCTTTTGTGTCGATTTTCGGGTGAAGAAAGTATCCATGAAAGCCTGAGTTTCAGGTTCCTTTAGACAGGAAATCTGTGAGCAATTTAGGAAATTTGTTACCTTAGTCTCATGCATTTGTTTCTGTTCCAACTCTTCCATTCTTCTCTTCCTCCGCTGGGCAAGTTTGTCCTCCAACATTTGCCGTTGACGTAACTTGTTTAGGGTCAGACTAATAAGAAAAGAAAAAGGAGAAAAAAATACCAATAAGAAAAGATCCATAATCACTTGTGTCAACTGACATGCAAGAGGTGTTGGTAAGATCTTGGCGCACACCTGGCAAAGTCTGAAAAAAACTCTATCTTACAAAATTACGAAAAATGCGACACCAAGACAAAAACATTTGATATGAAGCTCTTATGGGGAGACAATAGTTAACAAAACCTGGTATATGAGACCTATGCCCGGTTATTTGAGAATAGAAGATGAAAATGGCACAATCCAACTGAGGCTAAATGTGTTAGGATACAACTAAAGCACGAGTGAAAATTAGTAAGGCGAGGTTGATGAGGAAATCTCTACCTGCTTTCAAGTGCAGCCAGGTTCTTCTCGTGTTCTTGAATGATTTTCTCTCTTTCCTCCTCAGACATTGCAACTTGATTGATTATCAAATCCCTGTAAAGATTTAAAAGTTTTACGTCTCGGTCGCTTGAGATTCTACACTCGCTCTTCTATCAAACAATTGTTGCGATACACATCGCAAGAATTTTCATATCCACAAAGCCTTTTAGCAAGCAATATTTCTCATTTTCTATTTCAAACTCGAACTGGGAGCCTGAGTGTTCATTCCGACCAAGTTAAAAAAAATATATGGAAATAAGAAATAAAGAAAACAATAAAAATAAACAGTAGAAAGTTCACAAACAGAAATGAAGTCATTAAACCCTTGTGCACCCAAAAAAAAAAATCGAATTCAATTGAGCAATCGAGATTCCTCTGCCTTCATGCCAGTGCAACTAAGAGTTAAGTTGAAACTAATGTAATTACATTATCTAACAGGTCTGCCAGAAAGAGTAATTCGAGGACTCACCCTACGATCTTATCCTCTTGTTTCCTGATTTCGGCCTGTTCCACTTGTTCTTCCTTCATTTTCTTCTCTAAAGCAGCACGTTGTTTTTCTAGTCTTTTCTATAATCAATCAATCAATTAATCAGTCAATCAATCAATCAGTCAGTCAATCAATCAGTCAGTCAGTCAATCAATCAGTCAATTAATCAGTCAATCAATCAATCAGTCAATCAATCGGTAACAGTTGACCAAGAAAAGTTATTGATATGTCAGGTGTAGTTAACTTCTATGGAGCTCACATTGATGTATTTCAGCAAAAATGCAAGCTCACGAAAAAGCAGAAAATTTTATGTATCAACCACCAAGCCTACTGTTACTCAGTTCCATATCTCCTGGGACTCAATGCAATAGAGAAGTTCTTTACCACATTGAAGGATTTTATACACCAAGACTTAGTCTATCTAATACCAGATAGGAAAGCTACCATAGACACAACCTTCTTCGGCTCAAAAGTACAAAAGACGGCTGGTTCGTTGAGTGAGAAAAAAGAAATTTTCACAAACAGCTAACTAACCTCCAGCATTCCTCTTTGACGTTTTCGCTCTTCTTCTCTGGCCTCTTGCTGCATCGCAATGTCCGCCATATGCCGTTCCAAAATTGCTTCCTTCTCAGACTCAGATAAACCTACAAGAAAATTCCAGTTTACATTAGTGTGACTTCACATTGATCTACAATTATCTGGAAAAGCTACCAACCTCACAAATGATCAGATTCAAAACCAGAGTGCTTTTCGATTGAGTGTCGTAAAACTAGAACCAAATTAAATCATAACGGCCAACTGTCAGATCGGTCGACCAAGGTCAATATCCTTCTAATAAATTCCTTACCTTTATTAACCAACTCCTGATACATTTTTTGAGTATTGTTTTTGATCATCTGGTTCCCATCGTGTGTCTGTTGATCTCTGAGGGCTTCGATTTGTTCTGCAGCCTTCGAGAAAAAAGTCATACAAATCACTCCCCACGTAAAACAGAATGGACGAACTCACTGAGGCGTAAAATACTCGTATTTGTGAGTCATATTTTGAGCAACATAGCAGTCTGACGTCGAACATGCGTAAGGAGATCAATCTCGGCTGACCACGCGCCAATGTTCCGCCCACAATTTCCAAGGTACACATAAAAAACAACTGCTGTCACGAATTAAGAGGTAGACGAGATAATTTCGGTGACATCTAATGAGGACTTCGTGGGACTACCACTCAACTTTAAACCAACTTTTATACCCAGAACAGGTCAAGGCACAAAACGTTGGCGAGAGGCTTTGCCCTGAGTATGATGTGTTTCTTTGAAAAGGGCGCCTCCCGTTTTAAAGCAACACATCAAATTCGAGACAAAGGTGGCTTTAGAAGAGAAAGGGTGGGGGGGGGGTTTAAGGGTGAAGTGGCTCATCCCCCCTTTTGCAATTATTTGTAACATAACAACCTACAGTGTACCACCCCTTTACCCCAAACTGGACAATCCGTTCCTGTCTATAACAACTAAATATCAAAACGTCTATTACATCTTTGTATCAAGACATTTTGCTATTGCGTTGTAAGCAGAGCTTACCTCTCTGTCAGAAGTTTGCTCTATTTCCTCAATTTCTTGTCGATGTTTTTGCAAAATTTTCTGCTTCTCAGTTATGGAAGACACAGTATCTGAAAAAAACAAAAGTTGTATTGACATTATATTCTTGTTGTCTGGGTTAAATTCAACCGTCTAGTACCTTTAATTGATAAGCTTCATGATTTTAATTTGACCTTATCTTATTTAACATATAGCTTCATCAATTCTGCAAAATAGTTCCTCAGATAATTGCATTTGTCTGACATAACTGACTAAAAGAGGCGAAATAGACTAAAAAATAATCATCCAGAAAAACATTAGAAATTTTGATAGAGTTTTTCCATGACATAGGAAAGAGAAAAACTTCCAACCCGTACGGGATTTTGAATGATAGACCTTCAGATTTTCAGCTCGAATACTTCACCAACTATGCTGCAGAATTGCTGTTGGTAACCTGGTCATGTGAGTTAAAATGCTGTAATCGTTCCACATAATGCTACGACCAGAAACTTGATCATAAATATTCAAAAGACGGGTTTATTCAACTCACCAATTTCTACTTGTTCAAACTTCTCATCCTGTTGTTCTTCAAATTCCTTGATTTCCCGCTGATGCTCGCGCAACTAAAAACAATCAAAACAGGTTAATAAAGAACTATCAACATTAAATGAAACTATTTAGAATATAACTATCAAAGATGTTTGGAATCATGCACAGGCAGCCTAGTTTCTTGAGCGTGAACGAATGATAAATTTGACGAATACGGATCAACGACGAGATTTACTGTTTGATAAGTCATTCGAGCTTTACTGATGATAAGTGTTTGTACAGTAAATCATCATATTTTCTGTTAAGGCGAAAAACACACACTATATCATGTAAGACATTCAAAATTGACTTCAAACTCAGAGGTACATAGTGTGTGTGCAAACACAAGCATCGAGAATAGTTAATGACACATTAGTTCGGAAAGATAGGAAAAAACATGAGCGGCAAACCAAACAAGGACCATGGATAGTTGAAGACTAAGATTAATACGAACTGCAAATGACGAAACTGAAAACTTAGAGCCTACTTCTGAAATACGACTTTTCACAATAAACGAGATGAGAAGAACAATGTTATCGAACCACTTAGTGTACCTTTTCTTCAATTCTTTTCTGCTTAATTGCCGTCAGTTTATGATGTAATTTCTGTTCCTGGCGCTTTCTGTCCTTTGCAAGTTTGCTGTTCACGACCTCCAAGTCTTTTCTAAATCGTTCCAAGTAAGTCGCAGCATCTTCTGAGTTGAGATTCGATGACCTGGTGACACGAAGATAATAATGAAGGTTTGGTTTTACAAACCAAAGGGCTCTATCTACCCGGGATTATCTCAGTTCAGTCATCTTGATAAGGGAGCTTCAATTTCTACATTTTCTTGTATGGTCAAACATAAGTAGAGCAACACAGTCTTACCGGACAAGATTTTCCAGTGCTTCGGCGTGATTTTGTTCTAACTTGCCTAGATCTCCTTTTTTACGTTCCTCTTCTTCATGCTATGAAGAAAAGACAAGTGGTGAGTTTAGCTTTGAAGCAATTTTCAAAGTTAAAATAGCACCAACAAGAAAAGGTAAAACGACATGCAATTTCAGGCTAATTTAGCTTCCTCATATACCTTCTGTTTTGCTAGCGCCCTTCGCTCTGCCAACCTCATTTCCAGCGCCATGACACGTCTGGCCCGCTCCTCGTCTGTAGCTTTGTCTATGGCGGCCATGTTGGCCAAGTGATTCTTCATAATAGCGTTCGCTTGTTCTTCATTCAGTTTTGCATCCTTTATCAAATTCTGAATCAGTTGGTTTTGAGATTCTTTCAGCGCAAAACGTTTACTTATCGAAATTTCCTGCAAAGAAGAATACAACCGAAAAAGACAGTATAACTTACAGGTAACAGTTTGACACGCATTGTACGAGGTGGTTCTGTCGCGTATACAGTACCTGTGAATAAATCCCTTAGTTGTCGATGCAAATAAAAGCTACTGACCAGCTCTTTAATGCGATACTGTTTATTGTGCTGTAAAACATGCATGGTTAAAACATAATACTTCTGTGAGAAAAACCTTGCGTGTGATGATTCGAATAAAAGCTACTGGCAGTTCTTCCATGCAGTACTTTTTATCATGCTGTAAAATATGGTTCTAACATTTTTTCTGTCTGGTTGGAAACCAATCAAACGGAGAGATCCAAACAAAGTAGAAATTATACTCCAAAATTTTGTTTTCTATGGTTTAAAACTTAACTGAAATGAATTCTAGCTTTTAAACGCAAAGGAAAGGTTGTTTTTTTACCTTTCTGAGCTTCTCCATCTCAACATCTTGCTCCAGTTTTAGATTCTGTTTCAGCTCTTCTTCTTGGGCATCTTGCCGCCGTTTCAGAAGTTCGAGGATGTTCTTCTTTTCTCGCTGAATCGAACAAAAAAAAATACTCATGGCCCTTGTGCAGAAAGTGCCGGAATCGAACCCAGGTCATACTGGCCATTTTTGGGGCTCCTTTGAACAGTAGATTAGGGCCTCACTCTCGCTCATTATCTTCCGAGTGTCCATAAGCAGAAACTGCCCGAGATGCAGACAAGTCGAGAAAAATATTTGTCATTAGTTTTACCCTAGCGAGATGCTTCTCGCCGTTTTTAAGCCTCATCTTTTCTCTGAGCAAGGCTTTAAGCAACTTTACTTAAAATGTCACATTTGAACTTTTTGGTGCGACTGGATTCTGTTTCACTTAATCACTACTTCAAACTTCGCTCAAGCTCACCAACCAGAAACCAAAATAAAAAAACTTTCAAAAACAAGAATAAACTGAACCAGCACATATTGATTCGACGACACTTGCATCTAGACCAAATAACAAAGCGAAGGTTTTGCCGACATTGAAAAACCCCTTTTTCAACCGCAAATACCACAACTAAATTTCTCCTCACCTCATTCACAAGTCCCTTGATTTTGTTTTCAGTTTCCTCTCGTTCTTTCGCTTGCTCCCGATGTAAGGCATCTAAACGATTCTGCAAAAGCATACCAAGGAATGTAAGGAATTCTGCGTCGATCAAATGACCTCTCCATTACTAAAGACAGTTTCTCCATAACCATAGAAGTGATCAACATGCAATTTCCCCCAAAAAATAACGATACATTATCAAACATAAATGTGATGAGAAGAGACAAACTTATCAGTTAGAGAATGTTACCCTGGTAACGCACCAAATTCTCTGAAAAAAATTTACAAATGTGTAGCAGCTAGAAAGGTGAACTCCAGATAAGATCTTGGAAGTTCTAATATTATTGTGGCGAGGTTACCTTTCCGTCTGCTGTCAGCCTCCTTCTGAGCTCAGCAGATTTCCTCCTGTACTCTGCTGCCATTTTGAATGCTACTGTACCGATTGCCTGCTTGATTTCCAATGCAAACTGCGGAGAATGATAAAGGCCAAAAAATTGTGAGTCTTCAGGTTTAGTTGTCACTTTAGAATCTATTCAAAAGGTGCCTTCCACTCATGTGGGCACGTGCACACAAGCATGATTAACTCTCCTTTAACTTAGTGTGCAACATCATATCACGGAATTGCATCTCGAGTTGCTATGCAACTTCACAACTTCCCGCATAAGACATATGTAAACCTGGTGTAAAGCCTACCTCGAGACTCTTGTCATCAGAGGTTGACGTACCTTGTTTTCTTGTTCAGTTGATATGTCTCTTTTCACCCGCAGTTTCTTGGCCAGCAGTTTGAGAGCTCTGATAAACATGTTTTGTCGTTGAGCCTCCAAGTCAGCATCCAGAGCCGCTGTAGCTTGTACATCAAGGCTAAGGAGACAAAAGGAAAGCGTCCAGTCCAAGATCACTGAGTTCTAATTGGCTCTTCAGATCATTTTCTTATCTTCCGATTCGTCGTTGCAATGAATTTGGTTTTTGTTTTAGGACTACCAATCGAAGAGCGTTCTAACTCAACAGTGAAGTTGCCAAAGGCAATTCACCCGCCTTAATGACTTTGGGAAAGTTGAGAGCCTTTTTCCACAACGTTTCTCGTCACAAGCCTACTTAAATAATTTCTGCATAAAGTTCTGTAAAGTAGCGAAACTTTAAGTTGTTGTAGAATATTTCAGTGGTCTTTGCAGTGTGCTCTTTAACTTTCGTCTTTACCTGTTGAACTCTTTCTCTGTCTGAGAAGCTTTGTCCAGAGCTAGAATAGGCACGATACTCTCGTCAGTTTGAACAATACTGAAAAACAAGCATAAAAAAATACCATATAATTATTAGATATCACAAATTCTGCAATCTGATAAGCTACGCCACTCTTCATTCTGTGATGGATAGCGAGTCAACGGGCGTGACTCATTTGTATCACTATTCAACGAAACCACGAGCAAGTCTTGTTAAGTTTTAAACTAAAAGTAGTTTTCTCCGAAATGTTTAGATCATTCGCTCTCTATTCCTACGCATGATGGTTGATGAAGGCGTTTGAGAAGTATTGAGCTCAAAGCTAATTGTTAAATAGATAACAGCGTCGCAAATCTTTAGTTTTCAAACTCATATTCTTTCGCTCATAGTGCTCAGATGTAAATTAATCAACAAAAGTGCCTTTGACATCTACTCTAATTGCAAGACCCAACGGTATGTCTTTCTCTATCGTTGTACAACTTTTATGACTATTTTCTTTTCACCAAGCGAGGAAGTTTGTCAGTTAGTGATGACGGGCTAAGCTTTGAGTCGCCAAAAACAGTAGCGGTTGATCGTGTGTCGCTTTTCCCATTCGTAGTTACGTCTAAAACGAGTAAATAGACGCTGCAAAGGACTTATGTTAGAACATCTTTCTTCTTACCTGATTTCTTTGTGTGTTTCCACTGGTTTGTTGTCTGGCATTTCACCGCCGTGGTAAATATACTGAGATCCTCCAGTCAGAACAGTCATGGTGGTTGTGTTAGTAAAGCGCTGGAAAAGAGAAAACAAATGAAAGGGTTTCAAGATCAGACCGAGTACATACTTTTGTAAAAAGTGAATTCTAGAAACAGTTTTAGTTCAGACAGTAAGGTCAAGAGGTGAGGACGAACAAGACACCACAAAAACCGAAACAGGGGTTCCTACTTTTTTTGACCTGTTTGCAAAGGTTGACCTGATCATCTGACAATAAAATGAAACATCTGAAAATTATAAGAAATTGCCCAGAATTGATATCCACGATATGGCAGACACAATCACTAAAACTTTAGTTGCTCACTTCCAGGAACAGATAAACGATTTTAAAGCACTCAAGGGTGGTATCGTAGCGTGTTTGCCTTAAGTTGTTCACGGCTCGCTGAACAGGCTTATAGGACTCACCGTATAATATGGCGCCATCTTGCCCTTATCGCAACACTTGATCACCACCAGTATCAAGATGGCAGCAATCAGAGCTCCGAATAACAAACCAAGGAAAACGCCAAGAGCAAAATAACCAAACACTTTACGACGCTAGAAAATAAAATGCCATGTTGTTAATGCAATATATGGTCAATGAGCTAATACGTAATTCAGAGATCCGTTACTAACGCTCAAGTAAATAAAATAACAATGGAATCTGTGTTTTGGAACACGCTCAATTAAGAGAATGGGTGTCGTCTTTGGTCTTGACCATACATGTTTCTTTAAACTTATAGCTGCATTATGCTCACAGATTTCGCAATACACGCCGCGTATGATCATAAACCATATTTCGCACAATTGGGCTCTGTAAAAGTACACAGAAGTCTTTTCCGTTATCATTTAGCTGAAGGGGAGCAGTGTAAACTGAGAGGGAATCATGCTTAAGAATCGAGCGACTCACACGCGGCTCACGATTCTCCCGCTTAGCTCACGCTTCTCTCGCTTTGTTAGACAAAAACGAAAAAGAATGCTACGTAATCTGCCTCAGAGTATAATAAATTGATGAAAATAGCTGAAAGCAGCGGGATGAGTTTATTCTACCATCAATCTTCGTTGTTACCTCTGGTTCATCCACGTCAGCTCTTTGAAGACAAGACGTGCTGGCATCGCTTGAGACTCTGTAAGTCAGGCTGTTTAGCTGAAAAAGAAAACAAAAAGATCTCTGTTAGCAACTTCATATCTCCTTTAAAACTCCACTGTTCTGCCTCTCTCATAGATTTCATAGGACATTACAGTTCTTGTTCAACATAAAACTGTTCACATCTTCTCACCTGTACACTCTTCCATGTCACTGTAGCAGGGATACGCAGCGTGGTCGGCTCCTAATGGAAGCAAATAGAAATACACGAGTTAGAATAACTGAACAAAGACAACTGGTTGAGTTTGTGGCAGGTGATCACCAACCTTCTCATCCACTTTAAAACGAGCCACATAGATAAAGGATCTTGTCTCACCAACTGTAAAATAGAAAAACAATATTCACTTTGATGTCTTTGCAATACTCGATCTCTAGTATCAACGCGGATTGCGGACTTCGTTAGCTTGCGTTACTTTGGAGACTTAACCAGGAAAGATTGGAGGATATGAGCACAGAAGCCGATGTACAGGTTCCGCGATGTATTCAACTGAAATTAGCAAAGTGTAGAATAGTAAAAACTCTTCTAAAAGATATTATTGGGACTGGTCACAATGCGACTGTACAACAGTCGATTAACAAATCGAACTATTTTGATCAAATGAAGGGTTCCTTTTGTCAATCCACTAGTGATGACGATATTGCGTGTTGAATATGATGTTATTGGGATCAGTTTTTTTCTTACAATTCCCTGTGTACAAGAAATTTTGTCCATGCAGTGACAAGCTAAGCTTTATCCAGGAGGATTGCAGAGCAAAATTTGTAATCCAATCCTTCTGGATAAAGCTTAGAAATGTCTCTTTAACAAGTTTTCCTCATCTCTGTTGTCCTGAAATGAAACAGTTGAATAGGGCAATATAGACGTTATTTACTCTTAATGTTCACACGGCGGTGTTTTACAAGGAAATCCAGTCCCGATAAAAGTAGTAACTGCACAAGTATAAAATTACGATAGTATTTTATGCGTGTTTCTTATCGCCAATCAGCTACTGACACGTCACCCGCCTTTCGCGCCACTCCGTCAGGTCGATGAAAGAATATCAAAGCGTTCACGATTCTCAATTCAAGATCATTTTTCAGGCCTATAGTGTTTAAAAAAAGGCCAAAATAATTACATGGTTGCTTGTAGATATGAAATTTCTCTCCGAGTGTTCTATTTCACCAACCATGAGCCAATTGATGAACAATGGTGAGGTCTGGAAGTACTTGAAGAACTAACATACCATTAAGCGATCGCTTATTTTTGTTTTAGTGGATTTGTTACACATGTTCTCCATCAATTAGTCAATCAATCAACAAATCAATCTAAGGCTTTGCAGTAAAAGAAAACAAGTAACAGAAGAAATGATCTCGCTTAATTCAAGCGAGTAAGATGAATGAGAACACCCTTTCAAGCTGTTACAGATCAGTTTTTTTACCCAATAAACCAGTCAATCAATCAGATATTCCATCAATCAAATGTGTAGATAAATACTATTTCAAACTCTTGCAATATGAAGTTATCCCAAACTTACCGCGCAGACTTCGAAGGGTAAAACGAATTTCAAAGCTGTTCTTTCTGGGAAACGTAACAAAGGCGCCTTGAGTCGACGAATCAGAATCATAAAAATCCATTCCTTGTGTGGAATCCTGGACAGTTAGGTTGGTCGCATCGTAAACAGAGGCGTTGGTGTGACTGACGGTAATGTTAAATAACACAAGAGGCGAGTCCACGTTCTTCTCTATTATCTGGAAAATATATGAAAAGAAAGGTCACTTGAGTATCTTGCAGAGCACAGGATGCAGAGAAGTTAAATATGACGGTATTTCTAATTAAATTAACTGTACGATTCAGGGGTTTCGATGATCTTTCTTCCTAAGCGGCTGCCGATGGTGTAATAAGCGGTTGTGTCCGCCTGTCTCCTCACAAGCCAAGCAAACTGCGGTAAGAGGTCTAGCACATGGCGGTGGACGATTGTAGCACGACTCGATATCGTTGTTGACCGCTGACACACGCAATCGCGTTACACGTTTCTGGAAACCTTTCTGCTAAACAAAAACCGCTTACAGTACTTATTGTGGGCATTCAGCGCTAGTAGTTACTAGCGATGCAATGTTACGGTTTATTTAACTAGAAATAGAGTCGAATTAACTCCTCTGCTCTCTGAGGCATGGTTAAACATAAAACGCAAGCTGCGTTTCCAAAAATTTTTTTGGAGAACTTTTCTCCAAGGTATAGGTGGAAAATACGACATGACTTTGACAAATATTTTTTTTCAAAAGCTTGTAAGCAAGGACAAAACTGCCTTGTGTACAAGTTTTATATGTCTTGATCAGGAAATTTGCCGAGAAAGTTGTAAAGGATTTAGTAGAAAGTCAACTTCAGAAAGGTAACAGGAGCAGAGGACTTAAACTTGGCTATTCTCTAGTTCAATGAACCCACCAATTTCAGTACGAGTCGTTCTTGTTGATTGCTCAATGATACATGTTTATGCGATCACGTTACTGGCCAGTCTGTTGTCCGTAGCAGGTCGACGAGCGAACCTTTCCGTTCCCAGCACGGTCGTAAAGCGAAGATTTCCGAACGAGGCACGAAGAGCTTTGGTTTTTTTAATTATTGTTACGACACTCAACCGAAAAGCGCTAAAACTACCATACCTCCACAGTTTTAACAATGGACAGTAGTGGCTTCACCAGTGGTCCAACGATAACAAACTGTTTCACCCCACTATCTGATCCAGCATCAAAATTCAACTTCACTGTCAAGTACAGGCGTCGTCCACTAAGAATGAGTGGTCTGTTTGCGGTGTTAAACTTTAGAAAGATCTCGATTGTATCATTGGATCCAGAGCCGGGAAGATTCTGAACAGTACCAAAGGGTATAGTCAGAGTCGTAGGGTTCGCAGGTGTTATGACTGGGATCAGAGATAAAGTCAGGCCATCTCCGTACTTCACAAAACTGTCACCTAGAATAGGAGATAGGGCGTTGACCACACCTGCTGAACGCTTGTGCCGAGACCTGTTCAAGATAAACAAACACTGAATGTTAAATATTTAAACAAATAAACATTAAGAAACCGTTAATTACCAGGATAAGAGTACTTTAAAATTAAGACTGTTATAAGGTAACATAAATGGCTCTATAAACCCAGATGAGTCTAACTAATCAGTCAAAAGTTCGTTGGTGAGTACGGAAAACCCTTTTAAAGAACGAACTGATTCAATCGGTTGAAAACGGGAACAACGGGAAAACGGTAAACGCGACTCTCTGAGAACTGCGACATGCAATACGCAATAATCGTTTGCGTAATAATGCTCACAAACTCACAATTGAAAATTGTTCAGCGCGCGCACTATCAGTATTATATTGCGCACCTTTTACTGCGCATAACATCATGTAATTAGGCGTATTCCGAGGAAACGGTATTGTTTTTCAGTCATTGTACGGTGACCTATGTCTTTCATTGCATAATCTTGGTGAAAAAATTATCCCTTTTAAGTTAGAAAAGGAAAAAAAAGAAATAATAGGAAGGAAATACAGATATAGCTAAAAGCGTGTACGAAGCCTGTTACTCGAGGATGCTGACCTAAAGGGCCACGACTTGAGGAACGTCTTGACTCGATGTCGTTTGAAATTGCATGATTTTTCCATAAATTATACAGGAAACTGTTCCATGCGCTCGACACTTTCTGCCTATCGATTTCAGTATTTTGTAAAAGTTTTAATGTTCTAATGACAAGCGTGATTAGTACCAGCACAGGCATAAATGAGGTTGCTATAATTAGTTGTATTGCTGCTGTAGTTTTTGCTATACAGCACTAAGTAGAAATGCGCTCTAATAAAAAAAGGAATTTTTTTCCTTTTCAAGAAAGGGTGGCATTTGTAAGGCAGGCATGCCAAAGAATCACAGTATACACGATAAAGCACAGGCCCCCCCCAAAAGCACTTGGAGAGTTGATTACGTGTTAAAAACCGCAAAATCGAACATGGCAAGTATATGGATTTGTATGGCATTTAAAAGTCTCAATTGTTTTCAAGGATTCATACTATTTCTTTATTAGAGGAAAAACGGTGAAGAAATTAAATCGCTTCAATCCCACTTTATGCGTGATGGGGTTTAACAAGTAACCTAATTTCCAAGTGAGCTGGGGAGCCAGTGAATAAAGTTTCAGGAAAAGGAAAAATACTGAAACAACAACAACAAAAAAGAAACAACCAACCTTAAGTTATCCTCTTCACTCTCAATTCCGATTCCTTGTAAACTCCTCCTTTTACGAGCCAGATCAATAACGCTTTCAGGGACAGTGGGCAAATCAACTACTACACTCAAGTTGGTCTCACACTCAGGGAGTTGTAACTGAACGGTAAAATTAACTGGATCACCTGCCTCTAACTTATCCGCATTCTTACTGGACAGTATCGAGGTATCGATAGGCTTGGTAGTAATGTTAGCATGTCTCTTTTCATTGTAGCTCGCCGCATTCTGCGGGTTGTTTCCCACATTTTTGTTGTAGTACTCTACGGTAACCATCTGAGAGATCAACTGCTTTGGGCTGACGCGAGCTTGGAGTCGAGACTCGTACTTGCAGTGGATGCTTTGTGAGGGCGCAAGAGGTGTTATGAAGAGTCTTGATTGCTTTGTGGTAGCGTTAAACTTAGGCGTACCTCCACTGCAAGATGTGTTGAGACTGTTGGTGTCGACAGTCTCAAAGGATACTATTACAGACAGTGAATACGCTGATATTGTTGAATCAATGTTGTTTAGGATCAGTTCATATTCTACTCTGTCACCGGCATCAAACGAACCATTGGCGGGAGCCTGAAAGCTAACTGTTACATATGGAAGAGGGCGGAAGGTGAGGAAAGAAGCCTGTAAAATAAAAAAGAAACAAGTCACAGAATTTATTGAAAATATCTTGAAGGAAACTCGATCTGTAGGGGTTTTGGTTTTTGACTGCATGTGCGCGAAAGCCTTAATATATCGCCTCCGCTTTCCTCTCGTTTTGTTTCTGTTTTGTTTTTTTTTTCGCTCACGCAAAACTGCACTCCTTTGCATCTCATTTCTTTAAAACGACGTCCACTTTTCGTCAAATTAGCGAACATAAGATCGTCAAAGACAAACAAGCCTTCGACTCCAGCTGATAAAAAATAACCTCGACTTCGATCATAATTGCTACCAGTCATAACATTATCCAATAACTGTTAAGTACCAGCAACATCTTTTTGAAGAGACTTTTCTCACCTGATCAGAGTTCTGTTCAAACTTTCTCCCTTCTCGGGGTGACAAACTGGGCGGCAATGTTGCATAGGAGAGGAAGACCGGGGAAGAGATGTATATGCTGGGCTGAAGGTTACCAACAGTTGTAGCCTTGAACTGAAAAGAGACGCTCTTATCAAGGAGCAGGCCATCGGTAACTTGATAAAGAATCACTTTTGTATTCGTATTATTATACCTGAAAGATAATAACATTTATTCTATAACAGGCCACCATACACATATAAACATGACAAATGTGCATATACTACATAAACAAATTGTGCAGTTGTCGGCTATTGTGAAGAACAACTCCCTTAAAAAAGCCTGTCCGTCAACAAACGGTTGAACGTCGGCTGAGTTGACCAATTATTGGCCAAAAATCGACCAACAGTTGGCCAACGGTTGGTCGAGTGTCGTCCAACTGTCGGCCAGCTTTCGGACCACAGGTGACTGCTAGTCGGCCAACGGTACAAGTCTAGTACAATAACAATGACGGAGATAACACGTAATATAGTTTTAGAAGCAAACTTCTCTTTCGCATGACCATCAGCTAAAAAAAATTAGCTTTCAGAGTTCGAATTTAATTGATATTTTTCTTTATTCTCATCATCACTTGTTTGCTTGATATCGTAAGGATTCGTCTAAATTCTGTCTTGGTCACTCATGGGAGTTAAAGGTTCATGACAGAATTCATGTTCAAATTGGAATTTTTCAAGGGTCAGTTTTTTTGAGAAGGGATGATCACTAGAGAACCATCAGGAAACAACAACAAAAAAAATCAACTCATACGTGACACCAAGTTCAAGAATTAAACCTCCGTTAACCCTCTACACTCCAACATCAGTATCTATATTCTCCTTACTGTTCTCTACACATTTCCTAAGGTGCTGACAAGGAGAATTTGATGAGAAATCAAGTGTTTCTTTAGCTGGTGATCATTTCATTTATTCTCATAACCTTAATGTATGATTCAGGAGTGATATTGTAAGGAGAAAGTAGCTTTAGATACTAGTAACTCTTGAGGGTCAAAGGGTTAAACAAATTCCTTAACCCTTTAACTCCCAAGATCTCATTGGTAATTCTCCTTACTGTCTACCATACAGCTCTCATAACGTTAGTTTGGAGAATTTGGTATTGGATCAGCTTATAATCCCCTAACTGATATTTTTCTTTATTCTCATCACTTGTTTGCTTGACATTGTATTGATATTGTAAGGAGAAATTCTGTTTTGGTCACTCATGGGAGTTAATTAGGGTGAATTGAAATTTCATATCCATTTAAAGAGTGGATTTAATGCAAAAACATGTTACCTTGGATTTCCACTTGGGGCATTGTTGCCAGCAACCACAGACAAAACACCTACTTCTGGAGAGCCAACCTCTTGAACATTTTCAAAGTACTCATCAGATGCAGCAATCTCCAGAAGCACCCGATATGCATGTGATGCTGAGTGTTTAGAATGACTCAGCTTGACGGTGAATGTAAGATCATCATTTGGGTCAACGCCAGATATCTTATTTACAGTGGCAGTGACAGATAAATCAGGTAGGACAACCTTTAGTAGACAAGGAAATAATTCAAGTGAGAATTGAAGTTTTATTGATATAAAAATAATTATGCAATCACAACCTCTGTATGCAGTGGTGAGACTTTACATCCCTATTTCTCTATCATCAATTAAGTGAAACACCACATCACTGTACATGATTGCAAATCTATTCATGCATAATTGGTGCACAGTTTTTTAATCTTTTTGAAAGTTGGATGGCAATGAATTAAGAGGCAATCCTTGCAGCTTAAACACTACTGAACTAGTAGTTGAAATGAGGCCTGAAAAAAATTCAGGCCCATACAGTATTTGAACCCATGACCTCTGTGATACCAGTGCATTGCTCTACCAACTGAGCTTGGTTTTAAACCTTCAAAGGTATATTTGGATCCAACATAATGACCAGCTCCCAGTTAGCTTGTTAGCTCAGTTGGTAGAGTACTGCCACATATATGATTTTCATACATTTACAGCCTTTGATGGCAATGTTCTATGTGCATTCATTTTTCATCTAAACAACTTAATTTTGCCATAAAAAGTGAGATGAATTAATTAAATCTTTACTAATTAGCTGGCCAACATCCTGCAAAAATATTATGTGACAAGTGAAATGAATCAATGCTAAGGAAAGCAAATTGAAGTTTCAAAATTATATTGCATTTTCCTTACAAATATTACAGATCATTAACTCACAGTAGACATGTACACACCTTTAATGTCAATGAACTGGGAACTTGGGGTTGTCCATTGACGATTGTATCAGATACAATTGCTAGTCTTTTGCCATTTATGTTCTGCACAACATCAGCAACCCTCATGGTTGCAGTATAGGTAATTGTACTTGCCGACAACTGGGCATTGTCTCCAACATTCACAACAGTTCCTAAATTGCTACTTACAGTAGATCCAGAGACACTGAGATCTGCAAAATAATGAGTAAGTTAAACAGAATATTTAACAGGGTTTCAAAAACCAAAAGCAATAGTCATGGTGGCTCATGATCCCTGAACTCCCAAGGTTTGATCATTTCCTCCATATCATTTTCTGACAGTTGTCTGAGGTACATGTACAGTAATCAGGGGTTTCAATAAAAGTGGGCTACCAGGTGTCCAACAGGCTCATGTGTTTAGGTTTGGCCTAATGGTTCCTTTTCCAGCTACAGCCACAGCAACCCATTACAGCCACTTATGAAAAAAGTTATTGAAACCTCTGAGTAATATTAATATTAGCCTGATTTCACGATTGCTTAACATTAAGAGCTATTAACCTTCAACTACCCACTGTAAACTCTACTCCCTTTTGTGCTGATCAATTGTGCCTCTTCAACCTGATTGGCTTTGACTGTTTCTCTATTACTCAAAACTATACCAAAATTATCACCAGCCCAATTTGAGGACTAATAGGACAGTGTACATGCCATACTTGTAATTGGACATCGTAATAGGACAGTTAAGGGACAGTTAAAATGTCATACCTGTGTAAGTGGACAGACCATGTCATGTGTGTGCTGATCTCTTGCATTTCACCAAGTTAATTGTTTTTTTCTTAATGAAAATGTACAACCAATGTCTAGTTTCTTTCTCAAAGTTTGCTAGAGTTTTGATTAATTGGTAACAGGACTTTGTGTCATCCAATTCAGTCAGTAATCATACTCATGATTAAAAAATTAGACTCCTGCTTCGCAGTTGTCCAATTTTGTTAATCACTTGTGTGATTACAGACCAAATTGGATTCCTCCTAGTCCTATTACCATTATTAATAGCATCTTAGGGCCTGCTGACATGGAGCTGGGGGACCCCATGTAGGTGGGGTAACCTGCCTGTCCATATAATCTCTTATTTTATTTTGATCAAATTTTCATAATATTTGAGGTAACCCACCTAGACACGCTGCCCAGTCTACTGGGTAAGGTAACCCTGTCAGCCCAAGGGTCACAATTTGCCATGTAAACATCTCAAGGTGGGGTTAGCTGCCTAACCAGGGTTGCCTTCATGTTACATTTAGAACTTGCACCAAAAACTTCACCCCAAGATCCCAGGGTGGCAAGATTGTGTGTTTATGCTGACTATTCTTTCGACCACAGCAAGGCAGGTTACCCAAGTTACCTAGAGTTCCCCACCTCCACATAAACAAGTCCTTAGAGAATTTCAGAGGTTCATAAACATTACATACACTGCATCTGAACTTACTGTAAGCTGCATCAATCCGTTTTTCAAGTGATTTTATATTTCTGCCAACCGTGGTGATCTGCCCATCTACTGCTTCAAAACCACTTCCTAAGAGTTTTAAGAAAAAATCTGGATTTGTAGACACAGGGATCTGAACAATTGCTTGCAAAACCATGTCTTCTCCGATAGTAACATCCTTTGGGTCACCTATCGGATCAGGCACATCACTACTAAGAACAGAGGGAGTCAGGGCTGCGACATTTTTTATCCCTATTGTCTCTGTGTCAACATCTCCAATTGGCAACCAGCCTTTGCGAGTGTATTCCAGAGTTAAGTTGTTGTCATGGAAACTTCCTGCTGCCACTGATGAATTCACATAATTATGTAGATGACCATACACCCATGAAGATGCATTCAACCTACAAAAAAATTGTGCAAAATTTGTCAAACACCTTAAGTCTTACAAGTAGTTAGCCTTAACCAGCTTTACACCCTAACATCATTATATACATTCTATTTACAGTTCTCCATACTTTACTTAAGGTGCTGACTAAGAGAATTTGTTCAACAGTCAAGAGCATCTTTTGGTTGGTGATCATTTCCTAATATTCTCATGACCTTAATGGGTGATTCAGTTATGATATTCTAGGGAGAAATTAGATGCTAATCTTTTTTAATGGTTAAACCTTAGATATAATGAAATTCATACTGATAATTTTGTAAAATTGTAACTGTGTATGTAACTCTATCTCTACAGTGTTTGATCTCACCCAGTAAATAATTCTATCATGATTTTAGACCTGATACTGAGAACATTTCCAAAACATAGTGCTTTAGGAATGCTATGTGAGGAGCACTGTCTTATAAGTTAATCATGAAAATTGATGTGATGCTAAACAATCAATAATTCTTTCATCGTAGCTACTGTGTATTATTCATTTATTTATTATTTATTTAATATCAAAGTAACTGATAAATAGCATCTATGGATTACTTAAGTCAGGACCTGACCTTGTTAGCTTCACTTGAAGTCCAGCATAAGCTTTTGTTAACATATGTGTTCCATATAGGTCACGGCATTTGGTCTCAGCAACACTTTGATTAGAAGTCATGTTGAAAATTGAGGTATTCCCACACAAAAAGGCAGAAAAATTGTGCAATTCTATGTCAGCTGACAGCACTGAAATGTTTAAAGTCAAATTCCATGCAGGACCAGTTGAAAAGTCAGGATTCTTGACTTCATATTTGATGTCGACCATGTCTTTACCTTCATAACAACAATCAGAGTTATCTGCTTCCAAATGAAACTCAAGTAGTGGCTGCCCAAGCTTCAGAGTAATCAAAGTTTTGTTGGCTGTTAAATAGGAGCCTCTTGGTGAATCATACATAAGAATGCAAGTGGCATTTCCAAAACTTTCTGGTACATAAACACCACGGGATGAGTCCACTGCACCAGTAACTTCCACTGTTATGGTTCCATTAAATGATTCATTCCCTTTGTTCACTGTATCTCCAAATGCAAACTCAACCACATTTTGAGTCAGCGGAAACAGATGAGCTGTTGAAGGACTCACAATGAATCTGGGTCCTGATCCTTCCATTAGCAACTTTGGTTTGACTCCTTCTGATAAATCAACCACTGATCCACTTACAAATTTCATAGGTGTTGAGTTTCTGAAGACAGGCAGCAGTACCTGAAGTTTTACATTTGCTGTTATCCTTGGAATTTGAAAGCTTGCAAATAATGTTATTTCCTCCTCTGAAGTTAAAGTAGGGCCAGGTGTCTCTGGAATCGATGTGCTCTTCAATTCAAACTGCAGATTACCAGGAACTACAGTTCTGTATGATGCTATGCTAATGTCATCTTCCATAGTTTTATTTGAAATTGTGACATTTGCTGTTATGTTTAATAAACTATCAGCTCTGGCTGAAGGAAGCAATTTAAGTCTGACATTCAGGGTTGCTGTCCAACTAAAATTTTGTGAGAAGATGTGAAAATTTAGAGCCTTGATTCTTGGCATGTGGTTAGAAACAACTGAAGAGCTGGAGTTTATCTCTAACAATGGCACAAACGAACAGTTTGATATGTTTGAAGTGACAATCCCGGTTTGACTGCTTTGATTTGAGTGGCTTACAATGTCAAACACAATTGGCAAAGTAATAACCAGATTCACGAACAATGAGCTGTTTTTCAGCTCATGACAAGCAGAAGAGTTCTCATGTAATGCACCAATCTTTGTTCCATTATAATTCAAGTGAAAGGTCAAATTTAACAAATCGCCTCCTTCAATTTGAGTCAAAGACGGAGGGAAGACTTCAGAAGTTATGGATAAACCGTAACCATCAAATGCTACCGCCATTTCATCAACCGAGCCTGTTCGCAGAGTACCTCAGTGAGTAAATGCATGCGTAATTAATGGGGTCGTGTGTCTACAACGTGGAGCGCAAACAAAAACACAATTGACGTGACGATCAACATGTCACTGATTACGCTCTTCAAATGTAAATAAAAGGAAGTTTCATCCAACAGTATCTTCGAACGATCGTGCAATCGGAGCAAAAAAATGTTGTCCACCTGTAGGAGGGAAAGAAAAGAGTTTCAGTGAGAACAAGACTTGCTCGTGAAATCAAAATTACAAGTTCTCCTTCTAAACCTAACACCTCTACAACTGCTTATGAAAACCTACTGCTTTGCGCAGAAAGTGAGATTTAACGATCATTTCAAAAAAGTTGTAAATGAACTAGTATGTATCATACGGAATTCGATCGAGTTTAATACAAATTTCAAGCTCTCACTCCCACTGAAATTCAAGTTTAGTGTCTCTACGTAATTTTTTCGCTAATAAATATTCGACTTGATGATTCCAAGCTAAGATTTGAACAACTAAGCACGCGTTAGGATACAATAACAACTATCTTACCTGTGATCGGGAAAATATTCGCGCGTATAAGGTAGGGTTCGTACTCTAACCAGTTTGGGCAAAAAGATACTTCAAAGCTACGCAGAATTAAAAAAAAAGAGCGGATCACGTCAATATAAGATTTGCGTCACCCCCTTAGCCGTGAAATTTGCTCTAGTTTGACGCTCTTGGCCAAATATTAGCATAAGATACAAAAGACTCATTTGTCTGCTAACTCCGCCATTTTTCCTTTCGCTTCGTTGTCATAGTTACTAGCAAACAGATTAAAACAACCGCTGGACAATGACGGCACGTTTTTCAAAATTTGTTGTGCAAAGTCCAAAATAGTTGTTCTCGTAGGCTTGTGATTTATCTCAACTTATTTCTAACAGGCATTTAACAAGTGCACGTGTTTGGAAATCTTCTCTTTTTTTTCCCCGAGGCCTTCATTACTGAACGATTATACTCTGCATATTTCAATGCATAATTTATTAGTTGTATCAATAACGATATTTTTATCACAAATGAAGCAATTCTTTTACAACAAAACATGTTCAAAACATGAGGAATAATAAGTAATTCAATAAAATCATGTCGGTCAGAACTCAGACACTTCTGATACTTCACGCCGCCAAGCAAATAAATTGAGAACAAAAAAATAGTCGAGTCAATTAGAAGGAAAATATTAGTCGTATCTGCTGGATTCACCTGTCCTTGTTATCACCTTACTGAGGCAGACTAAACTGCTAAGATAACTAAACCTGAGTCAGCGAAAATAACCATCGCACGCGGGTGAGCCACAGGTAGCCCAGACTCTGTTGAAGCCAATTTCTTGGTAAGGAGGTTGCATACCCCCCCCCAAACCTCTCTAAACTCCATGAGCTCAGCCACCCCAAGGTACGTCTCTCAGGCTTCCCTGAAGATTTATTAGTATCCATCAACAGTCTTTTGTAAAGTGTCTTGCATAAGATCACAACATAATCCCTGCGAAGGCTCCGAAGGCTCGTACCCAGACCTCTCGATTAGGAGGCCAGTGAACCAGAAGCCGCCAAGCATTGGGCTAACACATATAAAGGGGCTGTCATCAACAACTATACACCATCAGGATCACTGATTCACCACACATGTGGAAAAAATGACTCATATATTATAGGATTGGTCAAGAGCAAGGGATGCAGGAATCAGGCTGGAGAGCACTGCACGGAATGACCGAGAGCTTTGCCACACGAGAGACTGGAAACACACACACTGGTAGCGTGACAGCCTAAGTAGTTCAGATGTTCAAAATCAAGTGAAAATAATTTTATGTCATTTGAGACGCTGGCTATATCTTTAACCTTGGTTAGGATCAACACTTTTTGACCCTAAAAAGGTTTCTCCTGATAACCATTTACAAGAGCCAAAACTTGATTTTGATCAGTACTTTTGGTCAGTCAGATCGACAAAATCACGAATGAAAAGTTTTAAGGACTTTAATTGAATCAATCAGTTTCTCATTTGCATACTACCTTATTTTTAAAAGTATATGGTTAATGACAGTATATATGTTATTAATGGTAACAACAAAATGTGGTTGTTTTATATAAATTTTGCGCATTAGTAAGTTTTTCGGTTTAGGGGCATTTTCACTTCGCTGAAAAAATAAAAGACAAACCTTTTTCGAAGTGACCGTTTAGTTTTCAGGAGTAAAATCGGTATTCGTGTATTATGTTTTGTTATTCCCTAATTCAAGCCATTCAAATATTTCGTTCAGCAGATTTCCTTTCATTCACTTTAGCTAAATATTTTTCATTTCATCACTTTCCAATAGGTTATCTTTTTTTTGGGGGGTGGGGGTGGGGGGAAGCGTTAAGCCCAGAAAAGCTTGCCTATCAAGAAAGACATTAATTTAAACGTTATTCATAAATATCCATTACCCCTAAACTTTTTATTTTTCTAAAGAAGCCATGCATGATCTCCAGAAAAAGATTAGTGATGCAAGAATGGAACATATCTACGAAGAATATTACAAGTCTATCAAAGATTTAGTATGAAAAAACCAGATGTTTTAGTTCAGTTAGGAAATAAAAAAAAAAAGAACAAAAACAACAATGATTTGCCCTTAAATTAGTTTATAAGGAAAAATATGACAAAAGACGACGGTTATATCTATCACAGATAAAATATATTTGTAGGTATTAATATGCATGATAAATGTTCTTCCACTGTCTGTTGGTTTCTTGGCCCCAAAACTGTAAACACCGGTGGGAATTATTTCCCGCTAACAAATGATCCCAATTTGGCCGTGACAGATGTTTTTGAAAATGTTTATCTTTCTTTATGGATATATTTTTAGGAAAAGGGAAAGGTGTTTCCTGTCTGTAGCCAACGCAAATCTTATTGATAAAATATCGTGTCTTATAATCGATCTCACCACTCAAATTAATGCGGTTTATAATTTACCAGACAATTAAGGAAGACACACTCTTTATGAGAGAAATATCTTCTTCACGCGATCTAGCATTCGAACATGCGGAAAGTACATTTTGAAACTTAATTTTTCTCAGTGACCTGAATTAATCTTGGTAAAGAGTATTATCTTTGTGCTGTGTTTTTTCGAGATGTCGAAAGTCGTTAAGACTTGTACATTGCATTCGAAGTCGCAAAATAAAAGTATATTAAAAATGCTTTTAAAAGGGATATGTGCATGTCTGCCCTTTTTGGTAACAGACAAGAAGAGATAAATTATCAGGTAAGTTTTCATGGAGATTTTTGGATTGCTCTTACATGAACAGCAATTTTAGAAGTTGGTGTTTATTATCACGTGTCAGAGTTGCACCAATCAGAGTGCCGATCCCCTTGTCTAACAATTTGCGGTTGAGCGCGTGTGTACTTTAAGGAATGCGACTTTTTATTTCTTTCGCCAGCTTCCGCTTTATATTCAGAAATCAAAATGGTGGTGACCAGTCCACACTGTATGCATGTGTTGTTATTTCTATCAAATTTTCTCCGGAGTAAGTGCACTCATTTGTCACTAACCGTGTTGTTTTCACTTCTTTTGACGAAAGCGCGAAATGCTGATCATTTTCATTTTAATTTTTGTCCTCGCAGTTTCTGTGGCAAGTGGATTCGCTGCTGTTAACTTTACCACAAAACCCAAGGATGCGGACTACTTTGTAGCAAGTGATGCCACTCTTCGATGGGAATATTCCAGCCGGAAGGCAATCCAGTATGTAAAATTTGGAATCCAAATCGGCGATGATGATGTTGCTATTGTTGTGAAAGATGTTGATGCTAAAGAAGTTCAGTTTAATAGCTTTGATCGGCCACAAGTAACAGAATCATTTATCGGTCGAGTGGATGTAGTAAAGAACGAACAAGCAAGTTTCAGGATTAAAAATCTCACGCTGAATGATACGGGAAAGTATTTTCTCAATTTGGATCGGCAAAACGGGAGTAAAATTCCTCCCCAGTATGTCCAAGTGACCGTTGTAGGTGAGTATTTTACAGTTTTGCTTCAATTTCATGGTTCTTCTTTCCTCAACAGGCGCGAATTTTTTATTCCATGCGTAAGAATGAAATATGAGAACGAGTAATGGGTTACGCCAGCGGCAAATGTACCTTGTTTTGCAAACGAGAGCCGCTCTTAAACACCTGCATGCATTTCATGTCACACGCGTAAATTCAGCAAAATTCACGTCCGTTTTATTAACTCAGAATAACTCCACTTTCATTCATTTTTCATGTATTTTATGACTAAACCGAACGACATAACTACTATTTAGCTGAAAATGATCATTCACACACTGGAAGCCGTGCTAAATTAGTATTGACTTCTGGCGTGCTGCTGACATATTCTTCATTGTTGTCACAGTTTTTCGCGTGGTCTTCCGATGCAGCCTGACGATGGGTTATCAACTTTGTCTTAACTGGCATAAGTCTAAAGATTTTCCGCGATCTTTTGTGCAGTAATGAGACATTTCTACCATTTTTGTATTTTGGACATCTTTCTGTACGACAGCTTTCAACATGATAAAATTCATTGACATCCAAGCCTATAGTTACAAAAAATAGATGTGGGAGTCATTTGTTTTTGGTGATAATGTGCGATAACTTAATTTTGATCTGCTCTCAGAAATAAACAGAACATTGCCAAAAAAGTTACCGTTTTAAATTAGCATTATCAGAAAGATAGGTAATCGCAGTTTGAAATTTTTCCAATCGTTTTCACTGTATTTTCCAAGAGGCAAATTTTCAAACATACTATTTTGATCGATCGTTCCCCTATCGCGTTTTATTAATTCTATCACATTAAATATTTAGAAACTCTCCCAGTGGAAATCAATTCAATATTCAGATAGCGTGGTGACTTGAAAGAATATAAAAAACAGTGTGACTTACATTTAGGATTTCAATTTCCAGCTGAAAGCAATAAAAGTACATTTCATTATTTGTAAGTAACTTTCAGACGTCAAATTGCTTCCAAAATGTACTTGCGTATTTTAATTCATTTGGAGAAAGCGCGGGGAAATTTTCGCTGTGACTTACGTTTTGCGGTTTTTGGCATTTTTGTTTAAAAAAACGGCTAACTTCAGATACACCAGATAGCGGCAGAGGTGTAACTGTGAAGTAATATTTGTTTAGTGACATTCGGTTTCCACAACTAGAATAATATAAATGCTGTCAGCAGAAGTAGTAGAAGTAAATTTTAGATCAAACTTTCGATAGAGATCGTAAGTTTCGAATGTAATTGACGCGGTAAATGAGCCCTTAATGTACACGAAGCCGCAGCAAATGTTGGAATTTTTTCATCAAAGCCACGAAAATTTGTTTCCAAGACCTGATGAAACGATCACAATCTCTAATGCACGCGGCCATATGGTGTGGTGAACCTTGATTAATTAGTTTTTGTCGATCGGTTTATGATAATCAAGTAATCTCGCATATTTATTCATAAGTTTGGTTTCAATCGTACAAAAATTGATTTTGTACTATGCACCGTAACTATTTTGTCTAAGGTGATCTTTTTTACCATTTAGAAACTCCAATTTAACGTATTGTTGGAATATGAAGGGAGTAGATTTACCTGTAAATGGTTAGGCGGCAAAATTGCATACGATGAAGATCACGACCGAAGGAAAATCACATTTCCCAGCCAGGTGCAAAATTCTTAGTTTAGAAAGCTTTTCAGAATTTTGAATTATCTTAAAAAAGACCCATATACCTGGCATTCGACGCAGTTCTCCTTAAGAGCAGAAATTAAATATGAAAAGCCTTTCAAACTCAATTTTTACTTGGTCATTGCGATGACAGAGTAAGAAATTATAAAAGTATTTTTATTCACACGTGAGCCTTATGTCTGATGTTTTCTGGCTACTAATTGAAAAGAGACATTTGCAGATCAGCCGTAATATCTCCTTTGCTGCTTCCTTATACGGGGTGACGAAAAGTTAATCTGTTTTATTTCAGTAATTTTTTTCGAAGTCAGTAACCGAAACACTTTATTCCTTTGTTTGACATTAGTGCGTAGTTTCTTTAGATACACGTGATTATCCATATTGTAACAAAGTCCCGATATGCACCTTTAAAAATGAATGACAACTTGTGGACTGATCGAATTTGAGGATCGCTTTTTTCCCCAAAAGTGACGATAATAATTTTTTTCATTCTGATCACATAATTACGCCGCGTTCATATCTGACATTTTCTTTTGTTATCCACGGGAGAGTAACAACTTCGTTTTTGGAAATAAGTCACGACCATGCAGCACATGGCGTGACAGTTTGTTCTTCCCTTCACCTGCCCTTACACGAGGAGGGCGCGTCAGTTGTCTCTCCCTAGTGCGCGCTCATAGATATATCTCTTTTCGCAATGGCGAGCATGATTATTATTATCTTATGTGAATTTATTTCTGTTCGCTTTTAACGACACCAAGAGGGCTGACTTGCAAAACGATAGAAATTGGTGACGAGAATATCGTGGCGCTTCATGAACTTTGGAAAGAAAAGTGCAACTTGTTTCCCTGGGTTGCTAGGGTGCTGGGATATATTTTTTACACAGATGTCTGTGGTGTCACGTGACAGATTATGCTGGAAAGGAGACTGATCTTAATTCAACGGATTTGTCATTATTTATCGTTAGGGAGGGGGTGAAAGGGTCGGAAGGTTTGAGTTGTGTCACGGTAAAATTGACCTGATCCCCCATTAGGCTCTGTAAAACTCTCATGATTCCCCCCTTTCTTCCCCCCCCACCCTCTTTGGAAGTTTTCTAAATCCTCCCCTTTGTACTATTTTGGAGACGACTGATTTTCCCTATGTTCCCCCTAAAAGACCGTGTGTGCCCCCCAACCTCCCTTCCCCCCCTCCGAGTAATAAATGATTAGTGGTACCTGCCTAGGTACCCTGACTGTCGTAGTACTGAAACGAACTCGCGATTTCCTTATTTAGACATTATTACTGATCGTCAAAACTCCACTCAGCTGGTGGAGTCATGGGTAGGGCACAAGGTTTCTCTCATCTGCATCGTCACTAAAGCATCGCCTGGGTTACCTGTGGACTTTGACTGGAGATGGTCAGACAATACGCAAGTCTTTGGAAAACAGGTTTATTGGAAAGGAAAACCGGATCCTTGGAAAGACCAAAGCCAAATGACAATAGAGACGAATGTTGACCGGGATTTCGAGCCTGTGACATGCATCGCTAAGTCAAGGACTTCAACTCAGCGGTTTGATATTGGCATGAAACAGCTATGTAAGTGCATTTCAGTGTCTTCTGCTTATTTTTGAATTTAAAATAATACGCGTTGCAAATAAATTGGAATCTATTTGTTTTATGCAATGAGGAAGCAAAATTTGTTAACGATTACGTCATTTATGCGTCTGTCCATTAATAGATCATAAGTAACAACCAATCAAAATGTGTGGATAATTCAGCTTGGTAAATAAAACCTTAATTATGATTGGCAGTTGTCATTACTTTGATTTTGGTTTTACGACAGTCAATCAATTGAAAACTGCTCCAATTATGAGAAGTCATTATTTCAATCAATCAGTAATTCAGTAATTCAGTAATTCAGTAATTCAGTAATTCAGTAATTCAGTAATTCAGTAATTCAGTAATTCAGTAATTCAGTAATTCAGTAATTCAGTAATTCAGTAATTCAGTAATTTAGTAATTCAGTAATTCAGTAATTCAGTAATTCAGTAATTCAAAATACAATCAATCATTTGTCCTTTCATTATTTCGTTTGAATTATCTCAGTTGAGATACAAATCATTTGATAAATTAAACTTATTTTTCCTCAGATAAGCCGCGAGAACCCATCAATGTCACAGCATACGACTTTCCAAGCAATGAAACTGAGTGCCCCATGTACAGCAGGCTCACCTGGGAGCCACCCGAGGAGGATGGAGGAACTCCCTTAACTGGTTTCGTCGTGGAATATAAACATACCATTTTCACTAACCGGGTTTTCGTCAGCAAGACCATTAACCGCTGCACAGAGCACGTGATTTGCAAACTTCAAAGTGAATTTCCACGTGAGGTGCACGTGGATGTTAGAGCGATCAACAGAGTTGGTCAAGGGTTTCGATCCCGCACAGTCTTGGTTTCATTTTTCAGTGAGTATTTCAGTTTTACAAAGCCCTCTACGGTTATGACACGATGTCACCAATGAAGGTTTCTCACTAGAAAATTGCCCTACAGACTTGCTTGAGAGCTGTCATCTAAAAGATTCTAAGTAGGGGGGCAACGATTGCTTTTAAGGACTTTCCCGAAAGCACGAAAGCGATTACAGTGAAACGCCGAACAGAATAAAAATCGCGCACAACTCGAAAGGTCAAGTTGTCTCGCCTCGGCAGGTAGGGTAACTCGAACATGCACAACGTTTTCTCACACATATACACTTCAGCTTACCCAGCCAAGAAAAGACGGGTCAAATTTTGTGCAATATGTAATCTTCCCTAGCTGTCACGATAAAGGCTGGTGAGTGCACAGCTGTTACAACTCACAATATTTTAAAGCTTGGATCTTGCCTTGAATTTATTTCATTAGAATCACTAACTGCGCCTCTCAACCTGACCAGCAAATTAGTTCCCAAAGAGCGGGGCCCCTATGATGTATGGGTAACTTGGAGTCCCCCTGAGGAGGACGGTGGTGCTCCTTTGGTGCAGTATTCACTTGAGTACAAAGAACTTGAATCGTCTTGGAATTCTGCCACAGTGCTGAAAACCAACAACACTTACATGTGGATCAGTAAAACCCACGAGGCTTACGTGTATGAAGTACGAGTGACGGCCAGAAATAAATTTGGACTAGAAAAAGCCTCGAACACTTTGATAGTTCATTTTGGAGGTATGCTTTCATTAAATTTCTCCAGCAGATAAAATTATTAACAATTATTCACCGAAATAGAGATGGCTAGTGGATATTTACCGCGCCGCGAACCTAGCCAGCGACACTGAAGTATACTTGTTTTAGTATGTGCTAAAACAGTGAGATAGTAAGGCACAAAAAAATGATTTTAAATCATTTATTCCTACGTCGATTACAATATCTTCGGGCGCAAATCCCGCGCATGTTGCTCTTAGGTAAATAGCAAAGAATATTCGGAGTTTGAATAGCCAATCAGAGCGCACCTTTAACGCTATCCATTGTTTTATTGTCTATTACTCGAATTTATTTTATGGATAGTAAACAAATACTTAATTTTCTGCTGTTTCTCAAACATGGTATGTTCACACTGCGCGTTGTGTGAACATATGTGAACAGGTCAACATTGCGTTTTCGCCTTTTTATGAAGAGCTTTTCCACTTAACTCTCGTTCTAATTTCTTGTCATGCTAAAAACAAACCGAGAACTTGCTTACTTTTTGTATCGCTATTCAGAGAGACAGCATTTCGGCGCGTTCGGTTTTTTTTATTAAAGGTCATCACTACATTCAACTGCAGCGATCTTGAAATGTATTTTACCATAATTCGCATCCTCCAGCAGCTAGGTCAGGAATGTCTTCTAAATTCGATTGTGAATGAACAACTTGTAATTCTGAACACTGAGAGCAACATTTAGAAGTTATCACGGGAAGGGTGTCTGATCTTCATTTTTTTTTGTTTTTGCTTCATTGAAGGGTAGCGTAGAAATCTCAGAGGATTTTATGAAAGAAATATGTCTAACGATAGTAATATGGTGGGTGTTATGGCCTTCGGCCGTTCGCTTATTTCCTTCACTTCGGTTACAGTTGTCCCATCAAAACTGCAATGACTCTTTAACTTTCACATTTGAAGATTTGCTTTGTCCTATGTTTCACAGAAAAACCAGATCAACCCCAAGATCTGGTCAAAAAAGAAGCGTTCATTGACAAGCAGAACAAACCAAAAATCAAAGTGATGTGGAAACCTCCAAGATATGATGGCGGTGCGGCAATCACACATTACCATGTTGAATACAAAACCGTGAGAAAAGAATGGAGCAGTGCGGAGAAAGATTCTGTTAAAAACACGGAATACACGTTTGAAGTTGATAAATCAGAAACATACACATTCCGAACAAGAGCAGTGAACAAACTGGGTATAGGAAAACCAGCAGTAATAACTGTGAACTTCACAGGTTGGTGTGAGCGCTTGCTGCAAACATTTTGTTTGTAAAGGCTTCTTTAAAAGGCTTAAATACGTGCCGTTCAACTGATTGGTGTAGGTTAGACTGAGGAGAAAGCAGTTTTATTTCTTGTCGCGCTTTTTAAAAAACATTTATGCGTGAACTCTTACTTTACTTGCAATATTTGCCGACAGAGTGGAGGTGAATAGTGGTGGATATCTATCGAAGTGGAGGTAAATATCCAACACTTTCACCGACACTGAGGTGAAAACTTGTCTTAGAATATACTACACAGGCGCTAAAAATAGTAGTCTGTTTCTGTCAATATACCGAAAAGTGGCCAGAAATTAAACTCTTGCGGCGCGTTTTTGTCACTTCGGCTCCTCGGACGTTAAAGATACTTGCTAGTCACTTCCGAACCAGCCAGTTAGCACGTACGAAAAGTACTATTGACCTGTGTGGCGTATACAATCTTTAGTCAATCAAATTCTTCCACTAATTGTCCACATTTTCGTACATTTATTTTCAGCGGATGATGTGAAAAATCTGGCAGTAACAAAGAACTCTACCTCATCGACAACTTCTGCATCCTTTGGAGTGATCCTTCTGTTTGTAATATCGAATGCTTTGGCGTAATGTGGCAAATCTATCGATGAATGCAGAGAGAAAAGACTTTTTGTAAGGAAAATGATACATATGTAAATATGGAGACCGTAAACAATTTTCAAAACAACATTAGAACAAATTGAGAAAACTGTTACGAAGTTTTTCCTCTGGGAACAGAGAATGCTACTTCTTTCCGGCTTTAAGACAGTCGAACGCCATGCAAATATGGTTCCTGTTGTCTCTGTGTTGAGAAAAATTCGTTTATATTTCTTTCAGTCGTCATCACCAGCTAAGAGAGAATTAGAGGATTAAATTAAGCGACAGAATCTTCAACATATAGACCTTGCTTCAAAGCTATTTATTCTAAGGATCTTATCCTTGAGGTCCTTATTTCCAAGGTCTTTATTCCTTAGGTTCTATTTCCTAAGGGTCCTATTCCTTAGGTCCCTGTTCGTAAGGGTCTTATTTCGAAGGTTCTGTTATGCTTTGTTTGGATCACTTTGCTTCTTACGATTCTCGAAGAATCTAGAAAAACTAATCCTACGTCGCAAGTTTTGCTCAAATGGTCATCCTATAAGGAGTGCTATTTATCTGTAACTTAAACTTTAAACACGCCCAAGGAAGAAAATTGTTTAACATATTCCTAGCAGACCCGATAACCTTAGTTTAAAAATACCACAAGAGAGAGTCCCTTAAAAAAAAGACGTACATGGTGGATACAGTCTTTTGAATTGAACCTCTCTCGTTATTGACACGAAAGAAACAAGTTCATATTTCATTAGAACAATAAGTCTGTACAATTTTAAACAGACAATTGAAGGTGGAAAACTCACTGCATTCACAGGATTCACTCGAGGGAATTTGAGACTAACTGCTTTCCGTCATCCATGTATCAATGATACTTCATCCATATACTTCCCATTTTCTTAATCGAAGCCTACAACCTCCCACTCGTTCTAAGAACTTGAGTGTCTGGGAACGGCTGAAGACGCTCCTTCCCAGTTTACGCACGGAAAACTTCATCCTTTCGTACCAGTGCGGGGGCACAGAAACTGGCTCAGTGTGTACATCCGGTGTATTGTAGACTGCAAGTAAACTATATATGCTTTTCATTCGAAGTGGTGAATATTCGAATTAATTTGTAAGAAAAGCTTATATTAATGATATCATAAACATAGTTACGATACTAGTTTTTCTTCAGGTTTTGTAAAATAAACAGTTCACTTTAACAAAAATTATAGGTAGCAGAGATGCCTTCGATGTTATGTTCGCAGCTGAAATAAAACGAGAGTACAAACACCTCGTTGATATTTTGCATTTTTCGCTCCTGAACGGAATCAGATAGGAATTGCGTCAACATCCGTTACCGCAGCAATTTAAGAGGGATTATTTTTACCTATTCAAACCGTGGGGACCTGGTACTGCTCTTTATCTCGGATTGATGTGGCATTAGACCGGGCTTGTGAAAGGAAAAAAAGAATTGTAAGATGCCCTTTCTAATTCATCCGGATTATTTTTGACGGAACGTTATCAACAGCTCAACTCTCCAGGTGTTTCAACAAAATTTCTTACATCCAATAAAACAAACATTTTCCTGATCTATTTTTGATGTGCTTTTGTGATTTTTGTTGGTTTATCTCCGAGGGATTGTGAAATGACACTTGAAGGGAGAACACACCAGACTGCAGTTCAATATTTAAAAAATTTTTCTTGGTCAGTAATGGGAGGCCAAGTCCTCAATGCAGTGAATATTTTAACATTTCTCTGGATTCCCATTATGCCTACCGTATTTCAGAAACGTTGTCATAGAAAAGAGTAAAAAGAAGGGGAAAACAAGAATTCGGATTAATTAGCACATAGCACATTCATATTGCATTAGCATATATATAGATATAATTTTTATATTATTTTTCAGTTTTGGAATCGCTTGAAATATTAACTTTCAAACAACATCTAATTCTCTCAATAATTTTGAAATAATTTTCAGTGGTAATTCTGCGAATTTTGTTCGGCTGGCGGGCTTGTAGCCAGAAAGTAGTTTTATATGCTAACAAATTCCTAGTCGGCTTTTTTGTTTTTTCTGCGACAACTTTAGTGCAATAAGGCGCATCCAATAAAGGGAAACTGTGACAAGAAAGATACTAAATTACGATAAAGGAAAATTCTAATTTGAAGGTTGTGACACTTTAATTCCAAGTATTTATAGGCCCATAAACAGATTGCAAAACATATGTCATGAAACCAATACGTGTCGTCATTACTCGTTCATTTTGTTTCTTTAATTTTCTATTACTTCAATTTTCCACTAAAATTCATCTCCGCTGCTGTCTCTTAGACAGTATTCACCTTTCAGAGCATGAAGGTGTCAAACTTTTAGCGTGGCTGTCAAATGCAAATCAAATAATTTTAACCTTTGTTGACAGTTTTTCGGGGAATTTGAGAACAGCTTGGTCTGAGGAGAGAAACATCAGAATACAGCTGTTGCAATTGTATTAATAACTATCTTTATTCGAGTATTCGATAACCTCTCTCGAAAATTAGGTTTGTTTTTCCTGTTTTTCTCATTTTGCTCTGTCAGTTAATGTCTGCCATTCAATGCACTAGTGTTGTACAAAAATAATTCCAGTAATGCTGATTAACCCACAGTTGCAAAAGCCAGTTTTGCTGAAAAAAGGACAGTGTAAATTTAAAGATATATATATTTTTTTAATTTGAAAGCACTAAGAATGTAATAAAGGCCAAGTTTTCACTCCAGATATTCCATTTAGAAAATGTTATTCGAGTCTTGATGCGAAAACAACGTGAAAGAAAAACATTTTTTCTTTTCAGCACGGATTGGCAAATATGGAAATTTGAAGGTTTTCTTTCACTGGTACATAAATTGCAAGCAAAAGATGTTTTGGGTTTTGATCAACGGCGGATAGCGATGTAAATTATAACTTTAACGAATTCAAATATTCGATCATCCCCCGCAAAGGCTTCATGCTATATCAATAATGCCTTTTGTCAGAGGAAAAACAGTGGAGTTTTATTTAATTTTTTTTCCCGCAGTTATTAATGCCATAAAAATTGAAATTTCAACTCCAACCATTCGTTAAGTACACTCTTCAATTATCATCTTAATGACATCCGACGAATTAAGGTTGGTTTCCGTTCCGTATGTCGCGGAATAACCTCGTTTTTCGGGTCACGTCACATCCACACAACAGGCCAGTCGTTGTGAAACAAGACCAATATTGCAAACTATAGTTGAGCATGGAGGATTCGCGACAGGACTTTCAGCGTATTTCGCGGTATGATATTGTGTTGGCGGTCCTATATGGCGTTGTTATAATAGCGGGTATTTTCGGCAATTCACTTGTCATTGCCGTGGTTTGGAAAACGCGCACAATGCACACGGCTACGAACTATCTGCTTGTGAACTTGGCGTCTAGCGATATTCTCGTTTTGTTATGGTGTCCTCGCACTTACGATTTCGTTGTCACTGGATCGCTTCCCAAAGGCATAACAGGCGACTACTTGTGCAGATTTTTAATTGCTGATCCAATGGATATTTTATGTCTTGGAGTTACATTATTTACACTGACTGTACTAGCTGTAGAGCGGTATCAAGCGCTCGTAACACCCCTAAGCACCAAATATAAGCTTAGCAAGGAGAGTGTGATGTACGCTATTGCTACAACTTGGATTGCTTCTTTACTTATAAGTATTCCAGACTTTATTTTCACTCACTTCGATGGCAATCGTGGAAAATGTGTTTCACCCTTGGGACCTGAAGTGGACGCTGGTAGCGACAAAACTTATGTTGTAATTGCAATCAGTTTGTACATCTTCATACCGTTCCTAGTCATCACATATTGTTACTGTCAGATATTGCGAGGAATGTTTATCACTCAAACCATTTGCGCAGGACCAGCAAACGTGAATTCGGAGAAACGAAAACTTGCCGTTCTCATTATTGCTGTAACAGTTGTGTTTTATATCTTATTTTTGCCTTTTGCGATATTTATGCTGCACGTCGCTTTCACAAACCACTTAGCTAAAGAGTATACAGAGAATGAAAGTAACGTAGAAGTGCTGAAAGTTTTAAGCTTTCTTATTGTTGCCAACAGTTCTCTAAATCCTGTACTATATGCTTTTCAAAGCGAGAATTACCGGAAAGGCTTTAGAGGTTTGTTCTGCCCTAAGAACTCTGTCGGCCAAATGCAAAATTACCCTCTCGGGTGAGAGATAATCAAGCGCGATAATCAACTGCGAGATGAAGATGAAGTTGTCTTCAAGTGCGATTTGCGATGGAATCTGTCAGATTCAATTCCTCTGGATTTCATCATCAGCGAGAAAAGTTATATTAGTGAGGGGCAGTTTGAAAAGGAGTCGGGAACATTCTGAGGTGTCAATGTACTCTTCTCTCCTATCCGTCATTAAATCGAATTAAACGAATGTCGCCAACCTCGTGAAAATGAGGTGAAGATGGAGGCTTCAAAGAGGTCGTACAGGATCAGACAGTGAAAAACGTGGCGGAATTTTTATCCATATCGACCCGACCTAACGGAGAAAACGTGGCGTTAATTAATTCATTTATGTTTTTACAGCTATTTCTAGAAAGAAAGATCCGCTTAGCGATCACAAAACAGAGTGTAAATAACATTAGTCAGGTTATCCTTTGCTGCAATATTACATTGAACTTGTTTACACAAGGAACGCAAACTTTTCAGCTTTCTTTTCCTTCCACAAAAGATCACGAGGCGCGTTCATTCTCGTAAACGTCGGTTGTCCCTAAGATATATAAATACCGTGGAGCACACGATGAAACTTTTATTTAACATATATAAACCTAAAGGTTTAGCCCACACAAACATCAATAATATAACACAATAAAACACAACAATAGTCTAACTATGGTCTAATCCGGTCTCTCGGGTTCATCCACCTTGTTTACACAAAGTTTGTTTCTCAGTAAAAATCGTTCATTCCTCTGTTTCAGCTGTATTTCAGTACTCCTAATAATAATTTCCGAGAGGCAGATGTTCTCTAGAGCACAAAAACCTCTCTGACGTTATCTAGACAGAGTTGCGTGCATTCACTTGGAAGTACTCAGTATATGTCAAAAAAGTGCCGCATTATCTCAACGAAGACAACTCATATGGCGCTAAAAATTATATTTGGAGAGTATTGTAAAAGTGCAATAGTCGCCCTCAAGTGAGCTCGAGTCAAGTAAATTTTATTTCATCCGGTCTTTCACACGGCCCGTTGACAAATTAACTGATTCTTTGATTAATTTTCAAATATGATTACTTCAGTTGAACTTTATTTTTCATTCCCTGCCTTTGTGTTTTGAAAACATTAGTGACATCCAATGGCTTCCCGTGGGCACAATGAAAGAAACGTGAAATGACATAAAAACGTTAAAGAGAGAGGAAGATTCTCGCTCTCCCGATCGGAAATGAGTAACATAGGTGATCGGAAATGCAAAAATGTCTTGTTTATTGAGAGCAAAATAGTAACTGTGAATACCTCTCTTTTAAAAGATTGCAGCTTTTTGTTTTGGAACCGACTGTACTTCTGATATCCCTAGTGATGCTCTCGGAATTAATTTTGCTTTTCAAAAAAAATTGTTGCCATAGGAGTTTGCTCCAAAATGCATTGACCTCTAGCCGAGAAAAGACAGGCTTAATATGACAGGACGTACAATGTTATGGAAACGGCTAATCTTGCGCAAAATTCAGAAATCGTTTAACTTGTAGAGAAATTGGGGTCACGGAGTCACACGCGCCGCGGTTTGACCAAACTTAATGAAAAATCTACGGGGAAACCATCGTGTCACTACTTTCTCGCAGTTAAAGGCCAATTTCGCTATTTCAACCCAGATTGACAAATCATATAGTTAAACGGGGTAAGTTTCTAAAGAAACTGGGGTACTGTGTCGGTAGGGGGTATAAGAAGATTATTTGCTTTCATCAACCGCCGATAATTAATGTAAACTGACCACTGTAAAGAGTGTCTAAATCTGGCGTTTCAAGCGGTTGGCGCTTCGTCAGAGTGACAAAGCTCTGGACGTTAGCTCATTCGCTTTGACGAAGGGCTAACGCTTGAAACAGATTATCTCACGTGTTGTTTTCGAAAAAAAAAAAAAAGAAACCTCCAACAAACTAACTTTGCGGCAAAACTTTGTCTTCGACTTAGGGAAGGTAAGTTTTTTCTTGGGGAGGGAAGGCTGGGGAATTTTGGTATTTTTCCCAAAGAAAGTGTTGGCCCTCCCTCATGTTTTGATTAAAAAACTCCTGCCCCCCCCCCACTTTTAGGTGACTGACAAAAGTGTGACCCTCCCCTCACTACCACATGGTATGCTCCATGCCATAGAAACCTCAGAACATTTTTCGACATTTTGCTTGTATTTTGCTTTGGAGCTACTACAAAAGGCTTAACAACGAGTTGAAAGAATTTTCCCTCGCCGAGGAAATGCTCTCAAAAGAAAGTCGAGAAAGCGGAAGCAGAATCGCCGTAAAGCCGATAAACGCAAATGCCAACGCTACGCAGAAATGAAAAGTCAATTAAAACAAGAATTTTAAACGTTGATGAAGAAACTCTGAATGACGAAGACTATGTAATAGATCATGGAGATTTGGAGATGAGGGTTGTGATGGCTCATATTGGCAGTAAGATTTTGACTTCAATTGTGCAGGAAAAACAGACAAACATTCCGCTAGCCTCTGACTCAAATCCAGAGTCTGACAGTGACAGTGACAGCGACAGGGTAGAGGGCATTGTTGGATCTTCTAGTAACTCTTCAGAGCTCAATGACTCGGGAGATCAGGCAGCGGATAGACAACAGCTGGAACAAGAAACCATACCCGAGTCAAGTACGTCACGATACGGACGGAAAAGGACACGAGTACTCCGAGAAAATTATGTGCCATGGAATAATATACATGTAGACACCCAGTAACCTTGTAAAACTAGTACCAGCACCGAATTAAAAGAAACAAGTTGAAAAGAAAAAACTTAGTCTGTTAAAGAAAAATAGAAAATAACATCACAAAATCCCCATTAAAAATTCTGGAAAAGGTGTGACCCTCCCCTCGAATAGCTGAAAAAGAGGGTACGGCCCTCCCCCTTTGGTGCTCACTTTCACTGATGACCCTCCCCTCTAAGGCCCCAGCCCTCCCCCCCCCAAGAAAAAACGTACCTTCCCTTATACAAGCTCATATTCGAAATTGTAATCATCTCTCACACTCATACATTAGAAGCATTGTATAAATTGGATCGCCAATTGACAGATTTTCGAAATTCGTTCTCTCGCTTCTGAGAGGGATTTTACAATCGCACGCAGAGGACATTGAAGAATGTACAACCCTTTTCTTGGTGCGAACCACGATCGTCGAGAATGCAAAGCATATTTTCGGAAAGTTCTATGATTTGTCTCGAAAACTCGCACTGTTCTTTCAACAAATCAAATGCAAAACCTCGACCAATCAGTCGATTGTTTTTCCCCGCGCATGAGCGTATCTATCTGCGTTTACTACGAGTACTCATTGGCGGGAATCCTTGTGCGCATATTCGTCAACTGCAAGCCGATACTCAGTCGATCTACTTTTCTCCACATCTTGGATCAATATGGTCTCTTTGTGTTTCTCTATATTACTGAAGCCCCGTTGTCAAAGCTGATGGCAGTTCTGTAAATTTTACTCAAGTTCCTTTCAAACCTCAGTGACGATGGCCTACCTTGATATGAACTTTTAATCAAGCTGATGATCACAGGGCTTTTGGCTTAAGTTCAAAGTGTTCTTTCTTAGATTAACATGAGAGAAATTGAAAAATTCAGTTCCAAATTCTAATTCACTTTCTCTTTTTCCACAGCCCAGAGTGGTTCTTAGTCACGGAAATTTCATCAAATTTTACTTTGAATTTCTCGATATTCCAAAACTAAGACTTGGACGAAATAGTTACTTGAAGCTATTCAGGTAACTTATTTGAAGTAGCATCTGATGTGATCCTCTGAATAACTTAAACCAGGGCTTCGCCGAGATAATATGTCATTTAACATCTCTTGATTGGTCCTCTGTTTTAACTTGCTTCGTCCCTGATGCTTGTGATGAGTTTTGTACACCACAGCTAACTTTATCACTGGCTTCGCTGGGAGTCATTCTATCAATGTCTTGCTCAGTGTAACCTAGTGATGCAAGTGATTTCCTCATCTTTCTGGTGATCTGATGATAAAAGAGAAGAAAAAGAAAAGAAAAAAGAAGCCTCTTTTGTCTACTTTTATTATCTGACAGAACTTGATGGCACTGAGAGAGGGTTTGCCTTGAACAGAATGTTTCAAAATCAAATTAACTCTTAATACCACTGGCCATCACCTTTTTTGTGAAATGTGAAAGATAAAGTTCATTGCCTCTGACTACATTATCTGTGAATTATAGTTATAAAAATGAAACAGCCCCTCATCCATTTAAGACCCTGTACAAAAAAAGGAAGACAGGATTGTCGTCAACAGTGCCGCATTTTTGTTCCTCTTCTTATAGTTTGTTGTGTAAATCAAGAATCTCTTTTCAACCCGACCTTGGTTAGATCCCAGTCTTTAATTAAATGTGGTAAAATGGTAAAAGTTTCAAAACCATACCCCCAAGTTTCTTGACTCCTCAAAATCACATCAGTCATGCCACTGGAAAGAAGTGCCCATTGCAATTTACAAAATGTATTTTCATTTTTCATAGAATAACAAATTGTCCATATTGGGAGTTATGAAACATTTGACCCTATGGGTGTTACTTAAGCTATCTTACACTAACATCAGTTTTTATATTCCCCACACTGTTCACAATACATTTCCTACAGTGCTGCTGAGGAGAATTTGTTTAACAATCAAGAGATTCTATAATTGGGGATCATTTTGACGTAGCTGTGTGTTTGTCATATTATTTTACAGTTGTATTGTTTACATGAGCTATGTGTTCAGGTGATACCTTGTGTAAAGGGGTTCATGTGTCCTACTCTTGGGAACAACACATGTCTTGAAGTTTGGAATAAAAAGTTGGTCTTTTGTGAACACAGGACTGGAGTTTACTTTGACTCAGGGCTGATGTTGTAAGGAGAAATTACTCTTTGGGGTTTAAGGGTTAACCCTTTAACTCCCAGATCAAATTTGTAATTCTCCTTACTGTCAATCTTACAATTCTTATAATGTTATATCTGGTTGTTGTTGTATTGTAAGGAGAAATTATTTCTTGGTCACTCATGGGAGTTAAAGGGTTAACACTCTACTTAGTTCACTTTTCTGGCTCTTGAAAACCATTCATACCCCAATGAAATGAGTCAATAGACATCAAAAGGTGAGCATTTTTCCTAAAGCTTTAAAACCCATTTGTTTACATCTTAGTGCTGATAGAATCACTGTCTTTTCACCCCTTAACTGCCAACTCCACTGAGAAGTCCTGTCCCAAAGCAAATGCATTTATTATTTTTCAAAATTTTAAGTTGTTTGAGTTTGACAGGCCAGTGTATACTACATCTCCACTGCCACAGATTTGAGTGTTACTCTCTAACTTCAAAGGGGGTACTTAAGTCAATTTTTGCAGGGTATGTGCCCTAATCTTTCAGAACCCATGTCCTATTATATTATATACACTTAATCAATTTTGGGCAAATTTAATTCATGTGTTCCCAACTTAATAACTGTCTGTTTTTTTTAAATCCCTCCTTGCCAGAATTTTTTTACCCTAAAATCCCGAAAATGTGCAACTCCATTCCAGTCTATTGAAAATGCAACCACATAATAGTCAATCCTGTTGTGAAAATCTGACTCCATCCAGGGGCATATCCCCATTAGCCTATTACTAGGAGGCACCCCCTCCCCCCTCCAAGGACAAACCTCCCTAGAGCATTAGTCCAAATACCAAACTGTTATCATTCATGCTGAACATTGCACTGAATTTATCATTATAGCATGATAATTACCATAAAAGGTACTGGCGCTTGTTGCTGTGGTTGCCCATGGAGAAAGGCTTCTAAAGCCTTCTGTGAGTTGTATCTATGGAGAACAGAACATCAGCTTATATTATTATGGATAATCAAATTAATCCTGGAGTTTTATAAACAGTACATTTAAGTGCTTGCAATGAACCAATATCTCAGCTGAAGGGATTATCAATATATTAATGTTAAAGAAATTAAATCAAGATAGACTCTGTTCATTGTGAGTCATTGGATTCTTAACAACTTCTAAGCAACCAATCTACCGATATACCTTGTTTACACTGTGCTTTCAAGCTGGTTTGCTTTCATGTGACATCACAACAGCCACACCAAATTATGGTAGTCCATAGCAATAAAAATTTGTGCAAAAAGCCAGTGGAATGATAGTCCGACTGTTTCAAATTCATAAACGGGGTAAGGTTGTAAAGAAGTTGCGTCAGTGGGGGAATAAAAAAGTAATTTGATTTTATCAGATGAGTTGATAATGTAAATTAGTTACCGTAAAGAGTTTCGGTAATCTAGTAGTTCTTACATCTGTAATTAGACTTAGGAATCATGCTTATGTCTCAAACTGAATCATACAATTATTTATCGATATTCATAAATTTTGGACTCAGCCAAATGAATTGCCTTGATCTGATTATCTTTAACTCTTTTAATTATCACAATGTTACTGTTACTGATCGAATCCAATGTACTTATAAGCTTACCTCCAAAGATTTGTGTAATAAATTAAAAGAATTCCTACGTTTCTTGATCGAGTTACAAGGTCGCTGTATCTTCGTTTACACCATAACTTCAACTTCGACATGTTCCACTGTAACTCCCCTCAGGAGCCCACTGAGGAATCTATGACCTAGAGCCCAGTCTTCTCGCGGTAGTCACATGGTGCTTCGCGCGCCATTTTGGTTTCATCCAGGCGAATCGTTATCTCTTTTCCTATTTGAAGGGCGGAATATGGCTTGTGTGTATCGTTGTTCCTGGTTAAGTGAAACGGTATCGTCTCGGTGAAGTAAATCCTGGGCTTTTATAAACAATTTTCACTGATTTGAGTGATTGTGTAAGGAGCGAATGGCTGGGAAATTGATGAAATTATGAATAAAAATCGTCGTGAAGCCAGCAGCTCATCATATGCAAGAGGCATGGGAAATTTCGTCAGTCGGGCTCGGTCGAAGAGCAGAGTCGTGATCGAGGATATCGATGACGATGAAATTGAGGAAATAAATACGGTTAGTGGTGAAGGATGAAATAGTTAATTTAATGTTGTTGTCAGTGGGGTTGAATTAGGCTCGACAATAATAACAATAACCATCCTCTGAAGCTGAAAGTGGACATTGGCTACATTTATTCTGGTCGTAAATGATACTGATTTTCATTCAAAATCTGATAATTATGATTTTCCTATTAATCATAACCATTACAATTTCCTCAAATGTGATTAGTGCATCAGCTGCTTAATTTTTCACTAATCATTCTGTACAGTTGTAATCGGACAGTGGAATTAGACAATTGGCTGTAATCAGACAGTTGAAGCAGCCAATCATATGATGTCCACTCAGCTAAATCCGCCAATCATAGAATTGATTGCGACAACCATAGCAACAACCACCTATCCAAAGAAAAACAAGGCAATTTCCAAAATGGAGAAATATTTAACTAAAGACATTGTCTCCACCGGAGATATTTTTTCTAGGTGTATTTGTATTTTTGGAAATTGAAATGGTTATGATTAATTGGTAACAGGATTTCTTGTCGTCCAGTTCTGTCAGTAATCATACTCGTAATAAACAAATGAGACACTCGCTTTGCGGTCGTCTCATGTTGTTAATCACTTGTATGACTACAGACTGAATTGGACTCCACTTGGTCCTATTACCATTATAAATAAAATTGTAATCTGCATGTTGAGTGTGGTTTGAGAGGGGAGGGGTGGGGTGGGGATATCATTATCTTATTGAGGAAGGGATTCTTAAACAGAAGCAATAAGTGTAGTGCTATCACTTCCCAGATGCATGTTCTTTTGTCTTAATAGCTCCTTGAATATAAAATTACCATATTTATAGAGTATCTTTCAGGATTGTAAGCAATGATATCTAAAAACTTGCCTTTGTTCTGTTTAGTGGGAACTTAACATCAGTTTTTGATAGGAAATCACAGGTGCAAATTTTTTATGGTGTCAATTATTTAATTCAAGTTTTCAGCTTAAAATTCCAATCATCAAGGGTAGCTTAGTACACTCTAATGAAATTATGGCATGAAATTCATTCATGTGTCGGGTCAAAATTGTGTTTTTCTCACAGTAAACAGATAAAGACTCGTTTCTCATGTTCCAGGTGTAACAGTGAGGAATTTGTTTTTTTTACTGTTAGTTTGATGGAATAAGTTATCAGTTTTTGTGTTTTTACTTATTGTTGTTCTGTAATGCAGCAAGAGGTGGCAGAAACTGTGAGGAATAACAGGTCATCAAGACTGAGGACAAGGAGGCAAAAACGAGAGGCTGAATTAAGTAAGAGGTTACCATTGTAATACTTTATGAGCATGTAAGATTACTTAACCTCTCAACACTAAAGTTGCACTAGAAATGAATCAAAAAAAAAAACACTCACAGAGACAAGAAACAGGTTAAATTTTCTAATAGCAAACTCTTTGATATAATCTAGGGAGGAATATAAGCTTGAACTGGTGCCACTGTAATTTTGGTTCAGTCTCAGTATCTGAGCTACTGGGCAGCTACTTTTACCCCTTCCCTAACCCAGGATATATTTTGTTGTTAGTATATACCACACAGGTGAATAGTGCCATTTGGGCAAACTCATTGGCTGGTTTGGAAATGAATAGCAAGTACTATTCACCTCCGAGCAGCCAATAAGACAAAATCACATGTCAAGAGTTGAATTTGTTACCATTTTTTGGTATATTGAAAGAAATAAACTAAATTTCTGGTGTCTGTATGGTATATACCAAAAGAATTATTCACATCAGTGTTGATGAAAGTGGTGGGTATTTACCTTGCTGCCTTAGGGCATGGTGAATATCCACATGTGTTCACCCCCACTTCATTGAATAATTTTTAAATATTTGAAGTCAATTGATAGACTGTCCAGTAAATTTAATCTTTTCAGCAACAGGTAGTGGTGGTGAAGAGAATGGTGATTGGGATGAAGAGGAGTTACAGGTAAGCAGAGAGCTTTTTTGTGGTAGATGTTATGTACTAACAGTTAATATTAACATGAACATGGGTAAGATTCTCTACTCTTATGGAACCAGCAAACTTTCAGGAAAACCAGAAGCAGTGGAAGACCTTTTCCATGACTGTGCTTTCACTGTAAAGTAGGATTAATTAAGTCTTTCCAACATTTGGGCTTGTTTCTGTTGAAATTTATCCTATCCCTGTTCTGTGGGAGGATGGGTATAGGAGGACTTCTTCTTGTGCATTTACTGTTAAAATATTCCACAAGTTTTATCTACAATGTGTTGGTACCCGTTTGTACTCAAAAGTTGGCTGACAATTGCAGAGTGAAGTACCTTGCCCAAAACCAAGGCAGATTCACCCTTGTTTGGACCCTAAACATTCAATCTTTCAAGAGCACAGAATGCTTATCTTAGGGTGTGGTATCTCCTTAGCACCCTATAGTGGTCATGTTATCAGTAAAACTCCACCACAGTGAAATTCTGCTTCTGTTTACCAACCCAACCAGATGTTACACTATATAACACAGATGTGGTTTCATTTTATTTTTCAAACCAGCAAGTTCTTATCATGAGTAGAATTGAGGCAGATAAGCAAGAGGAAAGGAGGAAAATGTGTGGAAGCATAAAAGATGTGGTAAGATTTTTCAGTTTCTTTTATCCTGTTGTTGTGTTTTT